ACATGGTGAAGGGAAAATGCAGACGAGACCTGTTGCCCCAATTCACTGTGCAACGTGAAACTCGTACAGAGGACTGCGGAGGTGGATCACACCGAATTCGATGGTTTTACAGACTGCTTTGGGATGGTGGAAACGTCGCTTATCATGACTACATGAAGACCGTATTGACCAAGGAGGAGATCGAATCCATGCTCAATCCAACCGCGACAGCTGAGTATGTCGGCGACATTTTCGAATTCTGGCTTGGGATGCTTGACCTGGGTATTCAATTCCCTACTATGTTTGGTGGATGGGGGGCAAACCTTGACAGTTGCCTCGCAGGATTGGAAGAATCATTCTGGCTCTTCAGCAGTTCATGTCGACCTACCGACACCATCAACACGAAGCGAAACCGATCCAGGAAAGCATACATCCCACCGGTCGAGAACAATATGGTGACAACAGTCTTGAAAGAAGCGGGAATCTTTGACCTACTCCTGCAGAAGAAGATCACCAGAATGCCGATGCTCCCGGAAGCCAACTACGATGACCATCCTGAAATGATTGAAGTCTCATCAAGCGATGAGGAGGAGGATGAAGTTGGTGAGCCTGAAGAGGAGACCACGACGCCTACGGCGCGGGGCCCTCGAGCAGAACAGACTTCAGGAGAAACTGATGCCGGAGCTGGTGACATCGAAATTGAGGAGGAAGAAGAGGACATGGGGGGCCAACCTTCGGAAGCGAAGAAGCGCCGAACTGAGGTGCGGAACATCCGTGACAACTTGAGAAGCTGATTGCTGACGCATCAAGTGTTCAATATTGTTTCATTTGTGGTGGAATGCATGACATTGATGAATGTACCACACCAGATGACGAGAACATGAAGAACACCCTATGGCGCATGAGATTGATCATGGACCAGAAGTCCAAATCCCCATCGTCTTCGGAAAGATCCAAAGCTGCGACAAGAGGCAGAAAAGACAAGCTCCCGAAGAACGTCATGCCAAGAGGAAAACGTTGGGGAAGAACCAGATTCACTGAGAAAGAAGAAGTGACCAAATGCTTCTACAGTCAGTCAGCCTTTATGTACGACATTGGTGATCGTGAAGAAGGAGGACAGTACTTAGTGAATGGCGTCGAAGTCAACCCAATTAGCCGAGGTGTGAAGAATCGTCATGAGCTTGATGTGCTGATTGAACGTGCGGCTGAGGAATCCCCGCCTGTTTTGCCGACCATTGAGGAGCTGAACGCTTGGAACCCCAAAGACCATGATGCATATGTGAAATGGCTTACTGAAGAAAGAAAACAGTATGGAGACAACTGGAATTTCAGGTACATCCAACCATTTACACATGGCCATAATATCGGCACACTGCAACTTGCTCGCATCAATGGAGAAGAATATCTTGGATATGGATGGAGTAATGTGCATCGATATGGCGAGAATGAGTGGATGGGCAACAAGTGGGAAAATCCGCAATGGATAGTCGAATTGTCGAAAAGATTCAATGCAGCGCTACGCCACTCCGTGGGTTGCGTCAAGGACAATCGAAATCACCGTGGACTACCATGCGATGAAGCAGGTTGGGTCAATGTCGAGTCGATCTTGAAGTACGACAACATTTGGAGAGATCAACATACATTGGCTGGAACGACCCGCGTCAACTACCCAATACTTGTTGAGAGGTGGAACAATTTCCAGAGAGTGATCTTCACTGAGTACAAGCAAACGAAAAGGATCCGAGCCCAAGTGCTAGGACTCAAGGTCACAAAAGGTGAGCTGGAATACGTCATGAACAACTTCAATGATGGATTGACCTCGAGACTTGAACGACACACACTGAGGTTGGAGATCGGCACAGCAGAACGAGAGATTTGGCTATGGCCGGTGGCAATCCGTGCCCCTATGGCACATTCAAGAGTTCAAGGCGGTGTGCACATCGAAGACAAGAAGACTTCCTATCAGATGAACCCTGGAGTCGGATACACTCTTGGAGGAGGATTTCACTGCACCACTTTTGACAACATCGCTCAAATCTTCAGAGAAGGACTACGTCCCGGAGGAGGAGGCGACCGCATCAATACGTTCTTCGTGCCATTCGCACCGTGGGACGTGCGAAGTCAGACGGTGCTGAGGTTCAGAAAGATTGAACAAACTGATCTTGTCTACATCTACATCACGTACGATTCCATCGCCAAGTTCTCCCCTCGATTGTCAGCAGACGGACACATTTTGGTCCAAGAAACAATTCCATTCGAATCATTCGATGCAGTTTGGTACTATGATTGGAAGGAAAAGGACTACTACCGTCTTATGATCACAAAGGGAAAAGATCAACTTGTACTTTCTGTGCAAGGAGCAAGGAGGGTGGCCACCATTGAACGATTTGACAAACTCATTGGGAACATTGTGCCTGATGAATCATCACCCGATCTGAACGAACTTCGAAAGCTTGTCGATATCAAGACCGGTCACTTCAGTCATGCTCACAGATTGTTCCCTGGACATCCGGATTGGAATGATGCAATATCATTGTTAGCAGTCACTCATCATCCTAGCAAGGAGGACCATCGACTATGCCCCGCATGTCTGATGGAGACCCCTGCACCATTATCGATTTGTGTGATGTGCAAAGGATTTTTGGTAAGTCATGGATGGAGGAAGCGAATCAAGATCACCGTGGCTACTGTACCAAGTGCCGAATCACGTCCTCGAGAAGAAGATCTCAAAGACCATGTCAAGAAAGCATGGGAAGAAGTGAAGATCGATTTGACAGGTGAAGATGATGACGACGAGCTGATGCAAGATGATGATGACGTCACCATGAAGAGTCCAGAACAAGAACCTCAACCAGAAGAAGAAAATGATGATCAAGCCTCGAAGAAGGGCGACATCAATGATGAGAGAAGAGACTTCAGAGAGCAAGATGAGGTCGATAAATTTCTCAATGAGGAAGGAAAACAAACTGATGAGAACGACGATGAAGAAATAGAGGTCGATGAAATCAACATCGAGGAGTACGAGGCTGGAGAAGCTCATGATGCAGTGATCGAGCACCCCAAGTGGATGAAGAGGATTGAGTTTGGATCAAAGGTCCTACCAATCGAGCCTTGTACAATTGGAGATGCTCAGCCGGAGCTCATCAAAATCCTCCTGTTACAGATTGGGTTGCATATCGTCAGGATCTACAGACTATTCCAACGGAACTTCTGTGGAGACATCGAGACGGCATGGAAACACTTTCAACAGAACCGAAAATTTAGGATGGACTTGGATTCAAGAGTGCCATACCTAGGTGAGGATGAAAATGGTGAACTCATCGAACCAACTGCACAACAGATGAAAGAGCTCTACCAGGAAATCGGCCGACCACAACAAAAGGACGACATCGGGGAAGAGGGATTCGTCAATGCATACTATGGGGCGGTGGTACTCAAACGACTTCTCGTGTATACCCTTGAATGCGGTTACACATATGAAGACTTGCAAAATATCTTCTTCGATGAAGAGATGGAGAAACTGTCGAAACATGACTCAACAAGGGATGAGATGAGAAAGACCACAGCCGCCCGCGAAGCCCTTGACCGACAAGATGTCCTGGTCAGAAGAATCATTGCAGGTGCATACAGAGTGAATGCTGTTTATTTCTTCAGGAACGTCGACTTTCAAGACACGATCACACTGAACCCAGTTGACATTGTGTGTGCTCTTCGACCTGCACTTCGAAGAATTTCAGTTTTGCATCTGATCCTTCAAAATGGCCGACAATTGCCGCGACCTCTACTCCAGAAGCTGTATGATGCAATCAATGACTACAACCACATCAAGCAGCGGGATGATCAACGACCAAGATGGGGCATCCACATGACAGAAGCCCACTTACTTGCGATTGCTGATACCCCGGTTCCTGCCGATCGTGAACATGCTAACCCAGCCGCTGGCAAATCGAAAGCAGCCCCGAAGGCAGCACCAGCACTGGGCAGAGTGCAAAAGCGAAAGCATCATCATCAGCACCATGGAGAACCGTCGAAGCCGCTCCTCCGCCAAAACAAGCTCCAGTAACCCCGCCACAGAAAGGTGGAAAAGACAAAGGGAAAGGTGGAAGATCTTATTCGCACCGTGGTGGCGACTGGAACCAACATGGATACTATGGATGGGGATATAGATGATAAATCGATATGACCTCTGCATAGGTCCTGATTGAACCTGGCGAAGCGAGGCAGCAATCAATGCTCGAGATTCATCTCTACTTCATTTTGAATGATTTCTGAGAGGACTCTGAGCCGGCTAATTTAGAACCACATTTTTTTTTGAACATCATTGCACGATACGCTGAGTTTCTACAGCGGTCTACATCTCAACCGACGAAGGAACGGGAAGGTAAACTTCTAGTTCCATAGTCATCTTTGCGTTTTGATTTTAATTCACATGCTTGAGTGGGACTCCATGCTGGCTACGCCACATCGGATGAACCTCATTGCTTGACACCGACTACGTCGTGTCGACATGCACGTGAACAGAACCTTTTTCTTTTGGTAGAGATCGTAGCAAGCCGCCATGTAGAATTGAAGTTCTGAACGGACTTTAGCTCTCCATAATTCAACAAATGAACAGCTGCAGATTTAGTGGATCAATTCAAGGGACACTCCTTTGCGCGTGGCCGACAAAGTTGGCCATGCGTGGGGGGTGCGAATAGAGTGTAGGCTACGGAACACTGTACACTCACACATAATGCAGCCCTCAAGGATCCAACGCCAAGGGGTGCGTCAACTTGCCCCTTTGGCTCAAGACCACTGCAACACCGGAAGAAAGTATCGCTATGCTGAAGCCGCGACTCGTGTGCCGTCATCACTGAAGACAACTACTTCAAGACCAAACATCAGTACATAATCGGGGAGATAACCTCCGATTCACAATCTATCTATCTATCTATCTATCTATCTATCTATCTATCTAACAGTTCTATCCTCATTATGTGACAAACACCACTTTTTTCTCTCCATCACTCGCGAAGCGTCAGGAGAGGCGGCACAAGAGTTCCTGGCACGCCGCCTTGAACAAACGCTTGGTGCAGATGGAGGATGTCGAGGAACTGCTGAGCACGGCCGATGAGATGCTCACAGGACGTCCCAAAAAATGGATGGATTTCGGTGGCAGAAATGTGGATGGGTTTTACATAGTTTTACCATAAAGTTGAGGTATTTAGATTTATATATGTTTGTATTTATTACATGTTATGTTACTTACTATTTAGTTGAGGTTGCCACGCACTGGATTGTTTCTTGTACGATTTGTTTGATAACATCGCAGGCCGTCAGCAGAATGATTTAAATGATGATCAGGATTGGAGGAATCAACCCCAAATAGTTGTTTTCCCTTAGGTTGGTGAATTAATACTATTTGTATGTATATAATTAAAATATATATATACAATCATTTGGTCAGACTTGATTTGATGATATGAAAAAGGGAATCCTAATGGCACCATAAGCCAACCATATAATTACTCAAGCAACCACTTGTGACTGCAGGGCTCCAGATGGCGTAACCACCAAGAATGCAATGGTGTCATATGATATTGGGGTATGGTGTGTAAGGGGTAGACATTCATATCTCGTGATTGGCAGGGTTTGCGCTTGTGCGTGTGCAGTGTTGGCATGTGTATTCGTCAGAAGCTAGCACAGCTCAAGCCTGAGGAATGTTGGAAAATGAACAAGAGTGCTTCAACGCACTTCCCGAGGAATCCCTGGCGTTTGGGATATTCATCCCGTTTTGATAAAGAATAATTAAAGAAGACTTTTCAACATGTTCAAGTCCCTTTGATTGAACATCAGGTACCCAAACATTTCATGGTTCATCAATGTTGGTCACATCAAAATTGCCATACATTGGGATATACCAACGTTTTTTTTTCCAGAGACACCCATATGATCAATATTGATGATTATTTATATAATGTGTATATATATATATACAGTATATATATCATATCCCTTTATTAATCACCTAAGATACCCAATTAAATTTCCCACTAAACCAGCAATTGTTCCATCGTTCCCTTCCAGACTTCATCTCCTGCAGCGCAGGGATGGACATGCTGAACACCATCACTGTGCTCAACCGGCTCTCTCGCCTCAAAGGCGCTTCGAGCCTTAACTGATTGGTGGTTTCGTATGTGTCAACCAGAATGGAAGAAGATATGATAACATGATCCCCGATGACCAAATAAGTGGAGTCTTCATCCTTTTGTTCAGATGTAAGTTGACCTTTTTGTTCATAGAAAAACCTTGGTGAAATGGATTCCCGTTCTTTCAAGCGCAACAATTTGAAACCCCAGAAGGTTTCAACATCTCAAATTCCACGCTGAGGAAGTTGCATCATGACCCCCGGGTGCTGGAAATCTTGTACCGCATCGAAAGCTGGCTATCCTATGCTGGTACTCCCGGTGCCGCTGAGATGGTGGGCCCTGAGATTGTCCATGCAAGGTGGGAGATCTCTGGATGTAGGATGCTAATGGGACATTATGGATTCATAATGATTCATGTGGGATAATAGTGGATAGAAACATATTATAACTCCATAATAGATGGATTTGTAATGTGGTGAACTCAATTAAACCATCCCCATTAGGACTTTGCCCAAGCATTAAGCCACAGTTTAGGAGTGGTCTATTGTTGGAGTTGCCAGCACGTTGCCCTGTGCATCAACTGTGAGGCATTTGGCAAGCATCACTACTGCTTTGGCACGTTTGCAATGGAAAGACACATGGCCAATGCATGGGCTTTGAAAGGGAGTAAGTCTATGTGTGCGTCGGAGAATGGATCAGCACCAATGCTAATGAGGTTTGGGTGGTGATATTATTTTCACTATATTTTAGTTCCTACTTCAGTAGGATTTACTGTATTGCTTTTTTATTTTTTGTTTGGATTGCCATTATCCATTTGTATTACCAGTTATACCCTGATAATGACATTATTAAATTATCATCATGTTAGTATTATGTCATATTAGTTGTCATACAGTATATTGAATTATTACCCCTATCAAAGTCAAAGTACCATTATTATGTTTAGATGATGTCCATCAGGTAATGTAGATTACTAAATCAGAGTACTAAATTCACATCGTCAGATACATTTCAGATACTATATTTCATGCACATTATTTAATATGTTTCAAGCATCATCAAGCATCATGAAGACCATTCTGTTATAAATATGTTTTAATATTACACACACATATATACACACATATAAACATATAATAATAATGGTGATGATAATCATCATAATAGTAATAATACATTTGATCCTAGAATTGAAGAGGAAATCTGGAACCCCGGGTCAATGTGGATGTGGTGGACATTGGAGGCTGCCACATCCACCGTGGCACCGTGGCACAGCGTGGTGCCCGAGGACTCCACTCCCGGCCGTTTGCTGCGCATCGTCGCCTCCATTGCCCCGCCCTTGCTCTCGGGCGCGCGTGCGCGGGACCTATCGAACCTGGCCTGGGCCTTCGCCACTTTGGACCTGCGGAAGTTCGACTCGGTGGGGCAAAGGGACCCAAGGAAAACCTGGGGGAAAATTCATGAAAACTCATGACACATTGAGGATTTTGACCCCAAATGACATGAGGAGTTAGCCGCCAAACATGGTGGATTTTAATGGATTTTACCAGCAGGAAACATCGGAATTGGACTAAAATTTGGCTGAAATATGGGACATGATACTGGGATATGCTGGGATTACAGGCCTAAATCAATTGGATGGGGTAGCTTTGTGTACCAAGCCGCTCAGCATTTATTCTTGCAGAGTATCTAAGATTGGCCACGAAAAGAAACCGGAGGGGAAAACAAAAACTTGGGGTTCACAATCAAATGCCAGAAACCTTGGGGTTCACATTAAATCATCAAGATGAAATTCCATGGAAGATGCTGTCACTTCTATTGGGTTCCAAAAAAATGTTTATTGGGGACGTTCTCCCACGTGCTGGTGAAACATCTCGTGAAATCACAACATTTGGCAAGTTCAATCCCAAATCCTTGCCCCTGTTGAAATTCCCCCTTGAACGACTATAACTATCACTTACGAACAAAACGGGATTCAGTGCCTAAAATGGACATGACATCTGAGAGAGTGGAGCAGTGGCTTCAGTGTTGCTGTTGAAGCTTAGATTTACTTTTGCACCGCCCCGCTGTGTTATTCATTCTGTTCACTGTTGGAATCTTGGGTCGGTGCACAAAAGAGTACCATGGTTGAAACCCTGAACACTTGCCTTTTGACCTTAATGGAGGGCCCACAAACTTGAAAATTGACCCTCTCCAGTCGGAACATCACCTTTGACCCAACAACTCCATTCTTATGTTCTCCATTCATGTTTTCCTATGGGTCCAAATTCCCAAACATCATATCCAAGGGCATTTGCATAAAACCTCTTCATGGTGAAATATCCCAACATTTAGATGCTATTAGACTGTACTGAACTTAAACCGTCATTAAATCACAATAACGTTGATCAAAGAACAGATATTAAGTTGTTGGATTTAATAGCAGTCTGGTTGGTGGTTGGGAACATTTGTTTTTTCCATATCTTGGGAATGTCATCATCCCAACTGACAAACTCATATTCAGAGGGGTAGGTCAACCACCAACCAGATAACCTTGGTCAAAACGGTGGCCGTAGGTGTTGATGGCCATCGCCCGGGAAGCCGTGGTGCAGATCCAGGACTTCACAGAGCAAAATTTGTCCAACACCTGCTGGGCCTTTGTGCCCTGCCAAAAAAAGGGCCAAGGCGAAGCCAAGGCGAAGCCATGGGACATGGGAGATGTCTCAGAGATTGGATTGGTGAGAAATCCGCGGGATTGATGATGATTGATGATTGATGAGCTTGGAGTTAGATTGATATCGAATGATATGGATTGATGGTTGGATTTGTCTCTGAATTATTGACGTGGCTTTGTAAGTTTGTAACATTTGACAACGAAAGTGAAATTTGGTAATTGCTGATTGTGTATATAATCTTGTTTGCTGGGTGTGGTTTCAAATTTTGACACATCGTTGTGCATTTACAAATGAATATTGCTCCGAGGTTGAAACGACCATGTCCCAGTAAGAACCTGAGGGCAGTCGACCATTTCACCATCTGCAGATATGAGTTTAAATTGAACATAACTTAACAATTTGTTCATCCAATCATAAAATGGCAGCCAGGCAGCTAAAGTTTAATTAGTTCGCTGTGACAATTTGGTCCCAGGAAGGTCTGATTGGGGTGGAACATGATTGCAAGAGCAGCAGATTTAGTCATAGAACATCATATAACATCATACAGCATTATAATATATACATCATATAACATCGTGGAATACAGCTCTGGGATCTTGGGGTTAGCTTAAGGTGATGCGAGTCGCTCTCCCGCTCCAAGGCCAAGATCGGTCTCCGGCACGATCCCTTGATCAAAGCCATCGCAGATGAGACGTTGCGCAAGTTGCGGCAGTTCTCGCCCCAAGGCTTGGTGAACACCCTTTGGGGCTTCGCCACCTTGGTGATCAAGGGCGAGGAGCGAAAGAATGGGAACTGAAAAAAATCCAAAGAATCCATCGTTTGTCCCTCATCCACTGCTAAAATTGCAGGATCAGGAAATATGATGAAATATGATGTATAACCTATACAAACACTTGGCCATCTTGGCCCTGCAGCCATCGAATCAGTTCTATTCTTTATCGCTTTTGACCTGGTCCAATTTTGGAATCACCATCTGACAATCACACATGGTATGCTGGCAAATACCCCAGCACTAGTTCAATGATTTTCCCATGAAAACCTCCATTTATGGATTGCTTTTGTCCCACGAAACCCCCCATTTCTGGATGGTTTTTGTCCCATGGAAACCTCCATTTATGGATTGTTTTTACAGATTAAACACGTCCATTTATAGATTGTTAAGGTCTCCATCGAAACCTCCATTTCTAAACGATGTTTTTTTGGCATCCCGCCATGCTTTTGGTATCCGTCGCCAGGAGTGCTTGGGGAAGTCCAGCTGGCAACTGATCAACGCTCTGCTCGAGGAGATCATCCGGCGGCTGCCGGAGTGCACCACGCAGGAGTTGAGCAACTCCTCCTGGGAACCTCGGGTTTTGGAGCCGGGGATGATTGGAATGACTGGAATTTTCGAGGCCTTGAAATATGGTGAAATATCAGCTAAACACAGGGGAGAGAGCTAACTAGTTACTGTAAATGGTCAAGAAATTCAGGATGTTCAAGTTTCGTTCGGAGATAACAAGGGGTGCGAGTCCCGGATATATACCCTGTAAGTCCCAAGGCCGTACTAAATGAGTCCTTAGGAAAAGTGACAAGAAGAGGTCCTCGCCCAGAGCCATAGCAATGCCAAGTGTATATGGCAATGTCATTGGGTTCTACGGCCGATGGATTATAGCAATATCAAGGGTTCTGCGGCCGAGGGCTTATAGCAATGTTCACTCATGATGTGCTTACGATTTCTCACGATTGTTTAGCGGCTATGCATACCCTTTAGGGCCTTTACGTACCCTTTAGCCCAGGGCCATACTTTTAGGCTCCTGCTCACGATTACTCACGATTAAGGATGCTACATACCAATGTACCTTTGAGGTCCAGGACCTCAAAAGGTACATTTGCAAGGTGTTTATAGCAACGTTCCTTTTGAGGTCCGGGACCGGGACCTCAAAAGGTACATAATGATGTATCAAAGGTGGACGTACTTTTTTGGTCCACTTTCAGGACGTACTTTATGAGTCCTTGGACTTCCAGGGCATCTTTTTTTTTAATGGCCTACATTTTTCCCCACCTGCCAGGTGAGGGTTGTTAGATTTTATGTCAGTTGCCTCCTCCTGCCTCGTCCTCCTCCTCCTCCTCCTCTCCTCCTCTCCTCCAGGCCTACTCCGTTATACTTGTCATCCTTTTCGTCCTGTCGGTCTCGTCGCTCGTCGTACTCGTCCAAGGCGATCCCGCGATCCACCGGTTCCCTGCCGGACCTCAACCACGACCATCCACGCCCAGTGTTCCCTGCCGGACCTCAACCACGACCAGCCACGCCCAGTGTTCCCTGCCGGACCTCAACCACGACCAGCCACGCCCAGTGTTCCCTGCCGGACCTCATCTGCGAGTATCCATGCCAAGTGTTCCCTGCCGGACCCTCAGTAGGAAAGATAGGGACAAGAGAATGCAGAGATAGCAGAAAAATGCCAGAAGAATTGCCCGATTTAAAAATTGCAAGGAGATATGCCCGATAGGATATGCCAGATAGAATGTAAGATAGAATGCCAGAGAATATGCAGAAGGATGCCAGAAGTTGCCAGGAATTTGAGAAGAATGCAGAGATATGCCGAGTAGCATGCCAGAAGATATGCCAGATAGAATGCCAGAAGATTTGCCAGATAGAATGCCAGAAGATATGTCAGATAGAATGCCAGAAGATATGCCAGATAGAATGCCAGATAGAATGTCAGAAGATATGTCAGAATATACCAGAAGATATGCCAGATAGAATGCCAGAAGATATGTCAGATAGAATGCCAGATATGCCAGATAGAATGCCAGAAGATATGCCAGAACATATGCCAGATAGAATGCCAGAAGATGTGCCAGAAGATATGCCAGAAGATATGCCAGATAGAATGCCAGAAGATATGCCAGATAGAATGCCAGATAGAATGCCAGAAGATATGTCAGAATATTTGCCAGAACATATGCCAGATAGAATGTCAGATAGAATGCCAGAAGATATGCCAGATAGAATGCCAGAAGATTTGCCAGATAGAATGCCAGAAGATATGCCAGATAGAATGCCAGATAGAATGCCAGAAGATACGTCAGATAGAATGCCAGAAGATTTGCCAGTATGAAAATGTATAAATGTCATGGTGGGGATCACACGAAGTAAAGTAATTTAAGCTGTTGGTCTACATTTTTTACAGCACCGTTTCCGATGCGGCCGATCCCAGGCTTGCTGCCGCCTTGGGGTTCGACACGACGGTTTCATGGCGGCCGTGGCCAGTGAAGGTCTGAAGAAAGTCTCCGGCTATACCTGTCAAGATTTAGCCAACAGTGCAGCTTGGCGTGAAAAGCTGTACTGTCGGTGCTCGATTGACAGTGTTGATTAATACAACGCGAGCGTTATATAAGAATGTTGATTGCCGATGGCCAGGGTCCCTCAATTTCTTAACGGAAAGGGCCCATGTATTTCAGTATGTATGTGCAATTAATCGGCCGAGGGTCCCTCAATTTCTTAGCAATTTCTTGATGTAGTATACAATGGCACACCCAAGATTCCCAACATGCCCCAAATTCCAAATCTAGATTAAAGTCAATCAGAGGACACAACACAAGAGCAGATAGATTTTCATAAAGTCTCCGCAACCTTAGGCGTAGGAACCAGCAGTTTCACCGGGTAGGAGTAGGAGCCAGTTCTTTCACGGGGTACGTGTAAAGGCTAGTTTCTAAAATCAACACATGGCTAAGAAATCCAGCCCCTGGATTTCTTAGCTATGTAAGAGTTTGAAGATCCTTGTGTAGAGGAGACGCGTTACCGGGTAAGGGTTGAATTCAGTATTAAACCCAATACTTGGCTAAGAAATCCAGCCCCTGAATTTCTTAACATGTAAGGGTTTATAAGAGCCTAGTGTAGATGAGAGGTTACCGGGTAAGGGGTTGAATTCAATACATGGCTAAGAAATCCAGTCCCTCAATTGCTTAGCAATGCAAGGGGTTGTTTGTTTGTCTTTCCAGAGCGCCAACTGCTCTTCTGAGCCTGACTCTGCTCTTGTGCCAATCAATTTCTTCGCAAACATCCAAACTTCTTAGGCTTGAAGATTCCAGGGTCCCTCAATTTCTTAATTTCCATTTCCATATATACATTCCACAAAACATCTACGCGGGAAACAAATCCAGCCCTTGATTTTCTTATACAAGGAATTCTTATACAGTGCTGGGACTGTAGTTAAATACCATGAAATACCATCCATCATAATATCAAAGAAACACATCCAGATGGTGAATACTTGGGTGATCTATAACAGTGCTGCGTGTTAATGGATTGATTTAATAGGGCATATCTGAACCGAAACTATGTAATCTTTACACCAGCAGGTAATTAATGTGGGTTCCACTTCCACTATTTTTTTTTCCATCAACTAGTTCTGGGAGCTGGGCATGATCAATAGCTATACGTGATCAAAGCGGGTTGGCAACAAATACATAATAAGACTCGGAAAGCCGACTGCCAATGACCAGAGAGTCTTTTCAAATGCAATCGATTTCCCAGGGGCTCTGGACTGTTTTGGGAATGTTAACATTCACACCATTCCACACCAACGCTTGAGCTAGCTCCCCAGTTTTTTGCAATGTTGCCTACAATTAATTACAATGGTCGACCCTTGTCGTGCTCGTTGACAGCTTGTGGCTGCTTGCCTGTTCACACCTGGAAGACGAGCCTGATAGGATTCCCAACAGATCTTCCTGACCACGGCCCGAAGGCTTCTTTAGAATCTTTGGAAGGATAATGAAGGGTACTGAAACCGCAAAAACCTCCCCGCCTATCTTCTGGTCAACAAACAGTTCGCTCTGGAAACCAACCTTTTTCGAAAGCTAGATCATCCTAATTAGGTAATCAATTAACTGACTTACTATATTCACCAAATGGGCCATCTATCGCATGTTAGCTATATAACGGAGGCCATTCCCTCCCAGGCCATGGCCTTTGCCAAGCCCAACATCTACCACGAACACTTCCTGGCGGCGCTGGCGCACTACGCGGGCCGCAAGATGCACCAATTCGAGGCGCGGGAGGTGTCCAATGCCCTCTGGTCCTTCACCATTTTGCGGAAGAACATCGTCAGCCCCCAGTGGTCCCTCGGCGAAGTCGATCAATCATTTTGGGATGGGGAAACTTAAGATTAGAGGGAAGTAACATGAAGTCTCATGACGTAAGTATATATTCTTGGTGAGTTTCCTTGTTGCTGCTGCGAGAGCATTGGGCAGGGACATCCAGCACAGTATTTTTCAGGCAGATTTCGTTCCTGTACAAAGATTTCGCCATTGACTAGGCATGACCAACCAGCCAGAATTCTATTTGTTGTTTTTGAAAATTGGCAAAGGTCATCAATCGTCCTAAAACCCCACTAGTTTCCCCACAAATGACAATTGGCAAACAGGTGAAAAAAATGTTCTTTTTCCAAACTTATGATTGGACTCGTACTCTAACTTGCGTTGATCATCGCTCCAGGTTGGACAATGCTCTGGTGCATTTTCTTGAACTGGTGCAGAAACGGCACTACGAAGGGTGGGAGCTGGTGCAGGCCTGGTGTTGATTGGTCAACCCATGGGTATATGATATATGAAACCCATATTCCCCATGCATGGTGCGAACTTGGAGAGGTGTGGGTCATTGTTGGGGCAATTGTTTACCAATTTCCTCGCAAGACCGGCTGCCGAGGTGGTGAACGCATGCTGGCCCTATCGCCATGACCTCCGTCATTGGGTTACCTTGGAGAAGACCTTCCAGGATCGCGTTTTTACCCGTGTGGTTGATGCTTTGGATGCTATTATTGGCCGCGATCAAGGTCTCTTGGGCATGTCGGAACCCTTGGAAGCTCCAGTGGAGGCAGCGCCAGCACCACAGAAACTGTTGAATGCCGGCCCTGCCACCCATGGCAGCTTGACCAGTCCGCTGCCTCTGCGCTTGTCTCCCTTGGAAAGTGCTCGACGGAATGCGCAGCGATTGATTGATCAGCTTCAGGTGGATGTCAAAGTTGTTTTGTTTGCGAGTTGTGTGGTGGCATACGTTCATTAAACATCATGGCAGTAGACCATACACTAATCTATGCCATACCCGGCTTGGCTGCTGCCAGAGGAAAGCGCAAGAAAGCCATGGAAAATCAGCAGGAAACTTCTTTTTGTAGTAAGAGCATGTAAGAGCCATGGTTTCCTCCTAGATGTTTGCCTTTTTTAAACAGTCGAACAAAAATAAGATAAAAAATGCCACAAAATGACCACTTTCAGGTGGATTTCCTGGGTCCCATCTTCACCCGCGTGGCCATGCGCGACCTGCGCTTCCTGGATCCCCGGGACCAGCGCGGCGCCAGCGCCTTTGGCCGAAGCCGCAACGGCGAGGACGAAGAGAGCCCCGAGTGGGGACGGGTGGCGCGTCAGAGGGTGGCCGAGGCGCTGGCCAGACGCTGGGAATGGATGGGGGGATCTCCGGAAAAAATGGATGGTTGGTGTTGAATGGTTGAACGCTTCAACTGGGTTTAAAATGGTTTAAGATGGTTTGATTATGAAAAAATTGGGTTTAATGGTTTAACCGTTTAACCTGACGGGAAGAGGCTTAAACCACCAGATTCTGGATGATTTTGGTGTGTCCTTACTTTGGTGCCCGCAAAGTTGGTGTAGTTTACTGGGAGGAGTAGGATGGGTTTGGGTTGGATGTGTGAAACTAAAGCTGTAAATGGATGGCATCACCTTCCAATGATAGTGGGACAAGCTGGATTTCTACCGGGATTAGAAATGATAATGCAAACCACATCAAACCACTGGATTTCGGACGATTATGGGATGTATCCCACAGAAACCGCTTTGGATATTTGATGATTTTTTGGGTGTATCTCCTTTTTTTATCCTTTTTTGTGAATATTAAATTACGCTGGATCATGAGGCCACCATCGTAAACAAGTTCTACAGGCAACTTTTGCCCGTGTGCCCTGCACTCCCTGACTATCGCTAAGGAATCCGTGAAGAACTTAGCTACATGTGGTTTGATCGCTTTGGGCCTCATGAGCGAAGAGTCATTTCCTGGAAGCTGGGCCCTTGACAAAATCCAGTTCCCTATGAGCGAGTCATAGCCCATAGGGCCTATGGACATGTTACATATTCTTGACACAGTGCCATCAGCTCAGATGTGTGCGCACTGTCCTGACATGTCCTGATCCCAGTCACCTCCCAACCGTTCCCAACCCTAGCATTTCATATCCTTTCCTTTTCATCTAGATATCTATAGTATATGATAACGATCTACTGTATCATTATCTTTTACTATCTATCATATTGCATCATCTTCCCGCAGATTCCAAGGATTGCCTTCCAACTCAAAGTGGAGATCACTTCGGAAACCTCCAATCAAGCGCCCTGCGAGGAGATTTTGACCGAAGAGGGCCGCATTTGCTCCTTCAGCGGCTTGGCCTTTCAGAAAGCATCCATGGCCTGTAAAATAGTTGCCGTGGGGTCCGTGGGGTTAAGGAAAAATTATCTAGCCCAGATCAAATGGGAGCTGTATGTCTATATATGTTTCAATCCCTTCAAATTTCATCACCACTCATCAGAGATATCAGAGGATTCCCAACTGCTTGTACCCATTTGTGACTATATAATGTTGGACGTTGATTAGTGGAGGGCCTCCCCCAAACAATTGTGGTATACGGTATACTCTTTTAGAAGTTAATTTTGGAGGGATCATGTTTGGAGAACTCAGGATGATCAACTTAAGCAAAGATTTCAGTTGATGCCAATCTACGTTCAATTTGTTTTCCTATTTAAAAACAACTGGGGATTAATTAGGAAAGCTAGCTAAAAGGTTATGTGTTTTTTACCCCAGATGTTTTTGCCACAATAGAGTACCATCCAACCAACTATTTTTGAGGGTCTGAGTCAGTCATGGGCAACCCCCTTGCAAAATTGATTGGGTGCTCCTTTTCAATTGGATTGATCATTTGGCACATCTGCAATTGGATAAGGAAATCCGGCCAGGGGCCCCCTGGCCGTGTCCTTGCCGAAGGCGTTTCTCTCCTCTCCATAGGAGAGAGGGGCCGCGCCCCCTGCCGCCGACCCACCCCGTCAGACCAAAAACCACCGCGTTTTACGGTGTTTTGTGCTCTTCCCTTTTTTTTTCCATTTCTCGGATCTTGTGGCTCCAGATCATTCAACCCGGCCCAACATAGTCTCAAGATGGGCCAACATAGCTTCAAGATGGGCCAACATAGTCCCCAAGATGGGCCAACATAGCCCCAAGATGGGCCAACATAGGCCCAAGATGGGCCAACATCGCCTCGAGATGGACCAACATAGCCCCGAGATGGGCCCACCTTGCCTTCAAGACAGGGCAAACCCGGCCGTCAAGCTGGGCCAACCTAGCCCGAAGATGTGCGAACTGGACCAACATAGCCCCAAGATGGGCCCACATTGCCATCAAGCTGGGGCAACGTGGCCCCGACCCGAAAGCACAAACCCCAAACCCGCACGCGCAAACCACGACCGACCAATCCCAACCCACCACCTCCAAACCCCAAACCCACTCCGTCTGGCCAAAAACCCGCGTTTTACGGTGTTTCGTGCTCTTTCCATGTTTCCCCTTTTTCGGCCTTCGTGGCTCCAGATGCGGCAGGCCGCAAGATGGACTAACATAGGCCTCCGGATGGGCCAACATAGCCCCCAAGATGGGGCAACATAGCCCCAAGATGGGCCAACATAGCCCCAAGATGGGGCACCATAGCCCCAAGATGGGCCAACATAGCCCCAAGATGGGCCAACATAGCCCCAAGATGGGCCCACATTGCCCTCAAGATAAACATAGCCCCAAGATGGGCCAACATGGCCCCAAGATAGGCCGCCGACCATCAAAATATCCTGCGTTTTACAGTGATTTTTTTCCTGTTCCAATTTTTCGGATCTTTTGGCTCAACATGGGCCAACATGAGGCCACCATAGCCACAAGATGGGCCAACATAGTTGGGCCCCTGGCCGGCTGTCGCGCGTAAGCGCTTAAATACATTGTTGAATTTAAGGAATTCGTAAGGAAATTAATCTAAGGATTTTTGTTCTTGGACCTCCTTTTTTCCTTTTTCATCAATTGGGTCTAAGAAAAAGCTTTCCACAATAGGGTACCATCCCACTCATCGGTATTCTACATTAAGATATTAAGGCACTATGTGTTAAACATGTTTATTCATCACCATCAAACCCTACTGCCAGTTACAAGTTGGTTTGTAAACCCCATAAACAAAACCCTTGACAATATGTACATTATGTTTGTGCCGTGAAAACTAGTTACCAGTACTGTGGTCACCCAATGATCAACCACTCCCCAATTCCAATGGATCAATGGACGATCATCATGTTCATCATGTTTCCCATTATGACTATATGGTGGTATACCCAATTTTGTAGACTATCATCTTAATTACTAGGTTGGTTAGATACATGTTGTAGCCCATGATATCTCGTGTAACCATAGTTTATCATATAGTTAACCAGTTAAACCCATTATAACCATAGTCAACCATAGTAAATTCCATTTAAGTGACTATAGTTGTTCATAAACCACCAGGTTTGGATGAGCATCGCGCCATGGACAAGCGCGGTCTCGAGACCTACACACGGCTGGAGTCGCAGTGGAAAGGCGCCTTGAAATGTCCGGACCGGAGGTGGGTAGGCTCCGGAGCAACCCACAACGATTTGGAAGATTTTGGTGATTCAACCGATTTGACCAACAAAATTTCGTGTTCTTTGGGTGGAGCTTGACTTATTCAACCAAGAAATACAGTATAGGAATATGTTGCGGAATTTTTTGATTTAACCGATTTAACCTACAGGATATGGGGATATAATTCTCCCGAACAATGAGGATTTCAGGGATGATTTCAGCAGAAAAAATAGACGGATATATGAGGCATAAATCTGACTGATATAGCCACTTTTCAGACATTGGCAGAATTTGGTAAATTGCTATGGTTTCATTACAGTATGGGATTTCTTCATCGTATCAGCCCTGTTGAAACACTGACTGTGTTTTCCTTTGAAGCTGGGCTGATAACAGACCGTTTCCCCAAGAGGGATCCCTACGCATGGGACCCCCAAATGAATAGAGAGAGACAGAGGGGAGAAAAATACATCATTTTCAAAGGTTGCATTCAATATGGGAGGAAGGGATAATTATTTCTGATTTTCAGACTCATCCGAAGACATGGGAGGAGGATCCCTGCACTTTCATGTTTTCAGGACGTATGAAACTGTAAATGGGGACGAAGGTCGTGCTTTTGGGGTCTCATTTTCAGATTCCACGGGTTTATCCGACCATCCATCCATGAATCCATGGGTTTTGTGTGTATATGGGGCTTCGGTGCTGAGGTGAAGTGCTCTTCACACTACAAGATGTGCGCAAAGGAGACGCAAAACTCGCGTTGTGGTGTAGCATCTAGTGGCACTGGCTGCTTAGTGATTGTGGCATCGATTTGGCCATCCGGTGCAGGACAGGAGTGGCTTCAAGGTCTTTTTGCCCAACATGACCGCGCAGGGCATACTGAGAGGCAAGCCTTATTGGAGGCACCCAGGGCTAGCGGCTGCACAGCCGCAGACGTATTAAGTGAATAGTGATACACCCTGAAATTCAAATGGATTCAAATGGGAACTTCACCACTGAAGGAAAAAAAACATGGTGAACTTTTTGTGTTGTTGCCAGGTTCGCTTTTCATTGAGTAAACCTTTGGGAGCCAAAAAACAATGTATTCCCAACAAGTCCATGCCATCACCTGCATCACGGGATGAGACAGGGCTTGGAACCATGGTATGTCAATTCTTGTTGATTATGAGTGAGTTGAGCTGTTTAGCTACATCTTCACCCCTTTGTTTTCCTGTTGTTTGTGAAATCACCACTTTTTGCACTTTTTGCTGTGCTCCAAGCTCAAAGTGAGCACTTCAAAGTATTTGAAGAAACCATTGCAGAGTGTGATAGGCTCAGGGGGTTATGCTACCCAATTTATTCGGGACTATGTTAGCCATCTAGCCATTGTTTCTTTTTTTGCCGGGATATCAATTTATGATTTGTGTTGGTATCAATATACTTATATCATTAAATGCCATGACCCAGATGTGCGAGGGACTCGGCTGGTGGCGCTGGAGAGATAGAGGAATCCCATACCGGTCCTAACAAATGTTCATCCTTGTAGCGGGCCAGTGTTTGTATACTATACCTGGTTTGTTGGCGGTATTACCCATAATGTTAGAAACCCATCGCCAATATGACCTGAAATAGCTCAGGTCAGATTGAAACCATCACGAAATTGGTGGTTTATGGCATTGGCAATTGGGTTTACCACCTTGACACGTTTTACTTACCAACGGGGGATAGATCCCAGTATATCTCATATTTAAACGCCGCTGAATGACATCCCATTCTATCCCATTAAACTGATTGCTTACACCAGGTCAATACCTCATTCCCATTTGATAATCAAGCATGGCAATGGAAAATCACCAAGGTATAGATGATGTTCCTATTAAACCCTCAATTGGAGCTGTGGGGTTTGCCGGCGATGTTTGATTATGGCATTGAATTACCACATGATGCCATAGTTGCATCTTTATATCTACATATAAAGATATATATGTATAATTATAAAAAATATATATATATATAATAATATAATTCGGTCGAATAACAGTTGTTGCATATACCAGCTCGGCACTGACTGTCTAACCCAGTTTATTCCATTATATCAAATGATATCACATCATATCCCATCATATGTACCGTTAAATCATTATGATTTTGCGCTCAACAACATTAACATCATTAATTATAGGTCTTAGCACCATTAAATCACCCATTAAATCATATTAAATCCCATCAATCCCCATCATATGTTCCATTAAATCACCATTAAATCATCTTAACACCATTAAATCACCATTAAATCAACATTATTTACCATTAAACCACCATTAAATCACCATTAAACCACCATTAGATCACCATTAAATCACCATTCAATCTCCCACTGTTCCCAGGTGATCCTGGAGATCATTTCCTCCATCCGTCGTCAACGGCAGAGCCAGCGCTTGGAGCGTCTGGAACGGCAGCGCGAGTCGTCCATTGAGCTGGGCTTGTTCGATGGCTCCTTAGGGGCACGGGTCAGCGGCCAGAGCCTGGCCGCAGATGTGGGATGATGATGTGGGATATGGATATAATATATATATATATATATGTATATATAACTATGTATATAAATACATATATATATATATGTTTGATATATATGTTTGATATATATGTTTGATATATAATGATAGGCAATGATCATTAAACTATCTCAACTATTGTCAACTGATGTTAACAAATGTTAATTGATGATAGGTATTGGGATGATCATTAAACTATCTTAACTATACTACAGCTAATCTTAGCTATACTTAATGGACGTTAGCAAATAAGTTCATCGATGTTCATTTCAGTTTTGTTGAATCCATTTGAATCCTGAAACATGGTCATTTAATCGGATATGATGGGATGTATAATGGGATATGACGGAAGATGGTTGGTAGGTTTACTGGTATAGGTTATATGGTGTTATTTTGTTTAGGTATAATACTGGGATATGTGATGGAATATTGATATGAATGAATAAATGATTTTTAACAAATAGCAGACAAGATCCATTTCAATTCAAATATCTTGATGGTTTGTTGGAAAAATGTAATGACTAATGGCATATGACGGTGACTTTCTCCAAAGGGAATGAAGTTACCCTCTGGGAATCAAACGTGGCTAGCTGGAAAATCCACTATGAAAATCATCGAACTAAATATGGGGGATTTTCCAGCACACCGTGTTCGATTACCGGAGGGTATCCAAGTTGACCAACGTTGGAGTTGTTTTTTTGATATGGGGATACAACGGAGATAGGATTTTTGTTCGTGGGAGATATCGAAATTTCCTGAGCTCTTCGATACCCTAGTTTGGCTAGGTGTATCAGTTACACATGAACCATGTTCTGATGATATTATGGGAGATAATGAAGAAATACGGCTACAATTAACAACGACCATTAAACATAATCAGTTAGATCCTCTAGCCATACGAAATTGGGGTTCGAAGATGCGGACACAACGGGGTGGACCGATGGAGCTGTGATGGGAATATCATGAGCTCACCCAGTTAGTCAGTGGCGCCTCCCAAGCAGCTGGAAAACTGTGCTGAAGTGAGTTTCCCTGGAACAATGACCACTAGAAACATTGATCATGGGCTTGCGAACGATGAAAACTGGAAATAGCCTCCGGAAAGTTAATATAGCAATGAACAATTGCCCATTTAGGTCGATGATGTCCCTATCAAACATGGTGATTTTCCATATTTTGCGTAGCTATGTTGAGGTACCAAAGAGTATATACGTATAGAGGCTCGAGTGGGGATGCAAGTTCCAGTCACCAGTCGCCCCAGGATGCGACTCTTTGTGTGCCACTTCTGTTGCATCTCGTGTATGGCTGCCATTTGTGCTCTGTCTGACAGCTGTTAATGTTTGGTTGGCCCTTTTTTTGCCAATGGGAAGAGAATTACCGGATTCCGTGTTGAGGTATAGAATGACTGTAGTTGTATATGCTGCATTTGCTGATATATGCTACAGTATCTTGAGTTGAATAGAAATGTTCGGGGCGACTCGACGAGCCATTCCAAGGCAACTTCGTCCGGCGCTTTCCACACATCCAAATTCACATTGACTACGATGATGTTTGGAAGACGCGTCTTCTGGACATCTAGTCCTGGTGTAGGTTGTGGCGTGTTTGTCAAAAGAGGGGCCTTAGCTGTTTGCACGTGATGCTGATGATGCTGTTGTTTTGATGACTACAAGATGGTAGCCGCTATGCCAAACACGGCGGCATCTATGTTAACTCATTATAGGCCCTGCCTAACATTGGCTTAGAAATGCTTGGAAGATGAGTTTCCACTAAGAACTGGGCATTTCCAGGGTCTATGTTGATTTAGTGGATGTTATTCATAATTAAATGATTTTTGCTAACCAATATGCTGGAGGATGTTTCATTTGCCAGGCTAGATGGCTATAGAGGCATAGAGGTGTTTTTGAGGACACGTTGGGTGGGCCACGGATACGCATGATGTCGCATACCTTTCCCACGGGGTGTATCAAGGTGTATCCCTAGTTTTTTGAACAAGCCAAGAATAGGTTTTGTTTCTCCCGTTGCAGCCGACCAACCCTCTCGGCTCAACCACGTTCCATTCTTGTGACCGCTGGGACTGCACTGGGACCGCACTGGGACCGCACTGTTCCGCGGTGGTTTGATGAGTAAAGGGACGCTTGGTGGCTCAAACTCTTATAGTTTTGTGTATTTTTTTTGTTTTTCCGACTTGTGTTTTGAAACGTATAGTCTGTATAGTTTTTGCTGTTCCTTGGGACGGTGCCATCCACTGGCGATGGCTTTTGTGTTAGTAACCCAATAGCAAAACATGTATCATCCAAATTGATCAATGAAACATTATGAAACTATTGTGTTACTTGCACAAAAACCATGGGTAATGCATGTTTTACATTATTTTCCTGTATCCTAAATGTCTGCGACATGACTCGGGATATTTTGAACTCCCCAGATCGCAGGATTCTGGGCTTCGCTGTTCTCCTGCGTGCAGCTGCAGTGGCTAGGTCCTAAGGTTGCTGTGTTTGAAAACGGGATCTACCCCAATGTAAAACATGTTTTTTGTTTGAAAGTTTATATCAGACTGATCAGGAAAAATGATGGAAGACATGATAAAACAGTTCATACGTATCGGGAAAAATCATGGTTGACTGCATTGAAGGATGATCTCAAAGGGAGCGGGGGAGATTCCAATCCGTGGTCGCGCCTTGTCCATCCTATTATTATTTTTTAATACACATATATTAGATTATATGAGATTATAAAACTCCTGAAACGATAGAAAAAACAAATCCTACTAAAAGGGTGGTAAATTACTGTTCTATGTTTTGGTTTCTATATAATATATTTGGATGGATTATGATGACCTCATTGTGACGTCACTGGAATGATGACTATAGTAATGAAAATTTTACCCACATGGCATTATTTCGGCTACTCACGCCAGTTTCAGGTTTGCAAATTGATTATTATAGTTATGATTCGGCCAGTTTTAACACACACACATTCCAATCATATTCTCATGTATTGGTTACATCCCATTATATCCCCCTATATTCCCCATATAATTCAGCCAGGAATCCATAAATCCCAGCAGAATCCAACTATATAATTTGTTGTTGAGCTACTGTTCTATATTATATATATATAGAGAGAGAGATATGGGCTCTGTGATGATAATGGTAATCAGACGGTACTCCATTGTATGATATATCATTACTTTGTCCTACTGAATTACTATTCAGAATGATTGTTATATGGTTGATGGTTTGGAACCATTTTTCCATATATTGGGAATAGGAACCCCAACTGACTTTCATATTTTTCAGAGGGGTTGAAACCACCAACTATAGTTATATATATACACACGTCCATTACCAACATAGTGTAATGTATTGTTAATCGATTACTACAACGCTATAAATCTATCAATCTCCAGCCCTGTGGTAAGGACCTGCCGCATGACCTGCTGGACATGATGGCACCGGAAGGCGACGCGGAGGATGCTGGCCTGCTGCAGCACAAGGCGCACGCCAAGGTCAATGTGAGCAGCCCGGTGTCCAAGACGAATCCCATGAAGATCCTTGGAGTTGCCTGCGAAAATCCATGAACACCATCAAAAAATGCTGATTTTTATGGAGCTGCGTAAATGGGAAAAATTATCATCTATATAGACTACAGGTTGATGATAAATGGACGTGTTAATGGGAAAATCATCTATTATAATACATGAATAGAAATGGTGCATTTTCATGCATTTTCCATTGGATTTCTCCGACCATCACCCGCTGAATGAAGGGTGTATCAACCACCGCTACCTCGTTCCAGGGGCAATTGGCCGGCTGGCCCTTGATTGGAAAATCACCTGGCGATATCGTGAACCAAGGATCTACATGCACTACATGCCCTGGTTCCAAAGCAAAGATTTCAGTGGCTTTTGGGGCTACCATTGGAAGATGAAGACACAAGACCCTGAGCATTTTGTGCGAGGCTCCGAGGGCTCCCAACGGAGGCAGGTGGCCTCGCACTTCTATCCACTCATTGGAGCTTATGATTCTGGAGATCCCGACGTCTTGGAGTACCACCTGTTGTTGATGCTCTACGCCGGAATCGATGGTGTGCTGATTGACTGGTATGGTAGCCACAAGGTCCATGATTATGGTCCAAACCTGGAGAATTCAGAAGCGCTGATTAGCAAGATGGGGGCCATGGGTGGTTTGGAGAGTAATTTCAGCCAATTTCGTTTTTGCATCAGCAAATATCCCACGAAGTTGAGAATTCTTATCGTTGGAATATGGTTGGTGTATGTTATCATGCCTCGGGATAATGGGTCCAGTTGACGAATGACCTGAGGCATGAAGTTCGGCATTGTGTACGAAGAGTATGTCTGTGAAACTGTTGCCAAAGAGAAGATGAGCCAGATTGAAGCAGCTCAGCAAGACATGTCCTACATGGAGAGCAGCTCAGCATCTTTCAGCCCTAGGTGTTTTCTAATAATTGCATTGGCATTTGGATGTATATATTATGTGTATTTGTGCGGTTTCATCTATGTTAGTTGACCTTATATGCATGAACTTCTCGCTCACAGAAGCTGGAAGCTGCACTCACTGCGACTCCATATCGACCAAATAGATTTGCCTGTTTCTTGGCAGAAAAGACAACCAGGCAAGTATTTCTCTTCACCGTTGTACATCAAAGTAAAGGAGGAGAAGCCGCTCCTGCTCACCTTTGGTCCACGTTTGTTTCAACATGAGAAGCAGTGGACCAACATTTTCAGCGTTCTAAAGAAGAAGATATCCTTCGCACCCCTCTGGGGAAGTCGCAAAGCTGTCGGATACAAGAATGCCGATGGCGAGTTGCTTTGCGGTGTCAATTCATGTCAATTCATGTCAATTCCATCATGAACATGGAAGTTGAGAACTTGGGGTCCACCAAATCTGCTCCACATCTGTTCAAAATCGAGCTGTCAATAGCTGTCATCCCCTGGGTTTTCTATGGTTTCACCATGTTTCACCATGTTTCACCATGTTTCACCCCATGACCTCTTGATTTTGCTGGCCTCCCTGGCCTCCCTGAGATGATACCAGGTTCTCCTGGGTGGACTTTGATGCCAAGTGCCCCAAGCTGGCAGACTTCTACCGGAAATCCTCAGATCCACTGATGATTGGTTCCGCCTGTCCCGGCTTCTACGACTTCTACGATCTTCTGCTGATTTTCTATTGAGTGAGAAAGGTTGTCGACATGGTTTCCACAGACTTTTTGTGCCCCAGTATCATCCAAGATGTTTGAAGTTATGTTAGTTTCAGATGGGAAAACCAATGGTGGCGCAATAATTTCTTTCTAATTTAGTCTTGTTGTGAGGCCATTTTTGGGAAAGCCCCGATTGTTTGGGAATAATTGTCCAACCTTATCGGTTGCCCATGGTTGTCCGTTAAAAAATGACCAACAGCTAGGAGGAGGGTGGTGCACAGCAGGGGTTTCCACATTTGAAGCACCAGAATGGCGAAACGCTTCAGAAGAGCCTGGAATTGGCAAAAGAAAGTCAGTTGGAAACTTGGTATGCGCAATGGTACTGCTTGGAGATGTGATATGTACAATTATGTAGAATTATTGGGAATGATTCGCACATTGTAGGAAATAAATCCGCAATCAATAGGGATATGAAATTGGCATTTATCCAACAAAATATGGGGATGGTAGAGGATAATTTGGTAAACCCAATGATAAGCTTCCAGTTTCGCAGCTTTATAAAACATGTTTAACTGCTATACTCAATTTTCTCCCAATTTCTGGTGATATCAGGAATAGTTTAATATTGGCTTTACCACATTAGGAATTTGAGTGGCTTGTATATATTCAATAGGGAGGCACAGCCCAAGAAAGCGAGCTATTCCCTAATTATAGACTACTTTAGTATACTTTATTTGTGTTTCGCTTTTTAATTTGCTCACGGACCTCGATCACAATGCTACTGGCCCGAATCCATGTATCGTTCTACCGAAATTTTTCAGACACGTTCAAGATTTTCATTTTTATCAATTGTGGTCCTGAATTGCTACTGCTACGTATTCAGATGCTTGCCAGCTGCTAGTGACTACTTTTGTTGCTGGTTCCAGTTTTTTACTAGTTTACATGAAATACGTAATGAACATTATTGTAGTTTTCAAAATTGGCTGAAGGGACAATTTGAAGGGACAATTTGCGGTACATCAATCCTTTTATTTGGGCGCCAATCAAGAATCCATACTACAGTTTCATCATGTTTCATCTAGATGGTTCCTTCACATTAATCAATAACCGTTACCAGTACATCTACACCATTAATTTAGAAGGCTACTAAATGTTTGACTTTTGATCAAATGATATATGTTCCGAAAGAACGACCATTTTTTGCGGAACTGCGTTTTTGGACATTTCAAAAAATATGTAATTTTGCAACGACATTGCCGGACCAAACGGCGACGTTACCTGACCACATGGAGAGACATGTTTCACAACGGTGCGTTTTTGCAAAAATGATTTTTCTTTACAAGAACGACTGAAATTTAAGATCTTTTGGAGCAACGGCGGAAAAAAAGTACCACATGGAAGATGTACATAGGTATGGAACATCCAACTTGAAAGCGGATTATTTTCCGAACCAACCATGGGATTCCGTATCTTTTTGTTCGTTAGGGGGTCCCAGCCAGATGTCCCAGGAATATTTGCAGTTAGTCACCTGGAACGATTTCGGCGACTTGGAGATCATAAATGAGGATTTAATATGATTTAACCATGACATGATGCGTGCAAGCAATGGTCCAATCTGCTTGGTGGTGTCAAAGATGTTGATCTTTTTCATGAAGGGATGATTGGGGGGGACCTGTTGTTGAACCACCAGAAACATGTTGAAACCACAAAGATGATCTAATTTGGAGGTAGCAAGTAGCAATGGTTGTTTTTTGCAAGTCTCTGGCGGGAAACCGTTTTTTTTTAACGAAACCATGGGCTGCCCTAGCTGGTGACGAACACCCGTTTCAGGTGAAGGAACCATGATCGAGCCGACCGTGGAATATAAATTTAAATTTCTTGATGCCTGGCAGCTTGAGATGTGTTTTTCCCCCCTTGGGCACTGCCAGGCAGAGTATAAGTTGATGTAAATGGAGGTTCCTAAGTCATGGGGTACCGCAATAGCTGGATGGTTTATAATCCAAAATCCTATTAGAATTGATGATTTGGGGGTACACCCAGTTTAGGAAACCTACAATTTGTTTCTCCACTCTGAAAAAGTTGCTTTCTACTGGCGGAGCACACTATGTAAGTTTACAGGCACTCTTCAAGTAACAATCGTAGAGTTTTAGGGCCCCCAACCCACAAACTTTCCTGAATCCTGGTAAGATTTCGTTCATCTCCTTGATTTTCCTGAGGAAATTGTTCAGAAATTCACTGGAGTGCCATATGGTGTAGCAGAGCTCGAGCTGGCCACTTGCTTAAAAGGGCACCTGCGCTCATGCAGTGCGGGAGCCCCTCTCGAACTGGCCTCGGCACTTTTGAAGTGATCAAATGAGGATGGTAACATACCGTGCTTGCAACTGCTGAAACAAGCACATGATGGAGGTATCATCTATGGTTTGAGTTTGTTGAGCTGCTGAGCTGTCCTTATGTCTATTTGTTTTATTCATGTTCATTCATCCCAACCAATAGATTTCATTGATTTCTTGATGCGAAACATCTACAGAAAGCGAACAGAAAGCGAAAGGAAACCATTTTGCTCATCAAATTAATGACTTTCCCTCGATTATTTCCCTTCAACCATGTCTAGGAAGATATATAATTTCTTATTAGTAATATGTTATAGGTTCCACATGAAAATGTATTCAACGGCCAGCATGGAGACTGCCGAAACATGCCGAAACTCAAAACTCACAATCTATTTTTTGCGAAAGAACGCATATCATAGTCCATTGTTTTTTTTTGGGGGGGGGGCCTTATATTCAGAGAAACCTATAGTTGTCCATTGTTTTGCTCAACAAGTGTTTGCATCGTTCATCATCGTCATCATCAACAGCATCATCATCATCATCATCATCATCATCATCCATAGTTATCCACCATCATCATTCATCATCCATATTTCTGGGGTAGCCATTCTCATTCATCATCCTTTGCAGCCAGGTCTTCTTCTACTACCTCCAGCGGAAGGCCTCGCGCGCCGCGGGAACTGCGAAGGATGCGCGGCTGGATGCGGCTTTTAAGGCGCTGGCTACCTTAGAGGTGGAGAAGGCCAAGGCCTTGTTGGAGCAAAAGGGGAAGAAGTTCCCTGGATTGAAGATTGCTACACAAGGCTCTAACTATAGACATATTATATTTGTACTTTAATTTTAAATTATTACTTATTACTGAATATTACTGTTTGTGTTTGTTTAATAGTGGTTAAATATTACTCTTATTACATATGTATATAGACATACTTGACCACCAGGGATGGTGTACCATTGGGTTTACAATATTGTTGTCGGTAATTACCCAACATTGGACACTAGATGGTAGGATATGAATGGAACAGTATGGATTAATACGGGATGATAGTGGGTATTAGATGATTATTCCCATAGTAGATGATTGGTAATGTGGTACGATTACAATATTATAAAATTATATATATATATATATAGTTTAACATGTCAGTGCCGTTAGTGCCGATTCTTCTATCCTTTTCTTCCCCACCTATCCGCTGGTAAACGGACAGTTCGCTATGGAAACCCGCCTTTTTGGATAGGTAAATGGTAATGCGGCAAGCTCAATCGACCATTCCATTAAGCCATTTGGGGGTCATTTGACTTCATCAAAAACTCGATTGGGGATGGTTTATTATTGAGTTTACCACAATATTGTTGACACTCAACATTGGCCACTACATGGATCTATACCTATTTATATATATATATATATGTGTGTGTGTGTTTTTCATGAGGATATCACTAACAGTAGTCATAGTGGAAATTAACCAGCTACCTTTGGCGCTTACAAGGCTATTTTGGGTTATGCAGCCGATCCAAGTCTCTGAATATCAAACATTGGCGATCTTGGTACTGAGCTGATAACATAGCTATTTTGGACTTGGATATTGATGAGGATATAATAAACTAACACGATTTTTTTTTTCTCCGTTTTAGTGGGGGTTGACCGACTGTAGTGGACACATGTGGATGAAATTTAATCAAAATTGATCATAACAAATCTTAGATCATGTTAGGACACCAATGTATTTGGCAAACTACATGTTAGTTCCTTGGGTGTGATAGCGAATCATTGTCAACCAGAATGCATTTGGTAAAATTTGAATAGTGGTTGTTGTGTGTTTTAGTGGTTTGTTTGATGGTCTTCATCTAGCCGCTTCTAACCCGGTTATGGGAAGTTAATTAACATGCAAATTCTATGGGTTTAACCAATGGTCCATGGAATACTGTTATATGAGTTACATGCTAATTTCCCAAGGCATAGAAGTTCCCAAGTTATCATTCAAGTTATTGGTTGTTTCTACTGGGTAAAGAAACATGTTTTGCCGATTTGTTCATGCATGTTCATGCACCAGATTCTGCTACCACTCGCTGTGGCATCATGCTGTCAATGTTGCAAACCTGGATCAGGGGTTTCAGACTGAGGTAACGAGCAAGGACCGACGGTGTGCCGACTGCTGAATTTTGACTGCCGGTCTCTAAACTCACGGCAGACTGGCTCCTACTCAATGGTCTAATTGTTTCTAGATCATATACTTTGAATGGATTTGTTCAATTACGTGTATTGTTTTATCATTTCATTCATTTTGTATGAGCTGGTGGCAAGTTCCCAGAACTAGAGCGCCAAGTGGAGAAAAATGGCAGCTCAGGGGAGGCACAGTCCGGTTTGCAATGTGGATATTCTGCTGGATTCTTGCAAACCAGACGGGATTTAGCCCAAAAACAAGTTATAAAACACGCAAAAAGATATACAGCAAGAAGATCATTGGAGAATCATATGGGTTTGTCCGAAAAGAGAGGGACATTGAGGGTACATGAGGATACCATATATTCAATTCATAGCGATTTTCATCTTAAAGTGCTTACGGTTCTGCGACAAAAAAGGGCCGTGGCATTGGAACATGTGTAGTTCCTTTCTTCCTGGGATGAAACACCATCAGACTGGAGACCTGCAATGATCCCTACATTCCAATGATCTCCCTATTAGGCTAAAAATCATCATTTGGATGGTTGGTCTAATAGTCCCATCTCCCTGTGATATCTTCATATGTTCAATCCATGATTTTGTTCTGAGTGGCCAAAATTGGCCAAATTTTCGTCGTTTATATCTTTAAGTTACATTCATTTACTATATATTTTCAGGGTTCAAATCCTCATCTTGATCCCTACATCCTCATGTTTGTTGGCAAAAGGCTTATTTTTTTTGGATGAGGCATGGTAACTTTGAATTCTTGTGGCACATCTTCTTTTTGGCTGTTTGTTCGAAAATTCCCCTCGCCGATCTTCGCAGCGGTTTTTCCGTGGTGCTGCGCGCTTCCATTTTTCCTCTCGGGACACTGGCCGTGAGGAAGCTGGGACGACACGTGGAACGCCCCAAAACAAACCTCAATTCACAGAAAAATACGGGGGTTCCATAAATGGGATCCAATGGGGGTATCCATATACACACACACACATATATATATGTATATATATATATATATCATATATAATTGATCTTATTGGAATGGATAAGGGGTACCCCCATGGATTAGAAACCTCAATATATGACATGATGAGGTTCTGAAGCACTGAATCATGAAGCACAAGCCACCATCCACCACCGGGGTCTGTCCAAAAACATTACTGTATGTTTACCAACAATTTCGATGGCAACTTTAGCAGGTGAACATGATTTTTTCGACTGATAGATCTTGTGGTCTAATTGTTTGCCTGATGGGACCAATCATGCACCAGTTGATAGGTGCTTTATCCCACTACTTATAGGATTCCTCCAGGATGGCGCTGTGGATGGCGACGCTGGCACTTGTTGGGGCGCTGGCAGAGGTCGATTCCAATGCGGCCTGGAAGCAAGTACATGCACACAATGAATAGACCATTCACTAGACTGTCTAGACTCAGCTCAAGGTTTAACAATGGATGAAGATGGGTGTATAATCAACCATGGTTTGCTGGACAAACCACCAATTAGTTTGATGATTTTCCTTAAAGGCAAACACCTCTATTTGGTTCGGTGATTTCCCAGCTAGAAACGTTTGATGACACCGGAGGGTAAGCCTAATTGTGGCTTATGGAAATACCACCTGATATTCCCATGATATTCATGCTTATATATGCTTATGGTTGAGCCTTATTAAGCCCATATTTTTGTGTCCCGTGTCCATGGCAGTTTTCTCATCCGACCCATGCCAGGTGACCTCGGGCCTGAAAGTACGAAGGAACCAGGCAGTGGTGACCATTCTCCACCTGAGTGACACGCATAGCCTCCACCGTTCCATGGCTGACCCTTGCCATGGAATGGTGGGATGGGTTTAGGTTGATAGCTGGGGAAGCCCTGATTTGGTGGCTTATAGCCTATGGATGCTTATATGTTTTTTTTGATGTTGTTTGGAGGAAGATGGACAAATCAGGCCATGGTGGGATGTTGAATGTTGATTCATGAAACAAAACTGCCAAGTCGATGCTTCATGGTCGTCAAACAGCCACTTGGCTGCGGACCTGATAGGATCAGATAGGTCCTTTGGCCAGTCATGGCCGGCCAGTCCATATCATCCCGTTCTGAACTAACTCATTTAAGTACATCTGGCATGCTGAGGCGGATTCCGATGAGGCCCTGCAGATGTTATCAGGATGATCCAGCAAGGATTTCACAAAAGATGCATATATATATATATATATATATGTATATACAATGTACTCTTATAGATCTTGATATGGCTTAGTAAAAAATGACCACCCACCACCCGAAAGCCTCGTTTAGTACTCTTTTTCGCATGTTTTTCTGGGCGACTGTTTGGAGTCGCTGAGGACCTGCCGAGTGCCGACATCCTGATCCACTCCGGGGACGTGGCCAAAGTGGGCTCGGAGAGCGAGTTGGGGGACTTCAACCAGTGGCTGTGGAGCATCCAGCACAAGTTCCGCCACATCCTGGTGATCTCAGGATGGGCATGATCAAGATCCATCAAGTCCCGACAGCCATTGGTTTGATAGTTCAAAAATGTTCAAGATCAAGGTGCTAGGTGCCGTATCTCTTCGATTAGTTTTTTTGAATTGCCTCCAAAGTTCTAAGCAAATTGACCCAAGTAATTCCAACTCTTCCAGGTTTATTGTAGACATTTATCAGCCCAAAGTGGTGAAAACTTGCATTTCAGATGTATACTATTACTTTTGTTCACCAAACTTGTACTTTTTCTGTTACTTTCCTGTCTTTTCCTGTGGGAAGGAAACCACGATTATTGGGACACCAATTGGCGTTTGAATCGCGGAGAAGTGGCCGCGGCTGAAGCTCATCACCCAAACTACTTGCAGAGGAAGGTGAGGAAAATACCGTCGGACAATATACCATTATCTTTTGGGATGGGATGGAGGGAGATATAATATATATATATATATGGGGGTACCCCTACTTTACTACGGGGGGTTTATTAACGGCATGTGGACATTATATCTATATATAGTAACCACCAAAAAAGATGGAAAGGAAAAGTCCAACTAAAATAGTGATGAGTAGTGATGAACTATACTATACTTTCTTATCGCTTTGTGGTTTCAATAGCTAGAAAGGCTTCATAAGGGGATGAATCCCATGATTCATAGGGATTTCAAGGGAATCAACGATTGGGTAGTTATACTACGTGGCTTATTAATGCTTATTAGGGATTCATCAATATTACTCAAATTGTATAACCTGCAGTTAACAGGAACATATATAAGAATATTTTCTCACCAACCAGTTGAATGGGACGGGAAAACTCGTTTTTTTCATGGCTCAGGTGACCAATGCACGGGTTCTCAACCACGAGCTGGTCACGGTGGCACGGCGTTGTTTGAGATATTTTTTTAGAATGGCGGAAGCCAAATCATCTAAACCAGGATGTTTTCTTCAATGATGTTTTCTCCAGAATTTCTTTATAAAACTTCGAAATTGTAATTCAATGTAATTCACATTTTGAGGCTGTATTTGTTGATTTGATTGACTCAATTTAGTGTATATCAGTAGTACAAACCTGAAAATGTAATATTACATTTTCGCTGCAACCCTGGCGTTGCGCCGCGTCTGACTTCAGGTGGCTATGAAGACACAGTTGATGTTATTACCCCCCATCAACATATTGTTCATAGGGGGTGGCGAATCTTGACTAATTTTGATCCTTCATGCAGATACAGTTGATGTTATTACCCCAATCAACTGGGAGAAGTGCATGGGTTTCAGTATGTTTCAGTCATGAAACGACCAGAACCAGAGGGGCAAAACGACCACAGATCCATGCAGCCAATAAACTGCACGGTACTGCAATCTGGAACAGGAAGGATGAAGGATGAGGGCATCTACAGTCTACCGGCGCCGTGTACTCATCTAAGCACTCTGCAGCAATGAGAGGTGCCTTCTTGGCCAGAGGAAGAAAGAACGCGGTGAGATGCGGTGAGCTACTCCATGATGAAACTTTCCAGTTCTGTCAGTTGAAGCTGGGGATTTGGTTTAGTCTACCCCAACTATAGTGAACGAGAGTTGGGTTCAATACAAAATAGGAATGCCAACAAACTCCACAAAGAAAACTTGAGTTCAGTCATGGAAGGCAACGATGGCAGGACCCAATGACCACATGATTTTCCACAATTTTCTGTCGGCCTGGCAACTTGGGGTATGAACGAATTGGTCTTCCAAGCCCAAGCACCGTTGCTTCAATCCAAGCAAAATCAGGATAATGGGCATAGGATAACCCACAGACCATTCACAGGTCCTTCTAGGCTTCCAAGCAAGTTGCCGGAATAGTTCAATGATGTTCAATCTGGTAAACCGAATAGGAAACTTCCAATTCAGGGAATGGTTCATGGCATTGGTATCCCATACTGCGGTGGAGCGCTTGGGTTTCCTGGAGCTCCTGGAGCTGAGTATCGCTACGAACGTTGGTTGGCTATGAATGGCACGTGTGTAGCTGGTTAATGAATTGTTAATGCTTCCCCCAGTCATAAGGTATCATATGGTAATAAGTAATTTGACCAATCATGTGGAATATTGTGCCATATGTCATCAACCTGGATGAATATATGGCCAGCAACAGGTCTATACTAGATAATATATATATATATATGTATATATAGTAAGTTATATAATGTAGATGATACAATATGTAATAATTTAAGGACTATGGCGGTAATGAGAAACACATTGTTGTCTTTCCAGCGATGCTATGATCCGCTATGCTTAGATGACTGCATGGCGCCTTGCATTGCGTGCTTTTGCCTTGCGGCCTGCTATGCTACCAAGGGATTTATCATGTTCTATCAGCGCGTCGCATCCCATTTTTGGCAGTTGGCTTTCATTCGAATAATATTGCAAAATATTGCAAAAATCGTTGAGGATCGCCTGACATCGTTCTCTTTTGCCTTAATGTTGATTCGAATTGCATTTCCCTTAGCAAGATTTCCCATTCTTTTTGTTTAATTACCTTCATCTACCTGAGGCTCACGAGGATTGTTGCTCTTTGGACATTTTCTTCTTCATATATTCAGCTACCAACACTTCAAGAGGAGCATACGACCATGTGTGCATCAAGTCGGTGCAATCTTGGACACTCAAAACGTCAGTGCTCAAAGTTCTGGGCCGACTGGCTGCCGGCTCGGCTGCAGATCCACCCTGACAGCAGTCTCGTGAGACCGCTTCTGAGATCCGGCTGAACTGGAGGTGGACTCCTGGAAAAAAATTCAACCAAGCATAACTTCTTTCAACATCGACACCACATCATCCTGTTGAAGGGCTGCTGGACGCCAAAGGCTGAAAGGACCATCTTTACCATGAACTCTACGTCTCTCCTTTCTCCAGTGCTGGTGCTTTTGGCAGAAGCTAGCGAGGATTCCGGCTGTGCATCGATCGACAGCTGGATCATCACTGGGAACTGTTGGAACTGGTTCCTTCGCCTCAAATGGAGGCGGTGGCATCACTACATCTTCCGCCAAACCACGACCCCAGCTGTTTTTTGTATTTGGGGCCCTCTATCACATGATTTCATCTGCTTTTGCAGCAGGGCCATAATTGGATGCACGGTTGCGATGTATGCATGGGTATAGCTGCCTTCCAACACTACAAGCTGCAACAGCAAAGCCAACGTTGGTTCAAAGTACTCATGCGTATTGCTGGTGACCAGCACTGGGCTAGGTTAAAAGTTACCAGCACACCCCTGCTGCCATGTATGTGGCACATGGCTGCTTGCGAAGGTGTGTACATGTGATAAGCGCCTTGTGGTTAAAAAAAAAAAGGCGCTTCCTAGAACATCCTTGTTTGCTAGGCTGACGCATCGCATATCATCGCATGATATATGGTGCCTCCACATGTCCCTATTTGTGGTAAGGAAGGAACGAAGGACTTGTAGGATGCTACAAACGACGACTTTATCTACACCCAGCAACTTCTTGATGAAAAGCTTTAAGAAGTTGCTATAGATGTCCTTTGAGAAGCTTCGGCTCCTCATGGCGCTGGCAACCCGGCGGCAGCCGATGTTGGCGCTACAACAGTCAGGACGCTAGATTCTTCAGCAGAATCCATGGGTGGCTGAACTGGCATGTTGGGGTTTTCAAGTGGTGGATACGCCTCAGAGATCAGATCCACAAAGTGCTTGCTTTCTAGGTTACCCTCAGTATAAGAAGGTCTTTGACACCTAACATCTCAGCCTCGGACTTGAAATCAGGGTTTTCTCTTCTTGAGTCGCATGACGACCCATAACCATGCACTGCTGTACCATGCCAATGTCGTCCCAAAACCAAGGTACCTTTATCCCACGTTTGACTACGCCAGTACGGATTTGAATCCCCCCCGACTCGGCTGGGACTACCATTGGCTCACCAAGATTAGTCTGTGCAGAATCTAAGATGACTTCTTTAGGGGCACCAGTCCACGAGATCCAATGCTCTTGCAACAGTTTTATCAACAGCGACGACGTCTCTTATTCGAAAACCAGCACCATACACTGGAAGCTGCTAGCCTGGTGTACTATGTTCAGAGCACAAGCCTTTTGGTTGGGTTTCCAGCCTGGAAGTTTCTTCACATCCAACTGATGGTTCAACTCAGACACTCGCGAAGACTGCGCAGGCAATGGAACACTAGGTTTCTGCTGGCTGCGGCAAAACTCGCAAGAGAACTCCTTTGCCAAGCGAAGGGCTTGATCGCTTGCTTGTCCATGCTTGAGGATCCGGATCAAGTCAGCATTCGGTGGGTGACCGAAGTTTCTGTGAAGTTTACCCAACACCTTCAACACTTTAGCATCAAGCTTGTCGGAACTATTGGAAACGGCATCCACTTGGTGCCATTGGAGAAGGTGTCGGGCAAACATTCTTCGACGACTAATGACCCATGATCTCGAAACCTTGGGAGAGTTTGCAACAAGGCCAACACAAACTCATGAGTGTATGCTTCAGTGAATTCACTCACCTTGGGAGCACCTGCAGGAGCACTACCGCTAACCCTGTCATGACATCTATGGTCGGGATCCTCAGGACCTGGGCATGTAAGACCAAGTGCCAACATATCTTCACTACTGGCTAAGAGTCTGGTGCTCTTACGAAGCAGGCGCTCACTTGACGGCAAATGCAGGTTGTACCTGCACATGTGAAGCTTCACAGTGTGAAACTTACAGCAGAGAGTCAACATCTCCGGGTAACTCCAAGTCTTGGCCCCAGTTGGGTGTTCGAACACAGCTTCACGACCGGCAGATGTCTGGATTCTGAACAACTTGCAACACCACCTGATCAACATCCGGCTTTCGGCAACTCTACGCAAGTGCTGTTTAAGTGAGTTTAAGTGGAACCAGCTTCCCTGATCAGCGCAAGGCGGACAGAGCATCAGCAGGTCGGGCTTGAGGGTGATCAGATCGTCCTCGGCTTTCCTACGGTCGGTGCTGTTCATGAAGTCTCAAAACCATTCTTCAGATCATAGGACTGGCCTGTCAGACCTACTGATTCAGCAACTGGGACTAGACGAGGTGGTGAGAACACTTACGTAAACTTCCATGACAAAAAGTCGTTCATGCAAAACTGACATGTTTTCATCTACATCACCATGCTTTGACCTGTGCATTCAGCTGTCGCACTTGATGTGGAGTGAGAAACCATGGGGAGTCTGGGACATCATGATCATCTGACGCATCACGGGGTTCAAACCGAAACTCAGTTACGACATGACCTGAATAAGACGGCAAACGGACCATGGTTTTATGTTGCAAAGTGCCGGGGATTATTCTTTGTCACAATACGCTTTTTTTGCCGGATCCATTACTATGCGCTCTCTCACCTCAGACCACCTGATGGGACCATACCTAGACAACCATGTGGCGTCTGGACAGTCCTCTTGTGTCCAGGAAGACAGGCGGACGGATGCATCGGATGCTTCTGGGCCAGAAGATGCAGAATTACTGGGCTCTGCAGACAGCTGGCACGGCTCTACTGCACGATCTACACCTACCGCAGCATTCGAGGCCTGTATACACAGCTATCCAAGGCAGGACTGACGTCAGTGCTTGCCATCATGATTTCATCAGCAACAGCGTCCCCAGCCACCGACACAGAACCCAGCCAGCACTGTTGGTACGGAGTTGAATTGGCGGACTTCCCAGGATAGACAAGGTGCCCTTCTGGAAGTCCAACTTTTTGGGAGCAGACCTGGAAATCAGCAACAGCGCAGATCCCTGTAGAATCGAAGCTCTAATGGCACCGCGGTGAGGTCCTAGAGTGACTGGCATGGCTACCCCAATGTGACTGGTCTCAACTTCTCCATTGCCGAAACGGAACTGGTGCGTCTCGTTGAACCGATCGGGGCTCTTCATGCCACGCTGGCGGCACAGTTTCTCAAACTCAGCCAATGTAGAAGATCCAACGATTGTCTTGCCACATCCAGAGTCCAGTATGCCAAAGCCAGGGCTTGATACCAGATTGATCTCTTCCGCATCACAGAGTCAGAAGTCTTCAGAGAACACCGCAAACGCACTTGATCCAGTAAAGAGGGTAGTGGCCCCACGGCAGCAACGCACGATGGCACAACTTCGGCCAGGGCAGCACCTGTCGATGCATTGTCAGAAGAAGCCGCTTGACTCTCATTTCCCTTGCCATGGCCTTTGGTTGGAGAAGAGCGGCGCTCACGAGCCCAGTGGCCCTTCTTACCACATTTGTGACCGGCCGCCTGCCGTTTAAGTTCTTCGACTTCAATTCGGTATGCACAACGGACATCGCTTTGCCAATTTGTCGGTTCTTCTGCAGACGATTGAGTTCCTGATGTTCTTCACGCCACGCAGGTGCCAGCAGCTCTGCGATGTCGGATACCTGGAATGTCTCTTGAGATTCTGCCTCCACAGTGACAACTGATGATCCTACAGCAGCTGATCAATGTCTTGGAAATCTTCGATCTCATCCAAGTCGCGATCTTCCACAGCTAAGGTCTCATCTTCCACCAGGGCAACACCTTTTCGACGGGAAACAGTGAGATCAGGATAGCAGGAGCGGGTATGGCTATTGACTCCCTCTTCAAGTCACCACGAGCTCTAGAGATGACCACTGCACGCTATTCATCTGATGGTCCGGCTCTGTTCAACATGATCCCTTGCTTCCTCTGGAAATTGCATTCCAGTTTTTCTGGAGCAGCGATCAAACATCTCGGTCGCTGGCAGTCCATTTCTTCATCGGTTTGCCGTCCTTGGCCTTGAGGCCAAAGACTTCACCCATGATCTCACTCAGCTCATCGGATGCAGCTTGTTGAGGGAGTCTGGCATCAAGAAGTCGCCAAAGGATAGCGTCACCACCTTTGACTTGATATTCCTCAGGCTTGACATGGCTTTACGTGCTCAACAGCCTCCAGTGCCTTGCCGCTGAGCAAGGTATAGATGTAGGGCCCACGAGCAGCTTCACCCAGCTTGTCCATAGTTATTATCATCTTGTTTACAGCCCATTGCTTCCACCGCCTGTTCTCCCTGGCATCTTCATTGTCGCCGCTAAAGTAGCGAACTGAGCCACCAGGAGTTTTAGATGCCATGGCAGGCAGAGATCTCCACGGGGTCACGTGTCACCAACCTTCGCCTGAAGGTCTCAAGGTTCCATGGCTGGAGCCTGCCCTATTGGCAAGCTCCGCTACCAATCGAGTCAATAGCGGAGATCGTTTCCCACCCGGAGGAAAACAGTGGGGCGCCGCCTCCTTTTCCCCACCTGTGCCGAGAGGTTCCCTGCGACGGACGGCATGCAGCTATGATCCACTGGTCACGCGTCGAAACAACATTTACACACACACATATATATATATATATCCACACCATATTTTATATATTATTTATATCCGGTTGGTATTTCCACTACAAAAAGGGAGGACACGCGTACGTTATGAAGTTAGTTTTTCAGCATTTGTTATACCAAAATTGGTCTTGGGACCCCCATTTTGTAGTAAGGATACCCTAGGCATTTTGTAGGAGGGATGTTTGGCACTTACAGAAACCTTTTTGTAGGCCCTCAAAACGTCTTCTCAAAGCTGGAAGATGGTGTGATTACACAATGACTCCAAAATTGCTGACTGCATTTTGTAGCCTCATTGTAGGTGACAATGCTTCTGGATACTGTAAATCCTGTGCGTGCAGATGCTACTTCCTTGCCTGTTGTGCCCTTCACTTGCTTTCCTGCATTTTTCAATGAATGGAGTACTTTCAGGAAAACCTGAAACGTGACGAAAAAATTGATCAACAAATTGCGGTGTGGTGTCAGTTTACATCATTATTTTTAAAATCAACCTGGACAGCTAACAGACCTACTTGACACAGAGAATACGAGTCCCGCCGCTGCGCCCCGTTGAATCGGACCATTTAATGTTTGTACCTGCTGTGTTCCAACTTTAGTCCGCACTTTAGTTCTTCATGTTCTTTCCAAAAATATATTAATTTTGATTCCGGGTCCGGGGACGCGTCTCCGCCGGATTTAAAAATTTTGCAGGGAGAATGAGGGACTAAAGTGATGACTAAAGTGATGACTTTTGCTGTAGTGGAAACCATACTATCTATCCCGCACCCATTTTGTAGACTGGGGGGTGCGCACCCCATTTTGTAATATCAACAAGAGGGGCATAACCCCTCCACGGTTTTGTAAGAAGAACTTGGCTGCCAGATTGTTTTGTAAGCAGAACTTGGTTGCTAGATTGTTTTGTAAGCGGAACCTTGTTTCCACCTTTGCCCAGATTGTTTTCGCAAAGAAAAAATGTGAACACCATGAAATTTTGCCAGCATTGCTCAAGACAGGATCTGCTCGAAAGCAAGTAGGCTAGGATAGACCCTTCTTGTGAGCACTGATGTTTCTCTTGCCTACAAAATGGTTCTGGGAAAAAAACGTCTTTGCACAGTGATTGATCAGAGACCGAATTGCCCGAGACTACAAAATGCTTTCCACTTTTCTTGACCATTGGTACATATGATTTTCAAGCAAAAATAAAAAGCTCAAGTGGCATTTTGTAGGCTCGAGCTGGGTAGGTGTGGGGTACCTGCAGTGTCATTTTATAGGGATGGTTTTTGGGCAGTGAATGTCACTTTGTATGTGGGAGTGCTGGGACCTCATTTTTTATACCTACAAAACTGGGGCACAGCTGCTCCTGGTGTATTCCACCGTTGATTGATTTATATCATGTACATATGTCTTCAGATCTCCAACGTCCAGGTGATGGGTCTCAAGATTTGGGGTGCTGGCTGGCACCCCAGGCGTGGTGACAGCATGTCGGGGAACAACTACAGCGACGTCCCAGAGGAGGTGGACGTCCTGGTGACCCACGAAGCCGCCTTCGGCATCTTTGACTTGACAGGTGGACGTCCGGTCCGGCGAAAGGATCAACCATGGATCGTGGGTAAATGTGGGTCCCATAAGGCCAGTTAGGAAGTCCCTAAGTGGGGTATCCCATAGATGCTTGGATTAATGATAGCTATTTGTAGCTATGGGCCATGGATAATAACCATCCTCCAAAGTGGGATCCTCCAAAGTGGGATCCTCCAAGTGGGAGTCTTCAGGCTGACGAGAAGATGTAGGACAGGGATAGGATAGATTGATATGGCCATATAACCGATGAGACTATGTCATCTCATTTGGCAGTGATATGCCCAATGTTCATTGCCCCTTTCCCCTTTGCAATACTAGTCATTCTCGACAACATCACGGTGCACCATTTTTAGATGATGTCCAGGATTCAAAGTGTGTATTTCCCATTGTTCTCCAAATTGTTGTGTTAGATTGTTGGGGATTTATGTTTTATTGCATATATATATATACACACATATATATATATAGATAGATATAAATTTATAGTATATATTATATATAGTATACAGCAGCAATAGTATATACAGTAGTATATAGTATATCGCATCTAGCATATGGATCTACATCCTTGTACGGGGGGTTATGTCTAACATCACGCAATATCAGGCGATATCACATGAAATGTTTTTTGGAGCTGCCTCAAAAAATATGTTTGCAAAGTTGGCGCGCCCGGGGAGTGATGAGAGACTGGCCGTGGCTCAAACATCTACAATCCCCCCATGTATGATCCAGGAAATTTGTAGTTGAGTAGAGCAATATAATCTAAAAACGCAAGGGTCGATCGCAAACTGGTGAAGCAATGATTCACCTCAGACAATAAACCGTGCCAATTGTTTCTACTGAATGTTTGTGGATAAAGTTTGCTTACACAATTATATGTGTGAACCCTCCAAGAATGGTCAAAACTCCAAAACGAAATTGTTGCTAGTGAATTTCCGCTGTAAACCCTTCAAGAATCTTCAAAAGTTGTTCTGGACAAACCCATCTCCCGTGGCCAATGCAACGGCGAGGTGGTGGACATTGGGGTTCCAGCCAAGAGCTGCTAAAGGCCATCTATCGAGTGAAACCCAAGGTGCATTTGTTTGGACATATCCATGAACAACGGGGCCATTGGAACAAGGTGCCATGGGGACGGGAAACTTGGAGGTTGGCAGTGGTGGAAACTTATGGGGATGGAAATGGATGGAAAATGATGGAAATAGGCGAGTTTTTTTTTGGTGATATGTTGCAATTGGAGGGTTGCAAGGTTTGGAGGGTGATGAGTGCTAATATAGTAAGCATAAAGTCGGGGTCTGGTCAATGATATGATGATAATTATAATTTTATTTGCCTAGTTTTGCTTAAACACAAGAACCTTAGCAATGAGGAAGTTCTGCTTGCGAAGGTTCCAACATGTTCCAACCACCTATATACTACCAATACACATTTCTCATGACAAATAGATGCAAATAGATACAAATAGTGTCACATCCCCAATTTGACATTGCCTGTTGTTTCACCATTTTGATGTCAGAGAAATCTCCCTATTTTCCATTTTGAAAACTCAACAAACCTCCCAAACCTCCCAAACCTCCAGGCCGGCGACCGTTTCGAAGGTGGCGTGGAATATCAGCCGAAGCCTGGCGCCAACCAGGTCTTTCGACAGAATGGGCCGCCACCAAGCGACTACCCCGTAGAGGTCGAGTCCAACAATGCCATGGCCAATCAGCCGGTGGTGGATCATAGCTGGACAGGTGCGCGAGGTGAAAAAACTACAGATCTTCCATGTTAGTTAGTTATAGTAATTAACAATTGATCATAATTGCTAAGTGAATCTTTTGAATATTTTTCAAAATTAACAATGACTTCAACAAGAATCAGATGTGTCAAGATATGTTTTTTTTCTGGGAAGGTAGTGCTTAAACCCCACAGTGATGTTGATGGAGAAAGTCGGTTCGGAATCTTCAGGTGTATGGGCACCACAGCACATTGCTGGTCGTCCGCGATTGATTACTGCTCGAAGACAGGGAGATGGTTGGCACTTCACATCCTCGATTCCGTGAGGTTTTAACTCACTCTTAAGCAAACCAAGTACGACTTTCAAATGTGTTGGACAGAGCGCCTGTTTTCCATGTTCGTCTCACAAAGGGGCCGAGCATTCTTAATTATTTTGCATTGAACTGCAAACCGTGCCAGTTTTTGGGTGCTGACTGCGGCAAAGCGCTTGTCGCACGCAGTTCACCCTCAGGAGCTGTGTAGCAGCTAGAACCCGCACCAGACTGCTAGGTTTAACTTGGGGGCTATCTGTGCTGCTTGAAACAGCCGCGTTCCAATTCGATCCTTGCAATGGAATGAGCCAACTGGGGTGGCCACTCCGCCCAATTTGGGGCAAGGAACTTGGGCTGCAAGGGTCAGCTATTCTTTGTGCTGCAAGAAGCAGCTGAGCTAGTATCGCTTGGCCAAAAGTTCAGACATCCCAACCACATCTGTTGGCAACCATGCAACGGGAACAATTCAAAACACTGGCAGTTCTGGAAAAAGGTGGTAAGTCGGTATGTGCCATGTTTCCATTTTTCCCACAGTGACCCACAACCCTTGGTTCCGACATGTCCCCACTCAGATTGGCAACACTGGGGTGCTCCGGGAAACCGATTGGTGTAACTGGAGAGTGTCCCGCCCTGCTCTGTGGTGATTGGCGATGTGGCGCCAGTCTTCTGTGAGGGGCCTCGCTTGAAATTGGACAGTTTGCTCTGCATACTATACATTCATAGTCATTCATATGATACATGTCCGATTTGGACCAACTCTTCAATTTGCAGTATATGCAGAAAATGTATAGTAAGGTGCAGTATATGTGTCTTACTCAAATGTATATGCAGAAAAAGCACCGTTGGTAGTGATACTTCACCATCAACCGTTTGTACTTGGATGACCGGGCCCTTTTCAGCAGCAATGAGGGTTGCCCCAACTTGCTGGGATCCATAACTATAAACCAGCGCCGCAAACCACAAAAAACGTGAAATTTGGCAGATGTTGGCAGTATTGTCTATGAGTCTATGATTGCTTTTGCATGCTGCCAAACCAAAAGAATCCAGTCAAAATCAAACTTCACGTGACATGATTGACATGCCAAGTCAGTCCACCTGCCACCTTTTGGCTCAGTCGGGTCATAGCTCAGCATCTGCCCTGATCGACCCCTGCACCCAGTCACCGCGCTTCGGCCATGGCGTGTGGTGTCAATGTACCGGGCCAGGCATTGGCCCCCATCAGCCGCTTGATGGCGCGCGTGTGGGGCAATGGCGACAGCATGTACAAGGATGCGAAGGTGCCAGGAGATGTCACTGCTGAGTTTCACCACTCAGACGCGACCACTACTTGTAGTGGCTGAGTTTCGCCATTTTGAATGGCTATTCTAAAAATGCTTTGTTGATTCCCTGCACGTCTTGGTTTTCACCCCTATTATTGCCTGTGGACGTGTGTGTGTGTGTGTTTTCTATTAAACGGGGAGCCAAGGATATCTCATTTTCCTACCAAAGGGGCGGTCAAGGAGGCAAACAAATACCCTTCAAGATGGATCATACAATTTGCACAAAAGAACCATGTAGAATCGTTAATAGCATGTAATTTGACAGAACCCTAATCAACTTCCATTAATTTTGACATTAACTAACTATCATATACTATCATTGTCTATCCCAGACAATTTTTTCTCCTTATTCTAGTCATAGAATGTCATAGATACGTCTTACGGCAGGTGGCCTTCACAAAACCCAAGACATCCACCGTGGAGGCGCCAAAAGGGTTTAACCAATGGAGGAAATGCGCGCTTTAACCATAGTTTAGTTTAGTGTAATGTAAAACACTACACCATAGTTTAGTTTAGTGTAATGTGAATCTTATGTAAATCACAGCTACTTTAGCTTTCTGAACTTTCTCTCTATCTCTATGTCTCTCTCTCTCTCTCTTTGTTTGGTACTCGAAATTTGTTAAAGATTGCTGTGGTATAGATGGCCTATGTTTTTTGATGATTTCCATAGATTCTTATGTTAAAGAATGTTGAGACAGTGATTTGTTGTTTTCCCATCGGTCAGTCCATAAAATTCGGGGAATCTACCCCTGGTAATATGCGTTTTTTCGTCGGGGGGATGTGCCCCTCAAGCCTTAAGCAAATGTACTGCACCTGGCCCCCCAATATTAAGTAACCCTAACGAGGATAACAATTAATAAATAGATCAAATACCAAATGCTCAACCAGAGTTTCGATGAATATTTAATCTCAGGGCGTAGACTGACCAATTTCATCCCAATTCCTTTTTCGCTACTTGCAAATGCACTAGGTCATCTATATCCCCATTAAAACATCTCACATTGTGGTGACTGTTGTTCCCCCTAATCCCTTTCGTTGACGACGACCATGTGTGATTCTGACCTTGGTGCAATGGGACCAACAAAATCACTAAGCCGATTGAACCATGGGCTTCAATATTGCCTTTACCAGATTCAAAAAACAGTGCCACACATCAGAACATTAAAAAAAAAACTCCATCAGAATCTATAAATTCATGAACAAAATCATAGGCTAAAGCGGTATTTTCATCATGTTTCATCCATGTTCCCCGCATTTTTCCCATCCAAACCCAGCCATTTTTCCGATCACCGGCCATCCCATCAGGCCGTGGAGGCACCTGAGGCCACCACCAAGCGTCGCAAGGCCGATTTTTTTTCTGGAGAAGCTATGATGGTTGGTGGTGATAATGGTGGTGATTAATGGGATTAATGGGGATTAATGGTGATTTAAAAGGGATTTAATGGTGATTAATGGTGATTACTGGGATTTAATGGTGATGAATGGTGATTGATGGGATTAATGGTGATTAATGGTGATTGATGGGATTAATGGTGATTAATTATAGTTACTAATAGTGATAATAGTGGTGATGGTTCGTCATGCTGATGGAAATTTACCCTCCGGTAAACGTTTCAGTTTGCTATGGAAAGATCCACCATTTTTTATGGGTAAATCAACTATAAATTGCCATTTTCAATAGCTATGTAACAAATTACCAGAGGGTAACAAATAATCTTGGGTTATATGGTTGATAATGATGCAGAATTTTGATGTTTCTGGGATTGGTGATTTTTGAGTGATTTTTTGAATGATTAATTATGATGATTATAACCGTTAATCCCATTAATAACCTATGATAATGGTGGTGATAATGGTGGTGATTAACACATAATATCGGGTTATAGGTTATGGTTATCATGTTATTATATCCTTGTGATGACAATAGTGGTGATTTTTCTGAGATTAATGATTATGAATTTCGTGGTTACGATTGGGGATTTAACATTTGATTAGTTACTATTGGTTAACCAATCATCACAACATAGTTAGTAGGTACAAATGATTAACTGTTAAACACATGAAAATCACCTATGAAAATGAACAACAGTGAATGATCATAACATGAAAATAGTCATTCAGAAAAACTATTTAAATAGTAGGAAAACTATTGGCATGTGATTCATGAATAGTTAATACTATTGGTTAATATACTATTTTGTTGGTCGTGATAGGTTATCCACTAATCTGGGCAAATTATAACGACATCACTGTTCTCCCGAGCCCTGGGAATGTTGGTTAGTCGGGGTGACTATTCCAAATGACCAAACAATTCAGGTCAGTGAATGTATATCATCCACATTGATGGTATATTAATGGTATATTAAATCATAAATCATACTCATGGTTAGTATTAATGATATACTCATGGGCTAATGAATAATTTACCCAAACTAATTGGTGATTTATGTGTTATGTATAGCCTCAATGGATAGCCTATGATAACCTATAGTTGGGGGATCATGCCATATTACTAATGGTTGTTAATGGATAATTATTTACTCTCCAGTAAATTTACGCTTGGACTCTGTCAGGGGGTTGAAAACTAGTTTCCACTAAAATTTGGAGATGTTCGGGGCCTATGTTCATTTACCAGAGGGTAATATTTTTAATGGAGAACCTACTTGGGGGCCTAACATTTGCTAATTACGATGCCTGGGATGATAACCACAGCTGTTAGCCAGTGATTTCTTAGCATTTCTTAGCTAGCTATTAGCCAGTCAATGTGGCATACCCAAGGATAAACCTATCACTTGGGGATGGTTAACATACCACCTAGAAAATTTGTAGTTTTGTGAGTGGTTTATTATTGGGTTTACCGCATTATTTTTATATAGATTGTTGCCGGGTATTGATTGGGAATTATGATCATCCATAGATTTGTTATGCTGATTATATAAATTTGTATGATATTGTGATGAATTACGGTATTTTGATTGTGTACTTTTTGGGGATGCAATTATAGCATACCTACTTGGTTAGTTGGTTGTTATAGTGTATTTGTTGGGACATATGATGGTCCATAACAGATAAAATATTGGTTTAGTATTGGTATAGTTATACTACCATCATTAATAACCCACACATATTCAACGGTTGATATATGTTTATATATAAAGTGGTCAAGTGGTTGTTTTCAAATGCTTTGATCATGTGTCACTGTATGTATAAAATACTCGTATTATCCCATAAAAAAAACCGTTGTGTAGCACTTCTTGTTTGGAAATATAGCGCTCGTAAATCCATATCCCCCCTCTAAAAAAGTTCCATTAGTATTACATAAATAACCCAGAAATATTCCATGAGTCCTACTATAATGGTAGATTATGTAGTACTGATACATATGATATGAGTTTACATGTGTTTGTTAAAGGTGAAGAAACGGGTTAAGGCCTTAAGGATGGGTTTCAGTGTGACAAATGACTGTGTTTTCATTGTGAAGATCATCCCTGTTTTTTTGACACAGATTTTTTGCTTAACGATAAGCAGTTGGATTTTAAGGGGTGAAATCGGGATTTGAACCAGCACTAAAGATGTGGTAACCGTCCAAACTGGGGATATGAGGGAATCCAGTATTGATTTGCCAATGTTTTCACGCATGAAATTTGTTACATCTCTTATTCTAGCCCCATGTTATCCGCATTTTATCTCATTATGTTCCAATTTTTGCCGGCTCCCGGCACCCCAGGAGGTGAAGATTGATTCCACAACCGTGATCCCAGCAGACCTCTATTGGACCATGCTGAGGGCTGGTGACCGTGCTAAGCCTCTTGGACGGACGAGAGATCCGACAGGGAACAAAGATGAACAGCAAATGGCTTAAAAGTGTGGCAACAATCACCTGCAAAAGATATCAAAAGATGTGAAAATTCTAAGGTTTGAACAGAATGATACGTGGTGATACCTGGTGATAAGTGCTGCATGTTCATCAAGAGGGTGACCTGGTGGCAGGTGGCTCCAAAGGGGTGCCAAAGTCACTTAAAGAACATGTAACTTAGGGAACATATAGGACATCAATGGTATTCAATGGTTGATATTGGTGATTAATGGTCATGAACAGTTAATAGTGTTGATTAATGGTCATAATCATGGTTAATAATGATGGAGAATGTTGATTAATGGTTAATAGTGGTGACTAATGAACATGAGATATGGAGGTTTCCAAAGTCATGGTGGGTACCCCCGTTTCATCCAGTCCTGGATGACCATTTTAGTATTGAAAGCCATCGTGGTTTGGGGATCCACCATTTTAAGAACCCCCCTATATATGATAAAACTTGACAGAACTGATGTAACCAGCACAGGGTGGTACATAACCAACCATAGTGCGGATACAATACTGATACAATGGGATATGGGATATACATGCATGCATGCATGCATACATACATACATACGAACATGTGGGATGCTATAGTATGGGGATACACTGGGTATACTGGGGAAAGGACATGATACATATATATATATATATATGCATGGTATATGATTGGTATGTTATGGTATGGTATGATATGATGCGTTTTTTTTTATATTGATACAGGTGTGTGCATACATATTTATATATGTTGGATATTTGATAGGGCAATTTTTTGAAATTTGTAATCAACATCAACCAGGGCACTCGTTAAATGGTGAAATGTATGATTCACTGCAGTGCATTTAGTAGTTGTTCTGTGTACAATTTGCAAACAAAGCCATGTCAAGCGAGATGAATCGTTCCTACTGATGTCAATTCCTGACCTCAAGAAACACTCTTGATTATTTCGGTGCCTAGCCCCCAAAAAGTTGGTGAATGACTATCAAGGTTTGTACCCACCGCCCAAACACAACTAAGCCGGTGTTTTAGCAAAAGCCAGTAAAGGTTAGCATTCACTGTTAATGAACATCCGGAAATTCCACCAGAATGAGATCATTCCCAGGTTTTCCCCCCATTGGCCCATGCGCCTGAGGAATGGTGGGCAGCATCGTCTGAAATCGACGAATCGCGGCAATGACTGCACCATCTTGGTGAAGAGCGATTGAGGCGCGACACGTCAAGATATGTTTGGCCATGGGCCTCTAAGAAAATATGACAGGGAACAATCAAAAAGTGAACCATGCACAAATCAAAGATGAGGGTACCCTCCAGCAAACTAACATAGTGATGTAGAATTACCATGGCTTTTGTTCAAGGTAAAACTTCTATAACTGAGTTTTTTTCTATGGTTATGTCGTTATGTTTGTATTTTCGGATGGTATACCCCAAAATTGCAATTTTCCTCGGAGTGCAGGACCATTGCATGGGCGTGTCTTTATATATACTTTTCTTGGGTTTGCCCTATAGGCAAACCGACACCGCCACTGTGGAAATTCATTGGGAAAAGTATGGTCAACCATTCGATTTTGGGAGTGCCCTCTGGTTGGACAAAGCGATTTGCTACTAATGTGTGGTAAATATTGTCAATGCTTTTGGGGCTATCCCCAGAATTCCATTGTTGGTTTTGGGACCGGCTGGAAATGCACCAAATGCCAAAAGAGAGGGCAGATCAAGAACATATTCCAGAAACCCAGCTGGACCAAGCACTGCCCGAGAGGTTAGTGCATTGTAAAAATGCTGGCAACAGCTGCAAAAAAAAGCATCCCCGAAATGGTAGAAAGGGATAAAAGGGTGTACTACAGTATCACTACAGCTTTGCCATGGTTTACCTCAGTAGTTGATACTACATGTAGGTAATCTTTTTTCACTGTTTTTTTGTTTGTTTGAACACTCCAGTATTTCACCGTGTGGGGAGTTCCATCGGATGAAAAATGCGTGGCCAGGTGCTGAGTGATGGCCAAGAAGGCCACCAGCTCGTTTCCACTTTTCCACCAGCCACGTAACCAAGACCGAAGAGATAGGACACTAGATAATCCACTATCTCAGTACATGTTGATGATGTTTACTGTTCCATTTTTTTGGGGTTGCTGTATATGAGCAGAAACTCTAGTTGGATATGCTCTATTTTCCAGCAGGGCGGAGTGTTTCCTGGATAAGTAGACTCCAAAACCTCCAAAACCTAGCTGGAAATCATGGAGTCGGGCCCCAGTACGTAACCAATAAGCAACTATATATATATATATATATATAGGTATCGTATATATATATAATTATGTATACATATACAAATGTACAAGATTACAAGTAACAGGTTGGTAGTTTCAAATTATGTGTTTTTTCAACCATGTGTCCAGTTGTGGGGATGATGATCCCCTTTTTTCGCACCATCTTTTCAGTTGGAAACCACCAACTGGTGGCTCTTCATCCTTCAGCAGGCAATGACTGTCAGTAGCAGATAGAGGGCTTTGAGACTGCTGGAAAACTCAAGGAACATTCAAGAACTAGAAACTATTTAGTAACAGTTAGGTTTAATGGAAGACAACTTTAAGTCGTCGGATTTGAGTGAATGTCACTTTAAATATCGCGATTGAACGGATTGCATATGAAAATGTATAACAAGTAGGCTGTGCGGTGTTGTGGTAAACCTTGAAGAATCATTTATCTCCAATTCTGGATGATACCACCCATTTAGCATATTAGGTAGTATAAGTAATTGCGCCCTTTTGTGGCAAGTCACTCAGGGTTGTTAATCATTTTTGGGGTTAATCCATCCACTATCGGCAGGCTAATTGGATGCACTTTTACTGTTTAATTCACGGGCCTACCCATCAATCATTGGAACATTTTTTTTGTTACATCCCCATGGATTGTTGGTAAATCCTCCTTGGTTCTGGGCACATTATTACAATGGCCAGATCCTCCAGTTTCTTTCGCCTTGCTCGTTTTCAGAAGTGCATAAAACTGCATAGAAATCGATCGTTCTTAGTGTCATTTCATGGCATTTCAAATTATCCACAATTACGTCCTTTCTATCATCCTTTTTTATCCTTTCTGGTTTACCTCAGATGATATAAATCGATTTTAAGAGACGAAACTCAGACAGTTCCTGGCTTGTGGTATGCCCGCCCTGGAAGACGGGCGGGGGATAGCTGAACATCCCATGGGGATTCACCTGCCTAGCCAACTGCAGGGGCCGTGAACTCGTCAGTGTGTGATTTTTTCTCACATTTTTTGGTGTGCAGACTGTGCACCAAAATATATTCTTACATATAAACTCACAATTATATAAATGCTGATAAATTTATGTATAGGCACATATATATATATATATAATGTCCACCTCTGATTTATAAATAGCCCCCCCCCCCCTCTCTGACCCTAAATAAATAGACTTAAAGCCACCATAAAACTTGTTTGTATGTAAAGGATTTAGTATTCCACAATTGAAAACGAATACATAAAATGCAATTTCAAAAAAAAAAAGGAATCCAGCAATTGTTTTAGTATTGATCTAGTACTCATGTCATGGACTTAGTATTGATCTAGTACTCATGCCTTGGATTTAGTATTGATTTAGTATTCATGCCATGGACTTAGTATTGATTTAGTATTCATGTCATGGACTTAGTATTGATCTAGTACTCATATCATGAATTGAGTATTGATTTAGTATTCATGTCATGGATTCAGTATTGATTTAGTATTCATGTCATGGATTTAGTATTGATCTAGTACTCATGTCATGGATTTGGTATTGATTTAGTATTCATGCCATGGATTTAGTATTGATTTTGTATTGATGTCATGGATCTGGGCAAATCTGGGTTTAGGGCCAAAAACAATTAGCTTTATTCAGGGTCAAACTCTAATTAGTGCCAAGGCACCTCATGGGGGGTACCCTTGACGAGTTGATTTGGGATTGATTTTGGATAATTTTGAATAAAGGTTTTGAATAGAAAAGAGCAACCATTATTTTTGAAAATTTGAAGTTATCAAGGTAAGATCTGATGAGCTGGCAATATGAATTAGTACATGAAAGCCACCTCAAATAAAGCATGGAAAAAACAAAATCAGCCCCATCTGGGCAAATCTGGGTTTAGGGCCAAAAACAATTAGCTTTATTCAGGGTCAAACTCTAATTAGTGCCAAGGCACCTCATGGGGGGTACCCTTGACGAGTTGATTTGGGATTGATTTTGGATAATTTTGAATAAAGGTTTTGAATAGAAAAGAGCAACCATTATTTTTGAAAATTTGAAGTTATCAAGGTAAGATCTAATGAGCTGGCAATATGAATTAGTACATGAAAGCCACCTCAAATAAAGCATGGAAAAAAAAATCAGCCCCATCTGGGCAAATCTGGGTTTAGGGCCAAAAAAAATTAGCACTATTCAGGGTAGTTTTATTATTTAGTTGGGGAGAAAATTTAGCACTATTCAGGGTAGTTTGATAAATCGTAGGTCAACATTATATATTTATTTATTTATTTACATGCATATTAATATTATATATATATATACACATCAGGGTTATATTAAATCAAGAGAAAAGTATATGTTATGTAGACATACCCAAAAAACATATACACCATACATATGTATGTACAAATATATCTGTCTGTGTGTGCACAATCATTCAGCAGGGTCGCCGTCAAGCCAGAATGCCAAGAGTTTTGTATTTGGATGTACATACGGTTGTCACTTTCGAGCATTGACTTGAAAGACCCACACTCAGAGCTGCGCATACCTCAGATCACATTGTCTTGAGTCAGCCAATGGATGCAATGGTGTCATCGTTTTGGCAACCCATCAACCCCAACCAGCCACAATCAGTCCCTGCGGCCATGTTTCGCGGCACTCGCCTTGCCTCGGTGCTGCCGCTCGTTTCAGGCAGGCCGTGATCATTTCTTCAGCTCAGCTGCGGAGGGTGATTTCGGCTGCCGTTTCACCGCGGCGAGGATCTGCAAGGGAAGGTATGGCTGTAAAAGGATCCTCATACTTACTGCAATGTGGTTAAAACAATGCCATAAACCACCCCATTTTTGATGCTTTATACCAGCCAGAACAAAAAATATTGATTTTGGGGATTGTTTTTTATTTATTTTAACCAAATTTACCTGTTTGATTTGTTTGTGTATGCATTTGCTGCACGAGTAAGAATAGTAAGACAGTCAAGCCATATTGTATTGACTGGTGCCCCCTTCAGGTCATGATATCCATCTACAGAGACACCAAGGACCAAAACAGACATAAGAAAAAAATGTTGACGCTCATAAGTTTTTGTGTGTTTTGTTTGATTAGTTTGGGTTTTGCAGTGTTTGTTGTTTCTATGATTTCTATGTATCAAATGTAAACAGAAATCTTATATATATATATAAACATAGAGACAAGACGTCATGTTTATTTTTCATGCATATATTTTGAGTTTTACACACATTCTATATATACATATACACATATATGTACATATAAATGAACATAATATGACCACCCTCCAAGGCCACTTGTCAGGGGGGGACCATGCCAAAATATAATATACATTTTTTGGGACCCCCCCCCTTAAATGTAAAATTGGTCGCTGAACGTCCCCCAGGTTTCGTTTTTGTGTGGAGGGTCTTCAAAATACCTTGAAAATGTAAGCTTACATTTTCAAGGCCCCCTCTCAAAAAACACCTTGAAGAATGTAGCTTACATTTTGGTTGGTACGGCCCCCCCCCCCCCCCCCCGCTTAAAACCGTGTTGATCATAGAATATTGTATTTGATATATATATATATATTTACATACATACATAGATATTGGACTAAGACCCCGCCCACTAACAGCATAAAACAGCTCAGGCTACATAACTAGAAGGCTAAAAGTAGACAGACAATGACAGAGACAGAGACAGAGACAGAGAGACAGACAGAGAGACAGGCAGGCAGGCAGACAGACAGACAGAGAAAGTGAGAGAGAGAGAGAGATAGATAAATGGATAGATAGATAGATTAGATAGATTAGATAGATTAGATAGATTCGATAGATTGGATAGATTGGATAGATTAGATAGATTAGAAAGATTCATTAGGTAGATTTGAAAGATTCATTAGATAGATTTGATAGATATAGATAGATAGGTAGATAGATAGATAGATAGATATTAGATAGATACATAGATATTAGATAGATAGATAGATAGACAGATAGATAGATGGATAGATGGATAGGTGGATAGATGGATAGATGGATAGATGGATAGATGGATACATGGATAGATGGATAGATGGATAGATGGATAGATGGATAGATAGATGGATTGATGGATAGATAGATAGATAGATAGATAGATAGATAGATAGACAGATAGACAGATAGACAGATAGATACATAGTGATACATAGTGTTACATAGTGATACATAGTGATACATAGTGATACATAGTGATACATAGTAATACATAAATACATTACATACATTACATACATTACATACATTACATACATTACATACATTACATACATTACATACATTACATACATTACATTACATTACATTACATTACATACCATGCATTACATACATTACATACATTACAGAACAGAACGTAACGTAACACAATATAACATACATACACACATACATACATACGTACATACATGCATACATACATACACACACATACATACATACCTACCTACATACTTATATATATATATTCATCCATACATACATACATACATACATACACCCATCCATACATACATACATACATACACATACATATTCACATATATACATATACATACATGCATATATATATATATACATATATATATATTTATTGTTATATACATACATATATTTGTAGTTCCAGTATGTATATATATATATATATATATATATGTATGTATACATATATATTTACATACATACATATATATATATATACATACATATATACACACACATACATACACATATACATACACATATACATACACCTATACATTCACATATACATATATACATATACATAGCATAACATAACATTACATAGCACAACATAACATTACATTTCATTAATACATACATACATACATCCATGCATGCATGCATGCATGCATCCATGCATACGTACGCACGTACGTGCATACGTACATACGTACATACGTACATGCATGCATGCATGCATACATACGTACATACATACGTACATACATATAAACATACATACACGAATGTATCTCTGTGACGAATGCTGTCATCACACGTTGCGTTGCTTGGATTGGTTGCCCTTGCAGATCGCCAAAGGACCCGTGGAGCCAAAACGGACAGCCCCGGCCGCGGAATTTGTTAAAGCCACGAGCCGTTCGGCGTTCAGCAGAGTCGCAAAGTTTGACGCAAAAAAAGTGCGCACCACAGCAAGGGTCGTGTTCTTTAGTTGTTTCATGAGACTGAAATATAATTGGATATAATGGCATGCCATGGGATAATGATGGAAAAATAATAGGATATGGGAGAGTCAAGGCTTATGAGGTGCCTATTATCTACCAACAACCTTTTATATTATTGGGGGGTCACCACAACTAAGCCAATTCTAAGTGGGGGGGGGCGCCATTTTGAAGAGGCTGAATTTCTTGGATCCCTGAACTTAGTGGCTAGGATCTGGTATGGAACATTGTGGAACTCTCCGAGCTGGTCTTACGTAAGGTATACATTGTCCAGGCCAGAAACCCCCCGCCACCCCCCCAGGTCATGGTCATGGTCCTGTATGTACGCTGTATGAACGCTGTATGTACGCTGTATGTAGGAGATATAGTTTACACACCCCACCCCCCCTGTGGGATGGGTGGGGGCTAGGTAGTGTGTAACTAGCATGTAAGGCAAAAAGTAGGTATGTACAGTAGCTACAATGCTCCACGCCCCTCCTATCGGATAGGTAGCTGTTATAGAGGTATCATGTAGATAGCGTATAGGTAGTACATGGCTAGCACGTATGTATAGCAGTATAGCACGACATGACAGAGATCTTGATAGCTGCTAGTATATGGCTACTGTAAAGGCACTTTATGGGCAGTAATATGTTGTAAATAGATTGTACGGGCATATAATATAGCATTGGGGGGAGGGGAGGGGGTTTGCCGGCCGCCGGCCGGGACCATATATATATATATAATGTATAAGTATATAAATTATATATTGTATAAACAAGTGTTGATATATATATATATATCTCTCTCTCTCTCTCAGTTGGTACCCATTATTATTTTCCCGCTAATTGAATTGGTATCCGAACGAGGTTATGTATGGGTAGCTGTGGTGACGTAATCCACACTTAACTTGGCACTTGTTCCCCAGGAACATGGAAATAAGTCCTAAAGCTGCTTGCTGCAAGTTTTAGTTACATGTGTTTTTCTCCAGAACCTTGGACATTGACTAGAACTCAAAAACATTGAACTCAGATGTACCTTTCAATGTCTTGCAAAAGTGGTTGGAGCTTGCAAACTTTTGCAGTTGACATCTCAACAAAAGAGGGATGATGATCACCACATGAGTCAAAAAGCTGGGCTGCTTAAACCAGCAACCAGAAAAGTCTTATCCATCCCTTCATGTTTTCGTCCCCCCATTTTTTGCCGCATCATGTTGCCGTTCTTTGCCGTCACCGTTACCCCCAAGATCCGCCCGCGCAGCAGCCGGGCGCGCAACGCGGCACCTTTTTTTGGTGCGACGTTAGCGACGGTGGGCCATGACGAGCATCGACAAGAACAGCTTCACGCTGAGTGCTCTGGGCCAACAGGCGCAAAGTGGCTATGGCGGCAACGGCGAAAGGGGGGAAACCGGGGACACCCCAAAATGATCCAAAATCGCGAGATGGAGGGTTGAACCAACAAAAATGGGGGTTGTAAACCAATTGTAATGTATTGTGCTATATTGTACCGGGGTTACTCTACCATGGGCTATAGAGAGCTTGCCTCGAAACAAAGGGATTTGCATCCATGAATCCATGCAGTTTATGTAGTCATGTTCTACTTTTGAAAATGAGGTTTGAAACCATTGGAAAGAGGTTTCAATTTTTACCAGCCTAGTCATCACAAATTCTCTATCAAATAATGAATCATCTGCATGTGCTGCCAGGTTCCTTTGTTTGGATTGTTTAATGAGTTTTCTGGAGAGTAGAGAAACAGTGTTTTTCTTACGTGCTTGAAGTCACATGCGATGTTCGGATAAGAAACTTCCACAAAATAAAAGGAAGGCGGCAGGCGACTTCTGGTGGGGAAAAACACCTTTCCACATTCCATGATCTTCCACTCCCCTGGCGCACCAGGTCATGCTAATAGGTACCAGCTTGGTCAAATCAAACTGTGGTCAATTTGAAACTGGCAACGCTTCTCGTTGGCGGTATTTTCATGTATTTTCTCAAGCTCTTCGTCACGCTGGATCAACTATTCTTGCCTAGTGGGTGGTAGGCGGCAAACATATCATGTAACATATCTGAAAATGCTGATGGAACCTCAGTTTTTTGCTGCTGGGTTGGGTTCCATTGGGTTCCCCACTCTGCCGATCCTTGGATTTGTCCGGAAAAAAAAGATGCAGCACTTGGGGTGTTATTATGCGATTTACCCGATATTATATGGCCAATAGCATGCAGATGGAAATGACACTAACCATTGGATTTGGTGCTACCCTGTTATCTTGGACACGCCCATCTGGTTGATTTTGGTTGGTCTACCCTCTGGTTATTTAACATAGCCATGGAAAATGGCCCATTTATAGATGGTTTACCTGGGTTTACCTATTAAAAGTGGTGATTTTCGATGGCAAACTGTTAAATAACCAGATGGTAAGTCTATAAACTTCAAACAACTTGGATTCCCGAGACCATCAGCGCCTTTTTGGATCCCGATCCGCCGAGGTCAGCGTCAGTTGGCAGCACATCACTCCATCAGCGCCGTGAGCCGCGATGCCCGACAGAATGTCTTCATCACGGAGAAGCACATCAAACCCAACAGGTTGGGACGAGAATCGCCAAAGGTTAACAGCACCATGGCTGGTTAACAGCGCGATGGGGCTGGAGTTGCCCCGCAAAGTTGCAGCGGTCCATGGCCTAGCTACTCCAGTGACATCCGTTGAGATATCCTCAGCGGGGCATCCATCATTGTATAAGCCCCGAATAGATACCTCAACTAAACAGCATTGTCACCCTCAGAAGGTACTTGGACCTTTATTGGGGGAGATCTCCAAAGGCTCTTCAAATTAGCATGTCGCCATTTGTTTCTGGTAAATCCTCATTTTTTACTGGTTTCATTTGTTAAATACCACCCCTGTGTTTGCTGCTTAAATCAGCATTTTGGCTGCTTGAATTGAATTGTCTACCTCCAGTATTTCCCAGTCAAATTGTTAAATCATTGCTGGTTGGAGATTTGGAACATTTTTTTTGTTTCCATATATTGGGAATTTCATCATCCCAACTGACGAAATCATATTTTTCAGAGGGGTAGGTATACCACCAACCAGCATTGTGTTTTGTTGGCTAAGTCCACCTTTTTTGGCAGATAGTGGGTCCGCTGTTGCAGGTGAACTCCACCATTTGGTTGGTTGAACCACTACTTTTGTTGCTAAAAACAATCTTTTATCGTCACATCTCCATTTAAGTGTGGCTCGAATCACCATTTTTGTTGGTCAATTCCCGCAGATTTTCTGGCTCTCCGTCCTTTTCTTCGCCCTGGGCCTACAAAAAGCCGAGGCATCCACCTGTCCTCCACCCTGGACACCAACTTGGCCACCACCACAGGGCTGGGCTATGGCGGACGATCCGACTTCACCGCACAGAAGGCCAACTTGGAGCTGAAAATTCCAGTTTTACCAGATCTCAACCAATATGGGTTTTGTCTGAAAATAATAGGGTACCAAAAACTAGTGTACCCAGCAAAAAAACACAAGACATAGTTGATCATCACCTGTCCTATAAAATTGAGTTTTTTTTTGGGGGAGCCCCCACTTTAAGTTTATGATGGCGTTAGTGAAATCAGATAGATCATGGGGGACTTATACATAACCCCAGTGTGAAACCAGGATGGCACGTGATGTTCCCCCCATATGTTCCAGCTGTTAATAGCTGTTATACATATATACATAACGAGAAAACATAAACAACGTGGAATTCAACCAGCAGCTTGTGTTTTAAAATGGTATATATGTATAGATATCATTATATACCATATGTATACTTTATATAAATTATCTTTATATATATATATATGTATATATATATATATAATACTACTATACTATACACATACATGTGTCTCCGTTTGTGTTTTCGACATGTTTCAGCCGGGATTAAGCGTGAACCCCAGCGACCTTCCTCAGGGGATTTTCCAGCATCAACTCGTGGGTGTCCATCCATTTTGTTAATTTCGAACGACCTCACGACCATATCAATCAAAACCATTGTTAGGGTAACTAGTCTAAAATGGTCGAACTTTTCAAGTTGGTCAATTATCATACTTCAGCCAGATCCATAATTGAACAGGTATATATATAATATATAATATAATATAATATATATATATACATATATATTTGTAGGTATGATAAATATTTGATATGATTTGGTTTTTGGCTGAAAGCGAGACATGTCTTATGTTCCATCCCAACTGTGATGATCAAAATTCACCACTCGCAATTTTTGCGACAGGCTGGAGCCACCCCAGCGCTTCACTAAACGTGATGAACAAATGCCCTTGAAACTGAAAGCTTACATTTTGCAAAAGGTAATTCCTCAGGTTTTTTTTTCTACATTTACAGATGTTTCCATCCAATTCTTGTTTTATTGCAGTAGCCCTGGTTTCGCTGTGAAGACTTACCCGGGAGTTCTCGGTGAGGTGGATCCTGATAGCATCCCTAGCAACGATGCCATGAACCTCATGCCGGATGGACAACAGATGCTGGGACGACAGCCATTGATGGCACTCTCCCACGATAAAAACATCCTATTGGGTTGCTATCTCACCACCCCCCAGTCATCAGCATTTTTATAATATTTTTCCAGGTGATATAAATACCATTCCCAGTTATGGCTGATTTATGGCATTGTGTTGCCCACATTACTTATAATAGCCCAATTAGATTAACGAGATAAGCCACTGAATGGGGACTCAACTCAGAAACAGGGCAAAGTAATACTATTTTTGTCTGGGAGATGAATGGTCAATCTTCCAGATCTCAGAAAATCGCTTAACAAAAACCATTAAAAAAACAAACTCATCCGCGATCTGCCCAGGTTCAAGTACAAGCGTGATCCCAAGATTGTGATCGGCACTGAGCCGCGCTTCAGCTTGAAGGAATCCACGTCTCTCGGCACGGTGTGTTGTGCCTGGTGATCCGATCGTGGTGTAATCCGCCGGTCGAGAAAGTCAGTGGAAACGATCCTATGAGTAAATTATAAAATTGCTTCGTATATGTAATATGTGATTAATCATGATAATCATGAATAATCATGATACAATATGATACATGTGTAGCATATATTATGGAAAGGGCCTTTGTGGCCTGATTTGAGGCATCTGAGACTGCTTGCGGCATTGACACTGTATAATTATGGAAGTTGGTACTTCTTTGGCACTCTGAGCACCCTGCTGAAAAATGTTTCAAGTGGTGTAATCCGCGGCATTTTGTTCCACCATCATGTAACCAACAAAACAACCAAAATATGACATCAAAGGGTCAACCTGTATCTATCCGAAGCAACCAGGTCATTTTTGGACACGAAGAGTAAGCCCGGGAAAACATGTTGTCATGCGGACAGCTTGGGATATCGGCCCCTTCATGATTATAATGATTGGTTCAAAGCATGCAATCTAGCTAGTAAATTCTTCCCATACTGTAAGTGCCCCACCATCCACCATCTCAAATATCTCATGGGTCCATTTCAATTTCTGAGTAAACTGTGCCCCTGCAATGACTCAATGGGCGATTTGGGGCCAGTTTGCTCCCCGAAATCACCATGTTTTTTCTCACACCAAAGCCCAAGTACATTCTGCTGAAAATGTGGCTTTTGTCCGATTCTGTTCGTTTACTAATACTAGGCCTCCCCAAACCAAAAATAATGGAAACATATGGAAAAGCATACAATTCTATCCCAGATTTCAACGATGTTCCATCAGTGTCAGATCGATTTGTTTCTTCAAACTTTCCCAAAGTCAGCTGGCTGGTGGTTTGGAATGAAATGTACCCAGTTATGCCAACTTATGGGACACTATATCAATGGGAATTTCAGGGTCCTAAAATGGCGGTACTGTACTGTATAAAGCCATATCTTGGGGGCATATTCCCTTACCCCTTACATAGGCCTTGTACATAGTAGGTAGCTCCAATTTCGGTACCTGAAATGGCCGTTGATTGTAAGGCTTGACACACATTTACAAACCATAATTAGTTTACTTCAGTCCATGGCCATCTAAGATAAAAAGCCAACATATTCCCAGTCTAATTCCCATTAGTTGATGGTTAAATCCATATTTTTTATGGTTCAAATCACTACGTTTAAATGTAAACATCCCAGATCATACCATTAAAAGCTCACTTAGTGGCCCCCGAGGCTGTCGAAGACCCACAAGGCTGCCTTCTTTGGGCGCAACAGTCCCGGCCCCGCGGGGGTGGGGGACGAGTTCGGGCCCAAATTCGAGGTGACCAAGGCGCGAATGGCCATGGCCATGCCTTTCGCGCACAAGACCAAGCTGGTCTGGCCAGGCAGTGAGGGATGCGCGCGGGATGATGAAACAAGTACCCTTTGTTTAAGATATGTTTATTTACAAGGATATGATTTGATCAGGGATGATTATATAGTTTAACGAGTATAGTTTAGTAACCTTAGTATAATATGTTTAAGGATGTGATATTTATAATCTAACTGATGTGTCACTAACAATTATGCGTTATTAGTGGGATGTGGGTGAAATATGACATGTTAATGTGTATATTAAGGAAATATGGATATATATAATGATATCAGTGATATAACCAACACTTGGTGAAGGATCCATCATTGGAAAGATATTTGACATGGAGAATTGATATGATTGGAATAGTATTGGAATATATGTCGATGGGATGATCCTAAAGAAATGGTATTAAATGGTACGCTATTGAAATATCAATGCGATCGTCGATCGTATTGACACATTAATGGGATATGTTTGAAATATACATTGAACATAAGTGATACATGATAAACATGATATAATCAAAAAATGCGACGGATCCATTGGGACATATTTAAAATGAACGGACTATCGGTATATCCATTGGGAATGTTCAAAAATAGTATCGGATTACTATTTGAATATGATTGGACTATTTTGATGGAATATATAACCAACAATTAATGTGATATGATTTATTAATCCTATCCTGATGGGTGATGGAGTCATGGAGTGGGGCAACGTATTGTTCTTTCTGACGAATCCTTAATCATGCTTCATATTAGTCCAATAAAACACGGTTGCTCGTTGAAACCAGCACGTTTTGACTGGTTTTTGGTGGGCGATGGTCCCTATGAGCAAGTGGAAAAATATGTCTTAGACATCTCTTCCATCAGTAAGGTTGGTCCTGATTCACCATTTTGGGGGACATTTCTTTTTTCACCGGCCCAGTGGCTTTACTCCTGCGGAGGTATGTACAACAACCCGCCAGAGGTGGGTCCTGGCACCTTCGAAAGGAAGGATAGTTCCATTGGACCCCAACACCTCAGCAAGCGAAAGAATCATTCCACCTATTCCTTTGCCAAAGGCGCTGGGTGGCAAGTTACATGTTGTGAAGAAACATGCTGTTGGAGGTTGAAGAACATGTGGAGGTATGAGGGCAAAAAGGGTTTTTGAATGATTTGATTCAGGATAGTCAGTGTATGCTATGCAAACGGGACTGAAAATATGGGCCGCTTAAAAACGGACAAATACCTGACACGTGGATCACCCCAGCCCTCATCCCTGAGCTGGAACCATAGGAAAAGATTCAAAGCCATAGTAGAATAGTAGAATACCATTTCTGAAGAAGAACAAACCTATAATTAAAGAGGATGTTGATTCAGTTAATCCCAGCACTTTGTGGATGTTCTTGTGGCATTTTTGGGCTACTTGATTTCAACGACTCCTGGCCCACGCCAAGCGCGCCCCACAAGGCGCGCCCCTTGCGCGCCTTGTGAGGCCCGAAGTTTGGTCGCCAGCCGGCAACGGATGACGTGATCTCCAAGTACGACGCGGCGCGCAGTTGCTTCGGCAAACAGGTCCTGCACAAGAACCGCAGCGCACCGGCCGTGGGCTTCAACCATGACACCCGCGACATGAGATCCAAGACCAAGGCGAGGGTTTATGGTTATGGCTTTGTTGGTGATTTTTTCTCTGTCTGGGAAATCCACCATCAGGAATCCATAGAAGATATGTTGATATATGTTTGGTTGATGGGTCGGGGGGGTATTAAGCAAATCCAAGGTTTCGAGACATTGTTTTGTCATGTTTTTTCTCATCCATTGTTGTGTTTAGATGAAGCGGATCTCACTGAATAGAAGTGACATGATTATGAAATTGATATGGGGATGAGTCAAAACCGCAATCGCCGGATTTTTATGGATTTGTTTATCAATCTTTATCATTTGTTCCACAAAGCCATGATTTCTGGCTCATGAAAACCTGGATGCCAGGCTTCTTTCAGTTGGCCCAAAAAAACAGTTCTCTGGCTCCCCATTTTGGAGGTACTTTGTGTATCTTCTTTTGCCCGGGGGGCTGGGCATTTTGAAAACCCTTTTCAGGTTTGCATGACCAAATTGGATGAGGGACCTCGCGCCAATTTCACCAAGATGCACATTCCCATGCCCAAGCTGCCGATGGAGAGACATGTCTTGGCCAGTGGTTTTGGTTAATTTCTGACGCCTTCCGCGGCGTCTTAAGTCCCCGGGGCAAACGTGTCGCCGTCCACTACGGCGCGACACAGTTGCCGGGCGAATACCGAGCTGTCAATGCGGACCATACCATGTGGTTTCAAGTGTGTGACGATGCAGACAGTTCAACATTGCAGCTGGTTGGTGGCGCTCACTGCGTTTTGGGGGGGTAGAAACACCAAAAAGATCCAAAAAATTGAGAAAATGCAGCCGGTAAAAGAGGATATTGCAAGATATATTTGTTCATTCCTTCTCCATGGAGCTGCGATGATGCCCCCCAGTTTGTTCCAATAGTATATATATATATACATAGAGAGAGAGAGATTACCTCTCTAAACTAAAGCATACAATATAAGATGTATGTTGTCGGGTGAGTGACCCAACCGCCAACCAGCAAGAACTTGTTTCACCATTGGCTCCTTCGTCACCGTCGTTAAACTGCCGGTGACGATCCAAAAAGCTGCGTGCCAAGGGAGGCATATGAATCGTTGCCAGCTGTAAAGTCTAGTTGGAAGATAGTGTCTGAAACTACCGCTGGTTGCACACACACACACACCAACACAATTCCATACAAATCCTAGACTGTTGGAGGCCATTTTCATTGTTGCCATGGTCAAATCTTGAAAATAGGTCTTCTCCCATTTGAGTTGATTTTCATTGATGGTCAGACTCCCCACATGCACAGCTGTCACATGGAATTTCCGACGAGGAGCAACGGCCCTGCGTGCCATCAGCAAGTGGCACGCACACCGAACTGTCACGGGAAGTGATGGATGACGTGAATCTAGGGAAACTTCATAACAATATGATAGTTGAGGATTGCTGACATCAACTTATATGCTTTCAGGAACTTCATCATACAAATATGATATCATTGATTCGTTATTCAAAGTGTGTTTTTTGGATGGTGTGGATGCAATATCATAGTGAACAAAGACATGCATTTTTTGTAAATTCACTCATCATTCACTAATCATCCATCATTGGTGATCACAATAATCATCCATCATCCAATTTTGGGTGTGCCCTCTGGTAAACTAACATAGCTATGGAAAATGGCCCATTTATAGTGGATTTTCCCATTGAAAATGGTGATTTTACATAGTTATGTTAGTTTACCAGAGGGTAAATCCATCAACACTTGTGTTTCCATTTGGACTTCCTTTGGAAACACTGCAGTCACCTTAAGGGACCTTGGTGCAGCACGGAGTCCGCCGCAGGTCAAGGCATATTTGGAGATCTTGACGGCTCTGGAACGCCGTCTCGATGCAGGAGCGAGGGTCGGAATGACATGGATATTTTTATTCATGGGATAATATGGATGATTAGTGGATGATTAGTGGATGATTAATGGATGATTAGTGGATGATTAGTGAATGATTAGTGGATGATTGGTGGATGATTAGTGGATGATAATATAGTGGTTAATAGTTAATAGTAGCATATGTTAATAGCATTAGTGGCTATATAATATATGCATATTCTGACTAATGATAGCATAATGGTTTCTGGTACCACAACGATTGATGATTAATGATTGATAGTGGTCTAGCCAGCAACTATGAATGATTAGTGGATCATTAATGTGGGATTCACCCAATGCCATAATGGGATATACCAGGATATTGACGGGATAATGAGGATTAATAATGATTAATATGGAATAGTCGTGGTAATAGAAGGTTAAACATGGTTAAACCGCCAAACCCAATAATAGATGATGAGTTCCGAGATTCACCGCCTTATACGCCATCCATAGCTATCCCATCCCATGGGTCCCACATCTTCCTTGCCATCCCCGCCGTCCGGCACCGCACCAGGATGCCAGTTCCGAAATCTTCCGCTGGTGCAGCAGCTCCGTGAACGCGTGAGCATAGGGAAATCGAGGCCATTTCCATGGCCATTTTCAATAGCAAACTGTTAGATTACAGGAGGGTGTGTGTATGTGTATATATATATATATACCCTCTGGTAAACTAACATAGCTATGGAAAATCACAATTTTTAATGGGAAAATCCACTATAAATGGGCCATTTTCCATAGCTATGTTAGTTTACCAGAGGGTATTGTAATCACTATTTGGAAATATGTTCCCATATTCTGACTGGAATAAGTGTAACTATTGTGTTTTTTTGTTTGGCAGGGACAACTATCAACTAATTGTCGCAATGAAGTGAAGGAATATACTCTCCGTAATTTAATGCAACTTTGCAAAATGACGCATTGATAGGTTGTTCATGTTTTTTCTTACCTACAAATAGCTATGTTAGTCTACTGGATGGTGTGACAACCCCAAAGGAGTTGTTGAACACATTGGAAAATAAGTTCCATCTTTTTGGGCCCTATCAGTCCCGCAGGTTCTCCTTTAAACCATTGCTTTCTTCAGTTAGGAATGAATAGACAGATACCCAGCTCCTTGCAATATCTCATTGATATGTGTATATATATATATATATACATATTTAGACTTTAGATGGAGACGTGGACAGATGTATCTTGAAAGTAATGGTGCATGCCCGCCGGTACTTCATGTAATGTTATGCTACTATGATACTACATGAAACAGGCATGTAGTACCCATCAACCGACAGAAACCTGGCTGAGCCGAGTCTAACTTCTGCAAGATTAGCAATGGAAGCCGATCCATTGATGATTTACTAATTGTCATGTTCCAGCCAGCTATGTTGAATTACCAGAGGGTAGCCCCAAGAACATCCTCCAGGTATTTATTCCGGAGACCGGCTTTGTGAATGCAACCAAGTGCAGGCCGTGTGCGATGATTCCATGCGATGATTTTTGGAGTGTCCAATGACTCATGGATTACCCATGGGTGAATTGTTATCAGAACTTTCTGGGTCAAGAAAGAATTGACATCCAGGGTAGACCAACCCAAGTTATCCCAAGTTTGGGTTTTGGTTTCTCCTCAAAATTAGGGATGGATCTATTGTTTAAATTTGTTTCAGTTCCCATCTGTGATGTCGTTCACGATGCTTGGGATTCGGGGAATCCCCCATTAGTGCTGCATGTTACGGCTATTATTATTGTTATTATTTTTAGCCAGATGCCACATATATTTAATATGTTATATAATATGTATATTTTTTAAAAAAGAATATATTTAGTTGTTTATTTATCAAGTATGTATTCCGAAGATATTGCCTTCACATTGTTGGTAAAATCCCATCTATTTCTGGTGGACATCCAACCAGTCAGGTGGCGAAGCTGCCCGGGCCGCAGCGCTGCGTGGTATGACCTCTCTGAGGCGAACCATAGAGCTGGGAAAATCGTAGCCACTACAGATCCAGAAGATTTTCCCAGCTGGATCTGACGATTATTGTGTGATTTTTGATAGTTTTTTTATGATTTTTGATGATTTTTTGATGATTCTTGATGATTTTTTTGTTGATTTTTGTTGGGTTATTTTTGGGGGGAATCCATAGGAAGTGCCATAGAAAGCGCTCTGCTTGTCCGATTGGAATCCTTGCGTTCCTGAATCAGGTGATGGGTGAGACTTTGGTGACGGGAATGTCATGGCTAGTTGATGTTCTTTGCCATTTTATCATGGGGATCTATATCATGGAATTTGAGATTGAATTGAATTGACTATCAAAGAATCAAATATAAATTGCACATGCCCAATTCAACTAAAGCATTTCCGTAAGGATATCCAACACGAACCATGCTGTTTAGGATTGCAGTATTGTTGCGCTAAACCTGTTGCTGGGTGTTTGCTGGGTGGTCTAAGGCGGTGGCATTTGGCAACATTTGCCGTACTGCAAAGAGCATACCCAGAAAGATGAGGGTGTTCAGAGAGTGTATCATGCGCATCAATGGATACCTGTGAGAAAGAATACATTGAATACATGATGGTGGCGGTGACTGTCATACACACATGTGATATATTTATGCGCCACTATTATTGCACCTGAAAGATGGGACGTTTTTGGGAGGCCGCACTGGATGGCATGAGTGCATAAGCATCATAAGCTATGATACAATCTGACACAATCTCTAAATATTACCTCAATCACCGCTACTCACTCTCTTGGGAAGATAAATCGCAAAACACAGACAAAACAGTTGTGGCGATAGTCACAACTCAGAGATTTATTGCCCTTAACAGCGAGCATGCTCCCCCAAACAATTCCACACTAACTTGATTTTGCAACGGATTTTCCTGTTTTTCTACATAAGTTATAAAACTGCACCCCAAGCGATAAATGACTGTTCCGCCTTTTCAGGGGTGTTTGCACTCATACATTTTTTTACTGTCAGCATCGGGGGAGAACAACAGATGGGGTTGTATAAAAACCCGGTATTTTTTTAAAATGACCCAAAATCACGTTATCGTTTTTTTGTTTACTCTTATCGTTTTCTCAGGTAGTGAGCTCCCTGTAGACAAGAAGTGTGTTTTTTCCAGCTTTCTGTGGGTGTGAAAGCATCCTTAGTCGAGAGTCAACAGATGTCATTTGCTGTTTTCATTTCCTTTCATCGCCTTTCATGTTGCATTAATTTCCTCTCATGTTCCTTTCATTTTGCTTTCATGTCCTTTCATGTTCCGTCGCTATGTATCAAAGATACAGGTCTTCGAAAGCTGGTATGCTCAAACCGGTCAGGTGGGTATCCACCCAAACGCTCACGTTTTTGTTCATATTTCGTTATTGTTTTTGTTTTTCGTTGAGTTATCGTTGTGAAGGCCTGTGCAGGTTGGCAGTGTTAGGGTGCCCTTGAAGCCAGGTCTATAGTGCGGAGCACTTTGCGGAATCTTCCCAGTTGCTGGATGAATTTCTGGGGTTTGCTGCGGGTCATTCAATGTCAATGTCATTGTTCACCGGCCAAGTGACCTTCGAAAGTGGCAAAGCTATGCAAATGTTTGTTGTTGTTTGTTTCAGGGTTTTAGATAGCAAAACCAAAGTAGTGTCCAATTTCTACCATTTTTTTGTTGTTTTTTCTCACAGATACCTGGTATCGAACCTTGACCTATAGCCTGACTTAGCCGCCCCAGGTTGCAGCGCTACTTCACCTTTTGGCTGGATGTGTCGCGATGCTCAGCCATGGCCGGTTCGATGTGGTTCGATGCTGGAAAGATGTGGCCTCCAGAGGCTAGAAAAATGATGAAAAATATGCGTTGATGTTTGTAAAGTCATGGTAGGTTGAACCTCATCATGTGTAAGTCAGTCATGGATTTTTTGGGGGGAGATGTTTGATCAGTAAACCTTGGTGAGCGGATGTGAATGGCAGGTGGATGTTGTTTTATTTGTGGACGAATACTGTATTTGGATATTGTATTGGCATGTATTGGCAAGATGAATCAATAATGAAATATTGTAAGAAGCCCTCAAGAACTGCATTTCACATCCGTCCAAACAGCCTCTCGATATCAACGGCAATGGACACACGATTTTGTTCATTATCAAAATATCTATATAAAATTATCTAAAACTTATGGTTCCAATATGGTTCAACCTATATATTTCAACCCTGGCAAAGAGGGAAGTTCCAATATGGTTCCCATTTTCTCCGCTATTCTCATGATGTTTGGCCGATGCCCCTGGGAGATCCTGGGGGGTTCGAGGCCAACAACCTTAAGCCTGGAGGAAATCCTGGAAGCCTTGCGAGCGTTGCGCTCCAGCAATAGGCATCGGGTCGAAGTTGCGTTTCTATTTGTTGGAACTGGTTGGGGCTGAATGATACACGGTATTGTGCATATATAATTATATAATCATATATATTTATATAAATTATATTATGTATATATATATATATATTCAAATATTTAATTATATATATTATCTTTATATATTATTTTTATATATTTACATAATATATGCATACATAATTATGTAATATAATTTTGTGTATACCTATATATATATATAGTTTGATGATTATTGCTGGCGCAGATCATCATCATCATCATCATCATCATCATGATCATTATTATATACGATATATATATATATACACATACCATACGATATTGACCTGGCTTTTCGAGCCATGACTAGGTTGTCGAGGTGGACGGGCCATGCGCTGGAAGAAGGCGGGCGTTGTTTTTGTCGGTGCATCGCGCGAGGTCATTCCGAATTGGAAGCGACAGAGGAGGGGTGGTAAAACAAGATATGCCCGATATAAACCAGATATGAATGGTCAGACATGGTCAGACTATAAGGAATTTGCACCTAATTATCGGTGAATTCATTCAAATCTAAGACATAAAGGATTTTACTCATGTTAAAGGTTATTTAAGGCAATCAGCACCATTACACATTCCGAATGGCCGGCTGTGGATGTGGAATCCATTCGCCAACAATCAGGTATGGAAGGACCATTCAATATAATTTGGATCTTTATTTCATTAAATGCCAGATTTGCTGGCCCATAAAATGGCCCATAAAATGACCCATAAAATGGCCCATAGAATGGCCCATAAAATGGCCCATAAAATGGCCCATGATGTCCTGTTTCTGCGTGTTAGCAGCTTGAGATCCTGTGGTTTCAGTTCCCTACGGTCCAACTTGTTTATAAGTATGTTGATGATTTTAGTCACCAAATTTTATTTGAACCAGCCGCATGACGATTTTTATTGTTCTTCTTTGTGTTCAGTTTTGTTGGGAGGGCACTTGACCAAACCATACCAGGCCCGACGTTGCCGCGTGCTGCCGCACTGTACAAAGAGCTCTGCCTCGCCTTGCGGAGTCATGAGCCGATGGAGCTCCAGGCAGGGTTTATCAATGGGGATAGAAGGATTTTTGTCAATGGGATTTACCCTTTGGATCCGTGAAAAATCACAACAAGATGTAGATGTAGGATTCAAGCGGAAATGGATGGAAATGGAACATTCATGGGGTTATTAGTGGGGTTATGACTTATAACCCTCTGGTAATTTGAGATGCAGTATGGAAAATATCCTCCTTTTAGTAGGTAAATGAAGCAAATGGACCATTTTTGCATGGCTATTTGTCGATTCCCGGAGGGTAAAGGATCCCATCCCCAAAAAAACTGACAGAACTCCACTGGAAAAAAAGGCCCCGTGGTTCTGCTTGTTGGTTTATAATAGCTGATAATAGCTGGTTGGTGGTTTAACCATCATTAACCACATAATAACCATATCTTAACTTCTTAACCATATATTAACCATATATTAACCACATAACAACCATATCTTAACCATATCTTAACCATATATTAACCATATCTTAACCATATATTAACCATATATTAACCATATCTTAACCATATATTAACAGTATATTACCACCAACCAGATAGTTTCTAACCCCATCTCGGAAGCTCGATATATCCACGGCCGTTCCACGGCGCGGCTTCAGGCCTTCAAGGATGAAGCCTTGATCTACGGCGCATCGGCCGGACGATGGCTGAAGGCGACAGAGGAACCTGAAGCTTTCACCAACCGAAACTTTAAACTGGTGGTTCAACATGGTTCAATGATGTTTACAGTAACCCAACCAAAGATGAATTTCATATGATTTCATATGAACAAGTGCATGTACTTGGATGTATTTGGGACGAAAGCTGGATGTGGCAGGGGTCGCCCAGGATCCATCGTTAGGCTGACAGCGTTGGAAAACGAGGTCACCAGAAGATATTGTTTTTTTTCAAAAAGTGTAAACGACGTAAAGGGGACCACTTTAACATTCGTTCCTTCCCTCATGTGTTGCATTAAAGCTGTCGCTCATATGATTTCACTACATTCCACTAGGATAGCGATCAAACCCTGACCGAGGACAACATCAAAAGTTGGGAATTCGAACCTCCAGATCACTGATATATATGTATAGACAGATTATATAGATATATAACATGGGAAAAGCTACAGGAGGCCATTGAATTGATTGGGGGGGAGCAGCCCTTTACCTCAGTGGGTAAAAATGCCTTGGGAATCAGTGGATGGGGCCCTCAGGCCTGCGAGTGTTTGTGGAAGATGCCTGACCGAGCACCTGAAGGTGGAAGTTTGGAGTTTCTTTGCAGGGTATCTAAGATTGCAAAGGTAGTGGTGGGTGATGGTTTGTCTCTTTGTCGTTTTGGTGGGGTAACTGGATTTCTGAAATGGTTTTCCCTGTAGATACGAGCGTTACGATCTCCAATCTGCACCCTGGAGGTTCAAACATGTTTAAGAAGATGTTTCATGGAACCACGCACTGTATGATGTTGCTGTCCAACGCTTCCGAAATGCAGCATTGAACCCGACCAGACTTGAATGACTATTCCATATAACCTAGACCACTGGAAGTGAACAATGAATGAGAGCCTGTTTTCACATGTGTTCGCCACATTTGATGTGGTGAACTCCACAATAAACAGTTAAGTTGGGCTATGGTTTACACGAGAAACCAACTGGTCAAAGTATGTCAAATTCCCCATTGTTTGGCAATATATATATATATATAGGTGGGGTTTATCCATTCACAGGATTGATCAAAAGGGACCTTTACAATAAAACACAATAACATCGTTCTTTTTTTGCATCCAGATGAGGCGTTAAGTTTTTTTCCCCGATGATTAAAACCTGCAGGTTGGAGCACGCAGCGGGAAGAGCTTCTGACCAACTATGGGCCTGATCCCTTGCGGCGCCGACGCAGTTGGAAGGGTTTTTTCGGACGGATGGCTAGTGGACTTGATTGTTTTGCAACGAATGGTCGTGTCTGGAAATGGGGTGTACCCCGTTTATGGCCAGCTTGATAGATACAATTAATGATATAATTTGATACACTGAATGAACCAATGGCACGGATTTCAGGCTCTTTTTAATCAAGACAAACCTGACAAACCCACCTGGGAAAATCAGAGTTTGGCCATGGGAACTCAAGCTGCCGCTTCGAAGTTGGAACAGTGCACTAGATGAACATCATCTACATCAACATTCTACATATGTTTGCAGCTGATATATATATATATATAATATTATGTTATTATATATATATATAATTATATATATATATATTTATTTATATACTTATTTGCTTCGGTATTTGCACGCTGACTTGGCTTTGAGTTCGGTTTTGTGTGTATGTGGGAAAAGGAATCTCCTTCCTGTGCCCCCACGGTTGGTACCGTTGAAAGTGGGGGATGGTCGATGCATGGTTGTGCCTGCTGGTTCGGTGGGGGTATGGCCGGTATGGCCGCCTGGCGGTTTGGCACCACCATCCATTCAGCCACCATCCATTGCATGGCTTGGCTTCCACCATGGTGCCTCATTAACCTCCAGCCAGGCTCAAGGAAGTTTTCACTGAGAGCTGGAAGCTGAGACGCGCCAAGGCATGTGGTAAAGCCAAGTGAAAACCAAGCCTGGGCGTAGCTGTTGGGGGTGATTGTAAACTTCCCAGCTAAACCTTCCGGCACTGAGGTGATACATGGAGCATGAGGATGAAAACTGCTACTGAAATATACTGTACCCTGGTATACTGTTAGCAGATGCAAGGCCCATGGGTTCCAGAGGCAATGGTACAGTAGCTTCTTTATAGATCATTATGAATAGAATGGCCATCTACACACACACATGTGCACATGCATGCATGCATGCATGCATCCATGCATCCTTGCATCCATGCATCCATGCATCCCTACATCCCTACATCCCTACATCCCTATATCCATACATACAACTTATTCAAAACGAAAAGAAGTATAACTCCAGTACCGATACATATATACAAATATTGGACCTATTTATCGATTCCTCCAGGGTGGCACAGTAGCCGAGACGCCATCCAGTTCAGGACTGGGGGTCCCTGTCTCCGTGAGATTCGACTGTCAGGGCCCAAAAAATCGCTGGGTTTCTGTGGTGGTTGGTTTGCCATTGGATATTAGTCCCACCATTCAACGGGAAGAATACTAAGTGGCTTTAAGTGGGCTAAGATGCTAAGAGATGTAAAAAATACTAATCTCCATCTCCACACCTTCGGGATGGCGATGGAGAGAGATCTCCACATCTCCCTGTATAATACAGCTTCTAGTATTGAATGGCGCGCTTGAAATCCTGCTTTAATCATGAATTTATTCACATGGGCTTATTGGAGGTATTCTGTTTTAGTTTTGACAGGGGGTGAGATTACCATGTTGGGATGCCAGTTATGGATATCAGTGTCCTGCAGATTTGTCCAAAAAAAAGGGCTGACCCATTGTTTGACGTCATGGCTTGAGACAACATCTTACAACATGGCCATGCCATATCATTTATACAATGTGGTATCATTTCAATATAGCATATCTGGTTGGTGGTTTGGAACATGTTATATTTTTTCTACATATTGGGACAAATAGTCCCAACTGACTATATAATATGTTTATATATGTTTCAGAGGGGTAGGTATACCACCAACCATATATATATATTATTAAATATATATATATATATATCTATATATATATATATAGATAGATAGAAATGTTTAATTACAACATGTTACTATTCGAGCTGGTTGACCCCCAATTTTGTTGGATGGTATGCCGAGGCTCATGGGAAGCGCCAGTGGTGCCAGTTGCACTTCAAGGGTGGGGCTGTAGAGCCAGTAGAGCCTTTGCAAAAATCATCAAAAAGTGGTGCAAGACATGGCACATAGATGCACATACCCTCTGGCAAACTAACATAACTATGGAAAATCACCATTTTTAATGGGAAAATCCACTATAAATGGTCATTTTCAATAGCTATTTTGAGATAACCAGAGGGTAGACCTTCAGTACATCGGTTTCAAGTTTCATTGGAGCTGGTTGTGAACACTTGATCTTTGAACGGCCTTCTGTGACTATGTCGCCACGCGCATCCTAGTGCCACGCGGCCACGCGCATCCCAGCGTGGCTTGTGAAGTTGGAGCCATCTGCCAGGCAGCCTGTTTGGATCTTAGATGAAGCTGCAGGCGTGGAACTTTTTTTTTGCGTGGAACACCTTGGAAAACAGGATGTTTGGGTATGAACAGATCAGCTTAAAGAGATTGATAGCTTTGGTTATTATATAATTAATATTGTAATATCTAAATAAACAATCGTCCTTAAATCATTCTATAGACTCTATAGACTATATATAGTGGGTTGTGCTGCGTGTCATTTGCTTCGAGAAGCCGGCGTCACGTTGCTGGTTGGGGGTTTCTGTGCTTCCAGTGAACTGGTGTTTCACAAGTCCTAGGGCAGGAACTGTAGGTGTTCGATGCTGGTCATGTTGATCGTTGGTTGGTCGTTGCTGTTTTTTTTGGAGGGGACATCCATGCTTTTTATATAGATGCTTGTAGGGTCGGGTATAGGGTTTAGGATTTAGATTCAGATTGATCTAGGTTTTTAGTGTGTCAGGGTTTAGTATGACTTGAGCAATGACCCGCAGGTCCCCTACCTGAGCTTTTCAGGCATGCCAGAATTTTCCACAATTATGTATTCAGTGTTTTGAGAATGCCTCGGGCAAAGTGAGGTGTTTGCCCTTCAATATGTAGCAACCACACATACCACAGATGGATTTGTGGGAAGCGTTTCAGACAAACAGTTTTTACAGGTTTTAACCAGAAAACACATCTTGGATAGTCGACATGTTGATGGCGGGAGAGCCTCGGAAGTTGCGTCGAAAATCTGGCAGGTGATCTACCACAGAGTAGCCTGTCGGAATGCCCAGTGACGGGAGCCCATCTATGCCAGTGGTTGTTTCGACTTTTAACTGTGGAAAAGCAGCTCAATTGTTGCAAGCTGGTACTTATTCAGTCATGTAATGTATGTGCCTCAACCTGTGTCAGGGCGTCAATGTATCATCTCTTTGTATTGATTGAACCATTGAACCTAATCATTTTGTCTTCTCCATTTGTTAGTGACACCATCGGATGTTTTTGTGTGAGCCCTTTATTTTAAGAATGTCAACGTATGGATCATCCGGCAGGCGTAGCGAAGCGTCGCGGACTTCGGGGGACCCGAAAGCTGGAGCAGAGCCAGCTCCGCAGGCCCCTGGGTTTGTGAAGCGTTTGTCGAACTAAATGGAGATGGACCTAGGACCTATAAGGTTCTTTTGATTTGGGGGGTTGGGGGGAACTAAGGATTCGAACTTTGTGGTACTTTGTGGTTTGGCAGCCATGCAAGTATTAAAGGTTAAAAATGTGGTCGAGTTCTTCAAGGATTTTCCAGGCAATAGCATCATGTGTGCAGCTTTTAGAATGGGTGGACCGGCTTTGATCCATAGGAGCCAGTGGAGAGTGATGAGATCGTGGAGGCTAAGTCTGATTCAGGCGGGTGATGTGGCCATGCTCTGTGGTGCTGAAAAAAATTGTGGCAAGGTTTGACCCATGATTTTGGGGGGTTTTCAGGACATCTCCGGATTTTTTTGTTCAACATCTATAGCATTCTATAGCCCTTTGCTGATCAGTCTCGATGTCGATGTCTTTGGAATTTTGGAGCGGTTCAGATTGAATCAAGCAGACAGATCCTGCCGTGCCGCCAGAGGTGATGCCGAATTGGCAAGTGAAGCACAGCCGAAGGCTGCTGGCACTGAAGCTGCAGTGGATGAGACCTGTGGCCCAGTAGAGTTGGCAAAGGTGAAGGGGTCCAAGGTATCACAGGAACCAACAGCTGAAGCAGACTCACTGAGTGATCCAGAAGGCTATGTGGAATCAAATGTGTGGAAACTCAGACTCAACGTTTTGGGTGACTTGGGGGGAAGTCTGAGTTTCAGAGTCATTAAGTTTGGGTAAGTCACAAAGCAACCATGAGACACTATCCAAGTATACTAACATCAAGTCACTAGGTCTGATGTTAGAGAAGTGCCGCTTCTATAGACATCTTGTCACAGCAGTGCAGAGCCAGCAGATGAATTGTGTTTTATTTTTTGATGGCCGCCACAGCAGAAACATGTTTGTTGCAGGCATGTAGGCTTGGCCATGAATGATGGCTGAACACACACAGAGACACACATAATAATATCTATATAATACATATATATATATACATACGTATGTACAATATATATATAATATATATATATATATAAATATAACAGATTACAATAGAATCATATATAATACATATATATATATACAAAATCATACGTATATATATATAGAGAGATATGTATATCATAGAGTATATATAATTATATATATATATATACATACAAAATTTTACACACACACATATATATATATATATACAATATCATACGTATATATATATATACAATATCATACGTATATATATATATATACATACATAGGTGTGTGTGTGTACTTAAATATACAGTAAAATACGGTACTGTATATAGATGTTTGGGTCAACTTATTTGGTGAACATACATTTCTACACAGTGCCAAGCGTCCTTAACAACGAGAAAACCCAGTCATACCAGGGCTATCTCTGGAAATAACAGGTTGATGTGTTTGCATGGGGAGGTGCTAAGTTGGGGGTGTTAATCTTGTTGGTAGTCTTGACACAAATATATTGTTTATAGACACCCACAGTCTGTTGGTGTTTGTAATTTTGGCTGCGTTGAGGGTTGCATATAAAGCATATATATATATATATAAACGGTGTGTGTGTGTGACAGTTGGGACCCCTGAAATTGCCTCATTGACTTCCTGCTTCTGAAAACGATCTTTGCCAGTGTTGTCATGTTTTGCTGATTTGTGCCACAATGTTGATGCAAAGGTTGCTAGTGGTTCTACCGGCAGCCAGTCCCAGGTCCAACTGCGAGGGGCCTGGGCACTCAGCGGATGACAATATCTATTTCTCAGAATCTATGTGTTCATATAGTATGTCTATGGTTATAGAACAGTTGGTGATAGTATCAACATGTATCAACTATAGTATGTTCTGTTTCAATCTGTGATGTACCAGTATGGTTATAGTTTTAGACATACTTTTTGCATATTCATGTATGTGTGGGGGTATGTACATATCTGTGTATATTTCTGTCTACTTAGTTATCGTTTTGGAACCAGTGCCATTTAGCGCAAGAAGATGAATCAGTAGTTCTTTGCTGGAGCCAAAGGGACAGGATGTGTCAGGTACAGGGTGGAGACCCCAAACTTGGAACTGGTAGAATTGGGGAAAATGATGTGCGTTTATCTTTCTGGATTATAGATGATTATAGATGATATATGGTGTTATTGCGACTTGTAGATTCCACATTATATAAATTTACTTTGTGTCCATTACTCACTTCCCTGTGTTCAACGGGTGGCCTTGTGGTGGTTCTCCGACTCCCGCAGCTGAGGTGGCGTCAGATGGCTTGGATCTTGGCGGAAAGAGTGCGCAAGCGGATGGACATCTGGCCATTTTCGCATGTGAACTTGCCTTTTTGTTTGCCAATGATTGCCAAGTGGAACAGGTGAAAAATGAGATGTTTAAAACCGAACTTAATATTCATATTCCATTGTTCAAATTCGTACCAAAGTCCGTTTGCACCTTTTTTTGGGGGTACCTAATTTGCTTTGGTTGGCCACTTAGGTCGTCAGGAACGGCGCCAGATGCTGGAGAAATTGGCGGCCAGCGTCAAAACGATGAGCAATGACAGGTGCGACGACCGGCTGGCGACCTGCCAGACCTGCCAGCTGCCTGGTTTGCATGGCTGCTATGTCATAGTTAGCACAGCCTCTGGTAAACGAACTAACAAAAAGCGATGGAAAGATCCACCATGTTTGGGTAAATCCACTATATACTGGGCCATTTTCAATAGCAAACTGGTAGTTGACCAGAGGGTACCACCAAAATCTGCCTGAGGGCCATCCATTCCCAAAGCTGCACGTAGAGACCTGAACATGGCGAGATGAAGCCACAACACCTCTTGAAAGCTGAGAAATGTGTTCCAAAAACGCAGCATTAAGAGCCAGAGAGCCTTACATATATACAATTATATACATATATTATACTGTAAAACCCATGAAATAGGATGAAATGGACTGAAGATCGCATAGAGGTGAAGTACCCCGAGACTTTGCTATCCATTGAATCCATTGAAGGCAGATGGTCTCCAAATCCAACCGTGTGAAGCATCGCTCAGAGGTACAGCCTGATTTGCAAGCGGGACAATCAATGCGTTTGGTTGTGTCACATGTTTTTCTTGTCTCATGTTTCTCAATGTTTTGACTCCCTTGCGCTATTAAACATTGACATATGCACTATATTATATGCACGCTGAATTGCCGATTCCCAATGACTTATTTTACCTGCAGCTTATTGATGAAGTGTCACCACTATGGTAGGTAACATGAGTTATTTGACCTTCTGGGTATTTGCATAAATGAATATAAATGATATGTTTGGAGCTGGACTTGCGCCCTGACAGTGTCGAAGAATAGCTTTGTTGCAGGTGCATAGGGAATAGGTGCGGGAAACTATGGTCTTAAGTGCTGAATATAGGGATACATAGAAGTTTCCTTGGCATTTTCCCTTAAACTCCTCGAGGAACAGCATTAATTACATATGTAAATATGTATATAATATAATATACATACATTCAACATATCTTTTTTTGGGCGCTTGTGGACGTGCATTCTGAGTTACATCTTTTGGAACAAGGACATATTCAAACATTATCAAACATTGATATACATAGTATAGACACCCCAAAATAAATAGACAAGTAAGAAACCTGGAAATATGTAGGAAACTATGGAAATATAGTCTATACCTTGCTGGAAACACTTTTCTATAGTGTTGGGGGTTGCATTAGCATATGATAGTGTAGGTGCATCCTGGCTTGCATCAGCAAAGCGACAAGTCTCCTACGGATGTGATTGCAGGTCTGTGTGGATTGCAATCCACAGCATGACTTGGTGAAAGTGGGTCATTTAGAATCTCGCCTGCAGACCTTCCCACCCTGTGCTGGGGAAGTATTCGCATTGAAAGATGAGCTTCAGGCTGAGGATGATTCACAACGCCAACAGGTTGTCTCATTTTGTCTCGTAATGTCTCGTTTAAACAAATGCAGTGAGATCAGTCATCAGATATCCTGGATGCTATGATGGTTGAAAACCAATGCCCTCCAGAAATGGCCATGGAAACTCCACCCATTCCCAGATGATCCCAGCTTCGAGGATTTCCCAGGTTTGATGACACCGGAGGCTAATTCAAGTAATCGCCATTCAACATTATTAATATTATTAACTCTGCATCACCGCGCCATTATAAGTCTGTTTGTATTGGCTTAACAAATTTGATGATTGTTCCATTTGAATCCATTTGAACATACAAAGCCCGGTTGGTTGATGAGTAGTGAAAGGGGATTGAATACCTCACCATATTTGTTGCGGTGTCTCGGTGTATCGCAATCCAGGGCCATAGGGAATCCCGTTCTCACCTATCATAAGCTCCAAAAAAACATCCACGTCGCTGACATAGGAATTACCCATGGCTGACGTGTCCATCCCCGTGTGGGTCGAACGCGGCCAGACAGCCGCCATGGCCAGGCTGAAGGTGGGGATTTCACCGTGATGGGGATATATATAATTATATATATATATATATTAGCATAATATATGTCTATATGTGATTATATGTTGATTGTATGTGTAATGTTATGTTATGTCATGTTATGTTCTGCATGTATATATATATATATACATGTATACACATGTACATAGATATGTATCCACATATGTGTGCATATGCAATTTATATGATTTTATACATATGCACGCAGGTATCCACAATATTTGATGGATGCAGTCAATTGTTTCATGTGTTCCATGCAACAATGGGACGATGATGATTATTATTATTGCAATTATCATTATGATTGTCCTGGCTATTTTGTTTTGAAATGTGTTGCATCCAGCCACTTAAAGTGTTGTGGGGATGAATCGTTACCGGTCTATCAGTTGATAGGGGTGTAAACATCCATAACTGCCAGGTTGCTACCAGGCTTAAGGCCACTTAGATCCTCAGGGGAGAGCGGGAGCCCTCAAGAGGATGCTTCCAAGCACTTCAAAGTGGTGCAACCATCAATTAGATCCGTAAATACCGCGAGTAAACTTTCATAACACGCAGACACACCAACACATACACACACACATATTATTCATACCTTAACTTGAATAACTGCCTGTACAATAAGAAACGAATATGTACAATGAGTGTACCGGTATTTTTTTTTGTGTGTGTGTGTGAGAAACCCTGAATCAAAGGGAAAAGCAGGGGGCCCGTGGACGCATAGATGGCACGGGCCAACGAAGACCCATCTATGTCGTCGTGAAAACGTACCTGCATCCGAAATGGCAAGGTGGCCAAGCCAAAAACCACCCATGCCGACATGCCATGACATGACATGACATGACATGCTAATGTAACAACACGACATGACGGTTATCATTTCATCTCATTTCACCCTCTCCATTATGGAGTTTACCAAAGTGTGTCTTTCATGCACCCGGATCTCTGACAAAGTGCCGGGGAAGCTTGGTGGTGCGTCCGCCGGGGATACCAGGTTACAAGAATAAATCCAGACATAATGTTGCCAGAAGCCAGTTCCGCACAAGCATCCAGAGTCCGCACAAGCATCCAGAAGACTCCATCAGGGGATTGAATGCTTTTCAGAATAAATCCAGAGTCCATGCCAGAATAAATCCAGAGTCCACGCCAGAATAAATCCAGAGTGAAATTTTCATCCCTCAGAATAACCCCGTGTCATCCCATGTGGTTCTACTTGTTTAACTAACACGACCGTCTTTCACTCTTAACCTTGACCTCTACACATGAACTAGTAGTATGATTGCAACACGGATACCATGCATGACTGCTCGCGGCTTTTTACAGACATGACTCGTTAGTCTCGCTGAGACCAGTTTATGGTTTTCGCGTAGTTTACATGGTGCAACATGAAAACCCTGAACATGAATCATCACGTAGTTCACATGGCGCAACATGAAAGCCATGAACATGAATCATCATGCCATGTTGACTAATAACATGAGTTAGATAACTTTCGGTTTGACATCATGGCCACATTGAAGATTGACATGTGCAGCGCTTGCAGCTTCGTGATTCCGACCATGCAGCCCGCGATGACGGCAGCTGATTTGTTTGCCCAGTGGATGAGTTCAGCATCACACAACGCACAAGCATCAGCACCTTTTCTATCAACATTCTCTCAAACTCCACAACAACATTATCCAGCCGGACACACCTTACCACAATCAATGCAACCACAGTGTACCACAGCAGCTTTCACACAGCCTTTTGCTCCAACTCCACAACAACAACAACCACAACTTCTGGGACACACCGTCCCACAGCCAACACAAGCACCATTTGCCAACTCTGCGTTTACACAACCTCCATCTTGTCACACTTTCAACACACCACATCACAGCACAGCCATGCCAGGTTTTCAGCCACCACCACACTACAACGCAGCCATACCCAATCCTCAGCTCTCACCACCACAATATGGATCATTCCTCAATTACCAGCCTACACCACACTCAACAAGCACGACACTAGTACACCAGTTTCACAGCAATTTCCAACCACTACAGCTTCAACTCCACCACTGAGTCACAACAAGCACAACCGTACACGATCTCGCACCACACGCAAGAAGCACAGATATCAACAAGTTTTCCAATTTTACAACCACAATCTTTCCAAGCACACCACAGCTTGGGTTCACCTCCACATTCTTGCTGAGCAAAGCCAACGCTCATTTGACATGCAACGCCATATTCGATCCAGTTCCACTCACTCCAATCACCTTTGAAAGCCATGAATGTGAATCATCATGCCATGTTGAGTAATAACATGAGTTAGATAACTTTCGATTTGACATCATGGCCACATTGAAGATTGACATGTGCAGCGCTTGCAGCTTCGTGATTCCGACCATGCAGCCCGCGATGACGGCAGCTGATTTGTTTGCCCAGTGGATGAGTTCAGCATCACACAACACACAAGCATCAGCACCTTTTCTATCAACATTCTCTCAGACTCCACCACAACATTATCGAGCCGGACACACTTTACCACAATCAATGCAGCCACAGTGTACCACAGCAGCTTTCACACAGCCTTTTGCTCCAACTCCACAACAACAACAACCACAACTTCTGGGACACACCGTCCCGCAGCCAACACAAGCACCATTTGCCAACTCTGCGTTTACACAACCTCCATCTTGTCACACTTTCAACACACCACATCACAGCACAGCCATGCCAGGTCTTCAGCCACCACCACATTACAACGCAGCCATACCCAATCCTCAGCTCTCACCATCACAATATGGATCACTCCTCACTTACCAGCCTACACCACACTCAACAAGCACGACACTAGTACAACCACTACCAGCCACACCAGTTTCACAGCAATCTCCAATCACTACAGCTTCAACTCCACCACGGAGTCACAACAAGCACAGCCGTACGCGATCTCTCACCACATGCAAGAAGCACAGATCCACTACCAGGCGACACAGCCGACGCAAATCTACGAAACGACATCACTCACGACACCACAAATCACAACACCAATCACAACGTCGACGCCAGCATCGTTCACATCGCAGGCAACATCCCTCAAACACTGACAGATCCAAATCCAACCATCGATCACACACCGGACACAAACCAGCAGCATCTTCTCAGCAACACACGTCACCACATCACCACACTTCACCACTACCACCACCACCAACAACACAACTACCATCTCTTCCACCACCACCGTTACCATCAGAACACACAGGTAAACACCTGTTCTCCACTTCTCCCACTCCTCATCAACAACCACCTCCGCCGCCTCCTTTGCTTCCTCCCAAAGTACCACCACCGACTAGCCTGGCTGACCAAATCAGGTCCATTGCCAAGTCCAAGAACATTTACAACACCACAACATCAAAGACTGTCACAGCGGGACAAGCCCACCTCACACCTCGCCAGCAACACACACCACCAACACCACTTGACACCACCAACACTACAAACGAACCACAGCCAACACAAGCAATTGATCACCTTCAAGAAGCCATCGAACGACAAATACAACAGGATCCGTCAGTCCTCATTCCGTGGGAACCTCCCACGCGTGACAGCTACCAGATATTCAAGTACCAAGAGTTAGAGCAACGCCTTCACTCAGCAACACTCCAAGCCCGTGAGCTCACAGCACCGTCAGTATACTTCCGATTCTTATCAGATCGGGACAAAAGTGTACGTGACATGACAGCTTGGTTGGAAACACGATTTCCAGCAGGCATCGACCTACCACAAGAAGACATCACCACAACGTTAGCAAAGTACATCGTCACAACCGGCATGCCTATCAACAACACACTTACCCACATCACATTTCACCAGCACCAACAATTCAGAATGTGGCAACTACACTTACAAAACATGCCACGCAACACCACAACATCACTATCACAAGCAGGCAACGCCTACTACCACTGGGCACATGCCACAAACGAATCTGGATGGGCCGAACAAGAAGAAGTGGACACTCACGGCATAGTCCACAGACCACGGGATCGCCGCTGGTGCATTCACTCAACACTGGCACACATCTCCAGCATTTGGATCCTTAAGCCTGATCCAAACTTCTCCACACCAGTACAGCACATGCTTGAGCATGAAGATGAGTTTGGCGAGCCGCAGCTGCTGCCGACAGACGTGCAAATGAGAGGCTGCTGATACGCCAGTTTCACCTCCGTTTATATTACAATATGATATGCCATTTTTATCGAATTTATTAATTTTCAAGAATCTCCACCTTCCTATAAATATAATGTGTCCTTGTGATATAAATAATATCCCTTGTGAAATCTTCCTGGTGACACGTGGCATAGAACATATCAGCGGAACCAACAAAAAGAGCCGATGTACAGTGTACTTCCACCAAGCCGTTTGGAACTGTTTTGAAGAGTCTTGCCAACATGTCGTCACCCATTGTAATTCTAAACGTCACATGTGTTAACATTGTTGATGTTATCAAATCCTAATTGCCTAATTTCATCCATTGTTCCAATTTTGTTTCGGATGTTGTCTCTGATAGCAATCTCTGTTTCGGACTTTGTTTCTGATAGCAATCTCCGTGCTCAAAAGTAAATATTATCGCAATCATCAAGACACCTTCACGTTTTTTTTCCGTTGTTTGAGTGCAACCATGACCTCGTGGCGCGGCAGCATGAGACCGTATGATTCTTGGCATTCGAAACAATACCAAGTCAACACACCACCAAGAGCATTTCAAGCACACACACAACACCAGCATTGGAACGAACCACCGAGCCCACAAGGCACAAAGCGGTACGACCGCAACTTACCGAGCAGTTTCCAGCCAGACAATGAACACTTTGACACCAAACACCAGTATGGCTTGACGTTTCCACGCCAAATCACATCCACAGCTTGGAGCCAAAGGTACCAACTTGCAGGCCGAACCCATCGAAAGTATCCACCTACGTCAATTGGCATACATGGGATGGTCCAATTGGATGGACATGGGCATCAAAGCAAGCGGTGCGGAAAACACTACTACCTCAGCACACACCACCACTCCTCGCAGTGTAAGTGATGCTCCTCGACAAACTACAATCACCGACCTACAGGATAGCATCCAAAATCTACCAGGCACAAACACCACACGTCCTTTCACCACAGCCGCACCGCACACACTCGTAACCAAAACAGTGGACGCTTGGATTAAAAAACAGCCAGTTCCAAAACAACACCAAGCAGCCCTTCAGGAGGCATTGAGCACATTGCATCAACTTATGAAGAACATCCCAAAAGCCGAGCAAAGCACGTTTGCAGACAAAGCAGCATCGCTTGGTTTGCCGGTGGCGCTGGCGGCAAAGGCGCGCAATGAGGAGCTCTACAAGCTGCCGCTGTTTGCCGTCACTCAACTAGAGATACTAGAGTGACTAGACCGCGGCGATCCGGATCATGTACAGTTTTCGGCGGCATGCGTTGTGTTTTTCGGATTCTTACAACATTTTCCACCTGACGATTTCTATGACACTGTTGCTTATCGAACAACACTACATCGGCAGTACCATACACACGCTACACGACCGTCAGAACACCAGACAACGCAAGCTCAGACAATTAAAACGAGCACAACCTGTGTCATGCAAGTTGGCACTCCATTGGTTTTGCAGCCAAAACAACTATCATCAATTTGTCGCATTGCCGTTGTTACCCACCAATACAACATTACAAACACGAACGCTGGAAAGCTACATCATCCAAAAGTGGTGTCCACCATTCAACTACCCGTTTATCTTACAACGACAAGTCACAAAACAACACTCAACACCACACTTACGACAAGCACTACGCACCACTTATTTGGGAATCGGACACCGGCTCTACGCTCAGCTTCGACGACGACTTATGTGCAACACACAAGCATCACAGAACACACAAGCATCAGCACCTTTCTACCAACATTCTCTCAGACTCCACAACAACATGATCCAGCCGGACACACTATACCACACTCAATGCAACCACAGTGTGCCACTGCAGCTTTCAGACAGCCTTTTGCTCCAACTCCACAACAACAACCACAACAACTTATGGGACACACCGTCCCACAGCCAACACAAGCACCATTTGCCAACTCTGCGTTTACACAACCTCTATGCTTTCAACACACAACATCACAGCACAGCCATGCCATGTCTTCAGCCACCACCACATTACAATGCAGCCATACCCAATCTTCAGCTCTCACCACCACAATATGGATCATTCGTCACTTACCAGTCTACACCACAGTCAACAAGCACAACACTAGTACAACCAGTACCAGCCACGCCATTTTCACAGCAATTTCCAACCACTACAGCTTCAACTCCACCACTGAGTCACAACAAGCACAGCCGTACACGATCTCGCACCACACGCAAGAAGCACAGATCCACCACCAGGCGACGCAGACGACACAGATCTACAAACCGACATTGCTTCTTCGGCATACTTGCTGATTGGTTCTTTGGTCAAGCAGGAGACTTGATTTTATACCTAATATATTCACTTCAAACCACCAGTCTTATCCGTTCAGTTTCAACTCCAAAAAAGTTTGGTTTGTTTGTAATTTGGTTTTCGACATATGGGACACAAGACCAACAGCGCTGAGGGGTCATTTTCTTCGCATTCAGTCCAAAACAACCACACCGAGGGAAGTTGTTCTTGGAAAAATCGTGTCCAGCGGCTTGATATACGTCTAAGTGGAAACCTTGGATCTAAGAGAACAAGCAGCGGAATGGAAACATCGTGCCCTAGTGGCTTGCTGTGTGTGAGAAACCCTGAATCAAAGGGAAAAGCAGGGGGCCCGTGGACGCATAGATGGCACGGGCCAACGAAGACCCATCTATGTCGTCGTGAAAACGTACCTGCATCCGAAATGGCAAGGTGGCCAAGCCAAAAACCACCCATGCCGACATGCCATGACATGACATGACATGACATGCTAATGTAACAACACGACATGACGGTTATCATTTCATCTCATTTCACCCTCTCCATTATGGAGTTTACCAAAGTGTGTGTGTCGGCCTGTTAACCTCTCATGCCGTGGTGATGCAGGTTCCATCAGGTTCCTCCCCATCAGATACCCTCCTGAAAACTAACAAAGATGTGTTAAATTGTGTTTTTTCATTTTCTATAGGTAAATCATCGATTTCTACGGGCCATGTTCCACATCGTTGTATCCTTGTTAAAATTTCCACACTAGAATGGAAGGGTCGACCCTCTTATGAATGCTTTATAGAGGGGCATTTTGTAGCTACAAGAAGACCCTGCACCAGGGCATCTAGCTGACTCCTCACAAAATGGTGTCCAAAATGCTGTGAGAAAAGCCGACTTCTTACAGAAAGACCACCTGGTGTGATGCAACATTCACATCATGAAGAAAGGCCCATCCTTCTGCTGGAAGTGCTGCAGAAGCTATATGCCGGCATCCTCATGCAACGCCTTGCACCGCACTGGCCCCCTCTCAATTGCCAACTTGGTGCTGTCAGCGGCGGCCAGCCGATCGAAGCGCTCTTTGCTGCACAACACATGGTCGCCTTGGCTACTGTCACAAACAAGGACCTTCTCTTTGTCAAACTTGACATCAAAGGGGCATTTGACAACCTGCGGCATGCGAGCGTGGCAGCTTTCCTCGCCAGAATGCCGGAATCTGCTTGTTACGAAGCCATGCGCCTCCTGACTTTGCTTTTGGACCAGAAGATACAGTTTTCCTTCTTGAACACGCACTGGGACATTCACAGTACAAATGGGACGCCGCAAGGCGGAAGTCACTCAGCAGGCCTCTTTGCCAGAACCCTGGACCATGCAATTGGCACATGGACCACTGACTGGGAAGCAGCTGGTCACATCCCACTTTACCCGCCTTTGTGGATGCTCCTGTTCGTCGACGATATCCTCCTTTGTTTCAATGGCTGGCGGCAGGCCGCTGAACTCCTACCAACACTTGGGGAGTGCTTATCCGAATTGGGCCTGGAAATCAACTTTGCCAAGAGCTGCCTTGTGATTCGCGATGCAAGACACTTGTCCTCATCACCAGCACAACCTCACAACTTGGAACTTCTGCGGCGATTCCCTTGGGTACACCACACACAATACCTTCGCAAATCATTTGGATACCATTTGGATGTCGACGCGCTACACCAACAAGCCATTCAATCAATTTTTGCTGCGTGGGGCAAGCTGAAGCCTGTCTTACAGAAAGCACACTGAACACATCCGCACATGGTGGTCAGAATGCTGGACCAATACATTGGATCGGCCTTCCTCTGGATGTCGCCATCCTTGTACCCATACCAACATTTTAAACACAAACTGCTTGTAGTGCAAACAACGTTACTCATCGAGTCGCTCAACTTGTATATCCCTCAACTTGCTGATGATGAAACCTATCAACTTCTTCGATTGCGACGACACATCGTCAAGCTTTGGATTCGTCACATGACACCACATGGGAGCTGGACAAGCCAATTTCTTCGGAGGTACTGGTCATTCATTGGTCATATCTGTCGGCAAAATTTTTCTGGAAAGCACCCAGCACGAGTTATGCTGTATCATGTCATCGAGCAACACAACCATAGATTGAATCGGCCGGGACCGTGGAGTACACCCCACAGTTTGGTTGCAAAATTTTGGAAGGACAACAAAATGGAAGGCGACTACATCCACGTAGCTTCAGATCGCGATGCATGGAAAGCTCTGACAAACTCCTTCCTGCAATGGCACAATATCCCACTTGAACGAACCAATGTGGAATTCTTGGACGCGCAACCCTGGGACCATCCAAAGTACTTACTGCGATATCAACTTGCTTGGCTTCAAGTGGTTTTTATTAATGCAACTGCAACTTTCTTTGAAGCAGTCTGGCTAGATCAAATTCATGGATTTTCAACTTGGACAATTGAAGCAGAGGCTGTGCATGACGTTCACCACTCTTTGATCACTGGGTTGACTGGATTGTGTCTTCACCTTTGTATGCTTGGACAGCCCTTTAGTATGCAATTGGCGGTTCCAAATGAGATGCTCTGGACAGTTGTCATCGCCAATCGAAACAGCATCAACGAAACTTTGATGAAGTGTAACTATGCCTCGTGGTACCAACTTTTCCCCTTGAACCCTTCTGAGTGTAAGCACCGTGTTTTGCGATCCTGCTTCGCTAATTTCTCATCGCCCCTTTCCTGTCAAGCTTAATTAGTGCCTATGACACTGCTGCTTTGCGGGAGAAGAGGGACATGATGTAGGGCAAATCCTCTGCGAAGCCCTGGCAAAAAAAAAAGAAAGTTGTCACCTTACAAAATGGTCGTGCGGGTTTCAAAGCCATATTTTGGGTGCAAAAACATTTTTTTTTTTAAAATGGGCTTGGCTTTCGAAAAACCACCCCTTTTTTTTCAGGTTTTGGAAATACCACCACGGTTCTCTATCTATAAGAAGCTGGGTTTTCTACCCCTCCCCCTAATTTCAACAGGGATATCTATGTTAGTTTACCCCATCAGATACCAAGCTTCGCCCCTTGAGGCTTGTCGCTCCAGTCAAGCGCTGGATCGTTTCGCCGATTTGTTGATGGCGCCTTCGGCAGCGCCGTAAAGCTGCGGGATCAATGGTTAAAAGACTTCCAACCCCAAAAATGGATAGACAAGTGTAATGCTGTTGTATCATTTTTTGGGATGGTAAATACTGTTTGGACATGTTTGGACCTTGGAATCGGATGCTATAGTTTACAATTTGATACCAACATCGGATAATTTTTGTAGTGATCTGTATGAATTTGTACTGCACAAACCTAGCAATTTTGTGGCTCGATTGGCGCCCAACCCTTCCAACTTTCCGAGGATATACCCAGGGGGGTGAGATGTCGTAACCTGGGTTGCAACTTGCAGAGTTTGTCTTTTTCAGTAGGCCAACATGCAGTTAACACTACCACAAGGCTTAGTCAAAATGTGTCCAAACAGTGTAACGACTCACCAAGCTCAGCAAACCATAGAACACCATCCATTTTTTTGCCCACCTGCCAGGTGAGGATCCCTAGATTTAAAGTAGGGATGTGGATCCAACCATGGCAACCCGGATCCCTAAAAATACAACTCCTCCCTTTTCCTCTTCATCTCCTGCCAGCTCCATGTGGCAAGCTGGATGCCGTGGATTGCACCCAGAAAGTATGTCAGAATAGATGCCTGAAAAGATGCCAGAAAGAATGTCAGAATATGTTGGTGTATATATATATATATAGCATATATACTTCCCAGAAACTATGTCAGAATAGTGTGGAAGGGTGGGGTCCACTCGAAGAAAGTAATTTGTGTGTCTACCTCAAGACTACCGTTTGGGAGCCCAAGAGAGTCTAAGTGAACCGAATCTATGTGGTTTCAAAGTTTACTTGGGTGAAGTTGATGGTGCTCATCAATATACGTTGTCCGTGTGTGGTTATTTTCCATCCTCAGCAGTGTTAGTGGGATGAGTTCAGGCCACCAAATTTCAATCTTGAATCGACACTGTTTAAATCACGATTTGTTGTGCCCTGTTCCTCAGCTTGAATGTTTGGTGCTTCGAAAAAAACATTTTTGAGTTGCATTGTGCTGCTTAGATCTTTATTTGCACTCCAACAATCGAACGTGGCAATGAAAACTCAACCATTTACAGTCGTTCGATGATGTTCCCAGCTATAAGCCTATATTCAATTCGGGGATTTCCAAGCCAGCCACGTTTGATGAAAAGAAGGTACTGTAATTCCATTAATCGCCATTCATCACCATTATTGACTTTCAGTAATCACCATTAATCGTTATTAATTAACCATTAATATGGTTAAAACATGTGAGAACAATAATCAACCACCCCATGTTTGATGGTTTATACCACCTATTTATGGTGATTTGGGTGATGGTTTATGGCATTGTTTTAACCAAATTAATCAAAATTAATCATCACTACCCTTTGGTAAACTAACATAGCTATGGAAATCACCATTAAAAATAGCTGGGTAAATCAACTATAAATTGCAATTTTCAATAGTTATGTTAAATTACCAGAGGGATCCAGAGGGTAATTCCCATTATATCCCATATAAATCCCCTATAAATCACCATTATATCCAGAGGGTAAATCTTAAAGTATCATCATCCCCGAGGCCGTGGCCGATCTCTTCTCGGTACCTTGCGGAAGCCTCAAAAAAGGGGGATTGGGGGCAGGTTTGATGGTGATGAAATTGGTGAATTCAACCGTGAAAATGATGGTTTAATCAGGGAAAATGAATGAACATGGTGGTCTTGATCAGGGAAAATGAAAATAGTTTTAGGATTTAACTGATTTGACTTTCAGAATCGTGGTGCAGCTGGGCAAAATGATGATGTTAATGATATTCTTGGGGATTGAACTCAACTGACTTTCAAAATGCTGGTGAAATTCAGGGGATTATGATATTATGTCGAATTATTTGGAGTTAGAGAAGTGATTGGGATTTAACATGATTCAACTAGCGATATTTGAAGGGTTGTTGGGATTTCCACTTTGGGGGGAGGAGGCTCTCAAGAATGGCCGTTTCCTGCGCGGTGTGGCTCCGAAAAGGCCGGGAGCGGGTGCACATCTTTGAAGAAGATTCCCAGACGGTGGCCTTCAACAGCGCGGCGCTCTTCTTCAACCTGCGTTTCTTCGTGGAGGCCGCCAACCTTAATGAGCCAGGGCAGTGGAAACACCAGGGCAGGGGGAAGTATTTGGTGTAGATGTCCAGCATGGAATTATGTGTTGAATATGTGATGTTTCTTTTGGTGATGTCCACTTTTCGTGGTTTTGTTTTTCCCCATGTTGAAGAGGGGACATTTTTTCGAGAATGGGCCCGATGTTTCGTGGAAAGACATGCCAGATGGCAAGGTGCGATTCCCATAGATACGGGTTGAAACTTGAAACATAATGTAAGCAAAAGACCTTTGAATATACCATGGTTGCTGGCCACATCTGGCCACTGTGCTTGTAATGTTATGATTTCTGCTGATTGCTGGATTCTTGATTTGCCCTGTGTTTGGCTCAGCACCAGTTAGTAGAGTTTTCTGGTTTTGCTTGGAGTGCGCATTGAAGATGAAGCGATTTTCGTCGGGGATGAGAATGCAAGGCACTCTGTTAGCTCCTTGGGTTGCAGACTGCTCTTGTTTTTCTCCGTTGTTTCAGAGGAAGGAGCGACAGTTCCAAACATAGAGCAGGATGCATGCTGCAAACATGTTCAACCAGATTTAGATTCAGGCCTACAGACATGGTTGAACAAAATCAGTTTCAGAACGTCTCAGAAGAATCAGTGAAGAAATTCAGAAATGTGTGAGGCAAGATAAGCAGGTCCACTTTTTGACCTTCATATGAGATGATATGAGATTAGTATGAATATGACTCAAGACCAAGTGAAGCCAATACGTATGAGATGGCTAACGCGACATGCTAACATCATGACCATCTTAGCAACATTTAAACGGGATGTTCACCAGCCGGTATTGCTCATGATTTGCGTGTGATTCAACATGATCCCAGATCACTATAGTTTGTTTTCTCTCGACAAGATTGTATACCGTATGCCAATTAAAGGGGTTGACATGTAAGTTGCCACTACTTTTTAGGGCTTTGCCAACTTTCCAAGAGTGGAAACTCCCAACTACGAATGGGACATATTACCACTTTGACTGGGATATTGGCCACTTTTACGTTGTTTGTTTGAAACAATTGGTTTTTGTGGCTTGCTATATGCGGATGGGTCAAGAGTCAAAATATATGATTTCAATATATTTCAATATTGGAAGGGAAAACCCTTCAATTATCTTCAATTAACCATGCTACTTTAGGGTACAGTACCAAGGTTTTGGTCCATTGGTCCATAACCATATCCCATCCAGATGCGCCATGGCGCCGAGGTCACGTTGGCAGCGGCAGTGCTGGGATATCCCAGCGAGTTGCTGTTGAAGAGTGAGGTGCAGGGACGGTTTTGCACGGTGGAAGGCTTGAAAACCAGCAAAATGACGATTCAACAAGCAAAAATGGTGCTTTAAACATCAAAAAATATGATTTAACAACCCCAACATATTGTGATTTACCCTCTGGTAAATTAACATAGACCCTGAAAATCACATTTTTTATATATAGTGGAAACTAATCTTCCAACCCCTATCTGCCAGGGTCTATGTTAATTTACTGGAGGGTAGTTAAATTTAACCATTGTAAATGGTGATTATAGTGACAGTGGTGATCGTCTACCGTCTGGGAAACTAACAGTTCGCAATGGAAATCACCATTGTTCAGGTAAATCAGGTCTTTCTAAATGGGCCATTTTCCATAGCGATATTAGTTTACTGGAGGGTGGCCAACACAAATATGAAACCATCTAGCATAAAGTTTAATTGAGCCAGCAAAACATGGTAACGGTAGTTGACATACATTTGGATGTAACTTGACCAAATAAATTCAGATTTATAGAACCCATAAAGCCTGTGGATTTCACGTGTTTTCCCTTTTGGCATGTTTGAATCGTTTCACAATTCCCCTAAAGGTGGTGCCAATCCGCCACTTTTGGTTCGATCGCTATAAGTATTTTATAGCTGTTTCCATCCCGACCTCCCTGACTTGTTAGTTCATCGCCATTTATTGTTGCTCAAATGCATGTGTTGCTTCATTTGCCTTTTTTTACCTCGACAAAAGCACCCAAACACCCTCCATCCAGTTTTGTTTTGGTCAATTCCCATGTTGGTTCAACATTTCATAATTGTCATATTCCATAACAGCCAACTCATTGGCGGTTTCAATAAACGCAATACCAACATCCCTTTATGGGTATGTCCGCGTTTTTCGATGGAAACTCATCCGTGAAAACCTCCCACAGTATACCAGTAGTACCGCACAAGGCGGTCGCGGAAGTTTCAAAGATAGGAACCGATAGAAGAGGTGAGTTGTTGTGATTCATGGATGGCAGAACGAACCGATGGACCCAAAGGTGGTCGAGGCTCTGAGTTATCTATCTATGTGCCCGTCTATGTATCTAGCTATTATCTATCTGCCTGACAGATGACTATCTGACTATTTGACTATATAAATATATCTGTCTGTTTGTCTGTCTATCTATCTATTGATCTATGTATCGACCGATCGATCTATCTATCTATATCTATCTATTTGACTATCTGACTTTCTGTCTATCTATCTGCTATATATCTACCTATCTGACTATCTGTCTAACTCACTATCGGACTATCTGGTTATCTATTTGTCAGTATGCCTGTCCATATTTCTATATGTTTGTCTATCTATCATCAATCTATCTGTTTATTTGATTATCTGACTCTCTATCTGTCTACTGCATGTCTATTTGTTTGTCTACCTGTCTATTTGTCTTTCTGTCTGCCTGTCTATCTCCTTCTATTTGTGTATCTATCTATCTATCTATCTATCTATTTATCTATCTATCTATCTACCTATCTATCTGATTATCTGACAATCTATCTATTTGCCTCTCTCTTTGCATTTGTCTCTATCTTTCTATCTACCTATCTGCTTATCTTTCTATATATCTGAAAGTCAGCAATTGTGCGAGACTTCCGTCAAAAGTGGAAGTTGACATGTCCAAAACGAAGCAATTCTGTGAGACGCCCGCAAAAAAATATAGAAGTTCTGAGCTCCAAAATGAAGAATTTCTGCGAGATTTATTCCAAAATTCGAAGATGCCAACATCAAAAACGAAGCAATTCTGCGATACTTCCTTCAAAAATGGAAAGCTGTGTGCAGAGGCCCCGTGCCAATATCTTTTGTGATTTCTCCATTCCATCTGTCTGAATTATTGCGCGTGCCATGCGAAATGCATGTTTGCAGATCCTCTTCAAACGTCCCACGCCAGCCATTGTTTATTTGAAACTGCTACAAAACCCACACGTTTAGCTTAAGTTGGTATGGTGCAGAATCCATTGTGCCTGCCACAAAATATGACGGTTGAGCGTCCAAAAGTGATCCGAACGTAGCATTTTGACTTCCAAATGTGCTTCACGAGGCAGCCGCGTGCGCTCAACTTCCAAAAGTGCTTTGCAGCTGAAGTCTTTAGATGTGTTTTGTCATTTTGACTTCAAAACGCGTTTCTCACCGCAGCGACACGCAACTTCCAAAAGTGCTCCGAGAATGTGATGCTTTTATCATTTTGACTTTGAAATGTGCTTCGCGCCACAGCCGCGTGCAATTTTTGATCCCTCATCCGACAAGATGGCTCCGCACCCGCCGGTTTAGCGAGCCTACTTTTCGACCTTCCGGAGCCACAAAAGACTGTAAAACATGAGTGTCTTGCAACTTTTCTACCTTGTCGCCCACTCTGATATTCTTTCTTCTTGTCCTGTCTTCCGTTTCTCTTTCTCTTCGCTGATCTTCTTTCTACTGACTCCTTCTCTTCTCCGACGTTCTCACCACTGTTGCCGCATCTGTCCATATGTCGGAAGTTTGATTTCTAAACTTCCTCTGGTCACAGTATGTAAATTAGAAAATCAACTGGGAGTGCATGTGCGATTTTCATAGTATGTGGGCCGCTGAAACCACAGGAAACCCCAGCGAACCCCATCAGTTTTTCATGGGTTTTCCATGGGTTTGCCCTAGGTTTTTTGAAAACTACCATTGATTGGGGATGATGACCATGGCCATTCCAATTCCGGAGGCCGTTGCCCTCGGCGTCCAGTGGCGCGGCAACGCCACGCAGCACAGCAGCCACGAGGACCTGCCGCAGCTGGAGACGCATCGCTCGGAGCTCCTGAGCAGGGAGGAGGCCGTGATCCGCTATGTTTATAGTCAATTAACATGATTTATATAATCTTGAAATATGGTTTTAGCATGTTTTAACCATAAATGTGGAGATATACATTTTGTTTTTGGACCCTTTGGCAATGGTTTTAGGAGTGAAACCTAGTTGGCGATTGGTGATATAATAGGGTTGTATTGTGATTTAATGGGATTTTAATGGGGTATACCCTTTGAATCCTTCTGACAATTTAACATGGCGATGGGAAAACCACCATTGTTCATGTGCAAACCTTGTCAAACCATCTATGAATGGGCCACGCTCAATAGCTGTGTTTCAGTATGTTAATTGTAAGGGTTGTTGGTTGGTCCTAGATTTATTCAAAGATATTCAAACGCAACAAACCATCAAATTTGGCAGAATTAGAACTAATGGTTATTAATGATTAGCGGTTAATAAAGATTAATAATGGGTAAGTGGGAATAGTCACGGTCATCCCTAAAAAGATGGGAAAAGTGATTTATCACTAGGGGAAATCATTAAATGCAGCCGCTTGCTATCCAGTCAAACAACATAGACATGGAAAATCTACTCCGCTAAAGCCAGCAGGAAACTACCTCCAATTTTGGTGGTTATTTCTGGTGAAATTGGGGATGCATAGTCTGCCATTGGTCTTCCACATCAATCCTTTCCCTCGCATATTGCCCCTCCCATCGGCTCTGATGAAGGAGATGAATTCAGCGATTTTGTGGTTTGTTATGTATTTGGGAGGGAACTGGCTGATACGCTACCCCCTTTTGAAAACCTGGTGGCATGTATTGTGTCTACTCATTTTGGGACCGCCAAGAGAGAATGGGTTAATTATTACTGTAGGGGGAATGGATCAGTAATAAGATCAAGATATATAATCACTATGATAATTAGAAACCCTAAGAGTATAGTGGTGATGGTAATAATGACCGCACCTTCTTCGCAGCTTTCAGAGTTCTGTGCCTGCAAGCAACATGAAACGGTAATACAGCAAATATTTAGATTGAATGGTGAGAATAGTGGCAGCAATAAAGGCAGGCGATAACAAATCCAACTATCGGGCTAGCTAGTTTATTCTCGGGCTCATGAACCATACAGTACATTACAGTACCAGATTGTTATATAGATGTGCAGCTTTTTGGGAGCTTAGACTGCTTGCCAATAGGCCCGCTCCCAGTACAACAATATTTGACATTGTATTTGTTTATAATATACATATATATATATGATATGATATACACATTATATAATACAGCCCGAGCGCTGGTGAAGAATCCGAAAGCTTGAGGCCCAGGGTCCCTAAAATTCTTATGTTTAAATGCAGGCAAATTTACACCACAACAGGCTGAGGGTCCCTCAAATTCTTAGGGCATTCTTAGTTTTGTATTGCAGGCATCTGCATAATTTGGAGCAAGCAAGAGTGAGGTAACAAGGTGCAGTTGGCAGATTTGAGAAGAGGCATGCGAAAAAATGATTTTCTAGAGCCTGAAAAGTTGTTTTTTTTTGCAAAGCTGGGTTGGTCTGAGTTTCATAAGGCTAGTGTGCAAAAAACATTTTTTTAGAGCCTGAAAAGTTGTTTTTTTGCAAAGCTGGGCTGGTCTGAGTTTCATAAGGTTAGTATGCAAAAAGAGCAATTTTTTAGAGCCTGAAAAGTTGTTGTTTTGCAAAGCTGGGCTGGTCTGAGTTTCATAAGGTTAGTGTGCAGAAAAATAATTGTTCGGAGCTCGAAAAATTGTTTTTCTGCAGAGCGATGTTTCCGTAAACTTTGTTGCTTACTCTAGCTAGTCTTGTTGTTGATTGCCTTCCTTATGGAAAAGAAATCGAAGATCCCATAGCTCAGTTGGTAGCGCGATGTGCTAAGGACCTGTGGTCGCGGGCTCAATGCCCGGCATTGTCCTTTGGACCGGGTTTTCTGATAAACAATGTTCCAGGTCCGAATTGGAAGCACTCCAAGCATGCGCGAAAAAAAAAACATTTTTCGGAGCTTGAAAAATTGATTTTCTGCAAGGCCTCAATCTTCTTCAAGTTATTAAAGAAAACAATATTTCAGGTCCCCAAGTCTACCCTTGATTTTGTGTGGATTGGAAGCAGTCCAAGCATGCGCGAAAAAAAACCGAGCCTGAAAAGTTGTTTTTCTGCAAAACCCGACTTCATCCCATACGACCATATAAGGGATCACGCCGCAATAAAAAGAAACGCAAGGGGAATTGCAAACCCCACGTATAAGGAGTAACTTAAGAATTTGGCAATCCTATTCCAGGGCCCCTCAAATTCTTAAAGTCCTATGTGTTTAGTACAACTGAAAATATGTAGCCCGCCTTGGATTCGAGCCCCTCAAATTCTTATACAGTGAATTCTTGTACAATACTCAAGCTGCTCAAGCTGTATATATTGTAATTTAATATGATTTAGTATAATGTAATTTGAATTAATAGAATATAAGATAATATGAGTTAATATAATATAATGTTTTTCATGTAGTTTAAAATAATATAATTATATAATGAAATCTATTATATAATATAAAACAGAAATAGCATATAATTTTATATAAGTCATGTAATAAAAAATGAAATATATAACATATTTTAATATAACACAATTTAAAAACATTTAACAAAATAAAATGTGGTTTAATATATTATCACAAAATATTTAGTATGACATCATTTAATGTAATATCATATAATACAATATAATTTAATATAATACAATTTATCTATAATGTAATGAAATATATTTTACTGTAAAAATAATATAATATAAAATAATATAATATAACAATATCATATAATATCACATAAATAAAATAAAATAACATGTAGTGACTTCTGGGAGGTGAAACGTTTTGCGAAGGATAGTTCAGGGCATCGTTTCTATCGTTTTCGTCCTTGGTTTGGGCCTACCATTCCCAGCACTTCTCCGACGGCATCGTTAGGCCGAGGCGCTGGGTGTGATTTGGCGTGGTAATGCGACAGAACACTCCAGTCACGAGGAATTGCCGGAGCCCAACGGTGGATATCCCGATGCATTTTCCTGGTGTGACAAGGCGTCGGTGACAAAGTTACCATCCGGTAACCAAACATGGCAAATGAAAATCCTTTACAATTACATGTTTTAATCGGAAAATCAAGTGTATACATGGTGGGTTCTCCATTGCCATGTTTGATTGCCGGCCGGAGGGTATGCCGATTCTGGTGTGCTCGACTTAGAAAGGCATTCGCTTGGGCGAGTCAGTTGCTGTCACACTTAATTTTGCTTCATCTTGGTCAGTCCCTGTGGCTTCAGATGAGTCATTTCAGAGCACCGCCTTTTGAACACAGGACGGCGTCAACTATTGCACCATTTCGTTGAACCAGCACATTCCACAGAAGCTTGGATGAAGTGTTTATCTTTTCGGCCCCTGCCCAGCAATCAGAAGTTGCACAGAATGCGGAGCTCCCCGCAGTTTGCCTTTGGTTCAGAATTATCCTTGCTGCCGTTTGTGTTATCAATGTAGTGTGGGTTTTGGGATTCCAGGATGGTACTACTTAACATAATCAGTCAGTATATGTGTTGCAATCTTTGTCCATAGATGTATGCCTACATTGGCATCCATGTACAATGCATTACCCCACAGGCTCAAGCAGGTTGGATTCACAAACCACCTTGAAGACCATACAAATTTCCCAATGGAAGAGCAATTGCCTAGGAAGATACCGTGGCTCACGGTCACATGGGTTGGGGCGGCGCCCCTTTATACCTGATTCCTCGTTGTTGCTATGTGGTTGAATATTTACTGACCCATTGTATTGTTCATTGATAGAAAGTTCATTAAAATGTGCTGGATGGCCCCCAAAACAACAAAACAGACATCGACTACGGCAGAAAATTCACGATCAATCGCTGGCAGCATCCAGCCACCTATGGGGGCCGCAAACACCTCACTGCCAACACAGCTGCAGCAATCATCAACACATCACCTGGCTGCTACACGGCCACACTCGATCTCACACAGGCTTTCGGCCACGTCACCCCAGCCATTGCCATCAACACTTTGCAACACTTAGGCTTAGCAACCAGCACAGTCACCTTCCTTGCGAACAACTGGCAGCACCAACTCCAGTACCTCACATACGACCAGCACTATAGCAAACATCCTAATTATCCCAGTTTCAACATCAATCCCGCAGGGTGACAGCTGGAGCATGCTTGCTCTCAGCGCCTGCATGCAATCAGCCCTTCACCACATAAACAGCACCTGGCCATTCACTGAACAAACACTCTTCGTTGACGACCACACCTGGGCATCACCATCACTTCATGAATTACAACAAGTCAAGTCAAGACATTCATTCTGGCAACACTACACGGCCACAATCGGGATCCCCGAAAACACCAAGAAAGCACAATATTTGATTGACGGCGACCGTCTCGGCGCGAAGCTTTGGCGCAAGCTATATGGGCTGCGACTACGACTCCAACCACCACGACCACATCACCTTCCTTGGCATCACCTTGACCTCGGACCACACAACCGACCAATGCTACACTGTGAAGCAGAAATCCAACCTCGCCAGCACCGCAAACGGAACTATGTTCCTGAACCATCACAACTGCAGCATCTACCGGCACCTCCCCCACCACACCACGTGGGGGGTGCCCGCAAACGTGTCAGCACACATAAAAAGCCAAGGCCAAGCCGCCCGCCACAGCAAACACTACAGGACCTCGCAGGCGACAACAACTACCGCTTGCCACCAACGAAGAACACGAACCACAGCGGAAGCGACCGACGCCCAAGGCGCGACCCCGCTCTGCCAATCTCTGCCACAACATCAACCCGCAAACCAGCAACCAAACGCCAGCACAGCCACATCGATGCGGAGGCCAGAGACCATCGCGACCTCTACCCAAAGGAAGCCAGCAGGCTTGAAGCAAAACTTGCCACCTTACAATGCCTTACAAAAAATCCAACAGCTCCCACACACCAGAGCCATCCCCCAGCAAATTTAAGCTACAGAGTTGGTGGCCACAAGCACTATACAGAGGCTTCCATTTTAGTCAGGCTAACCCTAAGATGAAATCCAGGACTAAGATTTTGTAGCTTAAACTTGTGAATATCATTTTATAAAGGAGTCATTTTAGTCATGTTAGCCCATCATGAAAATCGCAGTGGCATTTTGTAGCATGACATGATGAGCTTCATACTGGCTTATAAATATCAAACGGGCATTTTGTAGCAAAAGAATATGGTCCAAATCTTTGCTTTGATAAACAACGGATGCATTTTGTAAGGAAAGTGTGTGCCTGAATGAAGCAATACAATGCATAGTGTGTCTATGTTGTTGTTGCAAATTGCATCAACCTGAGAGGGTTGTTGTTCCTTTGCATGCGCAGTCCTTGAAAATGAGATTGGCATTTTGTAGCAAAGGGTATGTCCTTGTATGATACAATTGTTGAAAACGAAGGGGCATTTTGTAACAAGGGAAAACCTCCCCCTATGTCAAGGTTGTTGAAACAAAGGGGCATTTTGTAGCTAAGGCTATTTTCGAGAAAAATGGAGCTCAGCAACCTCATTCTATAGCCCCAAGCTTGTGAATCTTTTTTATGCCTTACAGACCAGGGGTCACAACGTCTCACCTAAAATTCGATGGGGGATCCAGAGCCCGCTTCATAGCAACAGCAACCATACCCAAAGCAAGCTACGGCTGGCTACACCACATGCCATCCGCCATCTTCTGCAGACAAGTCCGCGTTGACACCTTCAAAGCACCCTGTTCACAGGCCACAACACCGACATCGTTTTCATAGGCTATATACAGCATTGCAACTGCCCACCACAAGCAACAGCACAAGCACCAACGATCCGGGACGAACGCGTCCCATCAGCGTCAACCCACAGACACAGCACTTAGCAACTGGCTACAAAATCAAGGTTGGCAACTGCCTGGACACACAAACCACACCAACGACGAGATCCTCGGACCACGGCACAATCACCACCATGCACACATATCGCAAGCCACACCCAACCACCTGGAACTTACAGAGCAATTCCAACACAAACCGCGCGAAGCATGGCGCGCGACGCAATTTCAACACTTGGCAACATCCACTCGTGCTGACGCCACAGCTGCACAGCACCCAAGGTGGAACAGTGACAGATTCCACGCAGCACGCAGGCTGGCCGCAGGGCCGCACCACCTTGCAATCACGACCGGAGGGGCAGTCAGCGCCGCCAGGTTCGGTATCATGAAAATACGCAATGTACCTGCAGAACCACTCAACCCAGACGATCCACGGATCAAATGCACCAGATGCCAAGCGGCAGGCACTTCAGACCACCAGCTTTGGACCTCCGTGGCAACCCACCACCTCGCCAACCACCTACGTGGCCAACTACAACGCAGACTAGGATGGCCCACCACGGCCAAAACCACTGAGGTGAGAGACTACAACCAGATACTTTTTCAACATATGGTAGCTACAGGCAGCAGAGAACTTGCTGCACGATATGATGACCACATCCACCGGTCACAGACTGCCCCATCACCAAGTGAGCTGTGGGCGTTCATGCTATGACACATTCGTTCAGGTACTGTGGCTCGTGCTGGGCGCACGGAGCAGTGTCTGCACTTGGGGATCGCATCAAGATTGCGCGCAAGGCACAAGGCGTGGAAGATCAGCTGGTCAGTTTCTACAGAAGGCACAAGTGGATATGGTTGAGCCCCTCACCAACCAACGAGCCAACTAATCCACCAACCCACCAGTAACTCAAGCGATTCAATCGGCTCATATGAAATTATGACTTCCCCATTGTTCAACCACTATTTTGGTTATTGAAGATGATGCCCTACCTGATTGCAGGTGCTGATGTGCAGCTTTCAGTGCAACACATGCTCAACTGTGGTAACGCAGGATCCTGTGCCCCTGTTCACACTGGGCGAGGGCCTGGGACCAATGGCTAATCCAGGGATGACTGGTGATGGATCTCGAGCATTCTCAGTTTTTTTGATCTTAGGCGCTTCGGCGCTTCAGGATCTAAATCATGAAAGTTTCGTGGCTACTTTTTAATGAATTTAGCGGTGCTGTAAATGGACGATCTGGTCATTTCAAGAATCTAGGATCCCTGGTTGTAACCTCGATAGGTTCCACAAACGGGGACATCCGATCATATCCAAACAACTCCACGGAAACCATAGATTTATAGTAATGAATGGGTCCCATCGTGGCGGAGCGTTGCATGCACATGGTTGATATTTGATGATATTTGATGATATTTGATGATATTTGGCGATATTTGGTGATATTCGCATGAGAGTTTCACCATGGCTTAATCATACACATGGCGCATACATGTAAATATTGACTTTCACACATATTCAGTTCTCACAAAAGTTGAAAACAGATTTGGGGTTGCACGCCCATAGGTATGTAATATATATATATATTACATAACAGGAGGTTTTACACAGAGAGAGGGAGAGAGAGGGAGAGAGAGGGAGAGAGATAGATAGATAGATAGATAGATGGATAGATAAATAGATAGATAGATAGGTAGAGAGATAGAGAGAGAGAGAGACAGACAGACAGACAGACAGACCGACAGACCGACAGACCGACAGACCGACAGACCGACAGACCGACAGACCGACAGACCGACAGACCGACCGACCGACGGACCGACGGACCGACCGACCGACGGACCGACGGACCGACGGACCGACGGACCGACGGACCGACGGACCGACGGACCGACGGACCGACGGACCGACGGACCGACGGACCGACGGACCGACGGACCGACGGACGGACGGACGGACGGATGGACGGACGGACGGACGGACGGACCGACGGACAGACAGACAGACAGATAAGATAGGAAGACAGGAAGTTTGTAAGATAGTGAGATAAATGTAAAAAATGGTGAGAGAGAGAGAGAGACGGACAGACTTATATATATATATAATATTTGTATTTTTAGAGAGACAAATAAACAGATAGACAAATAGACATAGACAAAGAGAGAAACAAATAGATAGCCGGATAGCTAGATAGCGCTAGATAGCTAGATAGCTAGACAGCTAGAGAGCTAGATAGTTAGATAGCTAGACAGCGAGGCAGCTAGATAGCTAGATAGCTAGACAGCTAGATAGCTAGATAGCTATTTAGATAGAGAGATAGAGAAATAAGATAGGAAAAGATGGGGTAGATAGGATAGATAGGATAGGATATGATAGGATGGGACAGGACAGGAAAGGACAGGACAGATAGATAGACAGATAGATAACCTTTTACTGATATTATTATTATGCACATTTATTTATACACATGGAACATGTTCCCTGACCGACATGACCCGGCTTTCAATCAGCATGTCTTTCAGGTCACGGTGGCACTGTGGATGGTCCCTACCAGTGGATCCACAAAATCAGCGTCTTGGCATCGTCTCGGACCCGTGCAGGTCCAGCTTTCAATGTCAAAAACATGGATGGGTCAAAATGTAAGGCCCGGACCGCAGAGTCTGTTCATGTTTATATAGTATCATAGTATTAACCAATATTAACCATCACAATATCTTTGGATATTTAACTTTGACCCATACCCATGTAGAAATGAATGTGCGATATTTCCTTTGTAAACTAAACTGAGTGCACACTGGCTGCATCTCGTTTTAGATTATGGTTTGTATCCAGGGCATACGATGTGGGTTTTTAGTGATCCCACAGGTTGTACCCTGTTCCTTGGTGCCTGAAATCTATATAAGATTGAACACAAAGAATGGACTGTGGGTTCCACACTATTCTGCATGCAATTCGCTTCCATTTGCGAGAACAGTCTTTCAACTGTTCATGGTATGTGCTTTCATGTACATTGGACATGTTGGTTTCATGACTTGTGAATCCGGAGCCTATGAATTGACAAAACAAAAACTGCACAGGAGATTCTGGCAAGAGTGATCTTGAGAAGCGGAGTTCCATGGGGATTGATTGTAAGCAAAATGTTGAACTTTTCACAGCTCTCCCTGGCTATGATTTGATCTAGGATTGTTCTGGATACGGAGTTCCATGGCGATTTGCACAGCGTGTTTTTTTTAAATACGCAACCCTCCACAAAACCTGCACATTAGAATCTTGTAAAAGTGGTCCTAAAAGCCGGACTTCAATGCGGAAATGCATGGGTAGGCGCACCTTTTGTGTGCCCACGGAGTTCCATGCGGAAAGCAATGTTTTTATCCCACTAGGCGTACCTTTCGCCTTCCCCTGTACATTTTATGTCTTCTGATTGAGCCTGATGAACCCCTAGGTCTCGTCAGTTAGATTCTCTTTTTGACGGGCAAAAAGAATAGATGGTGAAACCAGGTTTTTGATGCTAAGATCAGGTTTTTGATGCTAAGATCTTCATTTTTGGCTGGTGAAAGCAACGTGAATCCACGTTTTCTTCAACGTTGTATCCTGCATGGCAGCTGGCGGAGCTGGGAGCTCCCCTTGGCCGAGGTCGATCTGGAAGTGGAATTTCTTACTTCACCTCCCAGCCTTACTTGGCATGTTCCAGTGACTAGACTTTCGGTAGCTGGGGCGGAGAAGTGAACTGGATAGGGAAGTTGGATGAAGTTGGTATCTAAGGTGAATTCGGTGGTTTATGGTATAGGTATTTTCTTTGGGGGCTGAAAGGATTCAGAAGCCAACCTGGAACTGTGTGGCACCAGCATGTATTTTGGAGATGGGAATGGCTCAAAATGTGGGTTGGGTTTCTACCTGTTGGTATGCATTGTTGAATGCATTAGTTACATTAGTTTGCTTCTTTTGGCTGAAATGGGTAAAACAGCTATTTTTTGCTGGTATTCGTGTGATGTCGTACAAGTTGTTGATGATATCCCCACGTGATTAGGCTGAAAATCGTGGATCAACAAAGAGATGTTAAAGTTTAAGGTTGTTTTTAGCGCAAAAAATGAACGACATGCACCTATTGCGGGTTTGTGTCAGCGTATTGTTGTTCCTTTTTGCCGTACCCAGAGGATCAGAATATCCAACAATTATAGATGATAATCATTGTTTGGCCTTCTTCCGACCGGAAAGGCGGCATGTGTGCTGAGTCAAGAAACAGAAAATTGACGAACGTCCACCACGTCGGGAAACAATCCCATTTTGAACGCATTTCTTGACCTTTGTTGGCACCCCCCCTCCTCCTCTTTCACAATTCCGAGGTGGGAATCGTGCCGGAATTTGCCCCCATGTTGATACAAGCTGCAAAGCAGAGAATGTCGCAAGGACAAAAGTACGGATGGTCGCTGGCTGGGTTGTTTTGTCATGACGATCAATACAATCTCTTCCCCCTAATATTAAACAACCCCAATAAACCTCGGCTTAGTTGGGGATCTACATACATTTGGGATTATTTAGGGGTGTTTAATATTAGGGGGATGGGATTAGTGGAGGAGCCGGAGTAGCAGCCTCATTGGACATGAGCTAAACTTATGGCGATCAGCTTATTGGAATCCGATGTCTGTTTGCCCGTGTAGGTACATCTCCTGCCCTATCCTACCCGAATTTGCCCCGGTTTTGTGAGTCTCCCAGCCACTGGCAGGACTTGCAGTACCTTTGGGGAGCCCTGTGTGGGATTGGATACCTATCCCAACGCCACCATCTCAGACTATGGTTCTATTCGTGGCAAGGCAGGCCATTAGATGGCCCGAACTTAGGCAGATTTAGGCATTCCAAGGCAACCTGCGAGAAGTTCATGTTTGGACTATACCATGTTCTACCAGCATATAAGATTATATATATGGAGGTTTCCTGAAATAGAGGTAATCGCAAAATCCATTTAGTATTGAAACCTATGGTTTTGGGTACCCCCATTAGGAAACCTGGAAGGAGGATACCTTTCGGTGACCTACCGGTAATGGCAATTTTCATGGAACCTTTCAATTTGCCGTGATGGGAAAAATCATTTGGTATCTAGATCATGTGTTTTTTTCCCTGACGGGGACGTTCCATTTCCATGCTTGATCAGAACACATTTATAGGGCATGTTCCACTGAACGCTTGGGATTAGACATTCGAACACATAGCTATACATAGCCTTTGTCTAAATCACTTCAATCCAACTTTGTGAATCCAAACAGATGGCTATAGATTCCATTCCTTCGCTACCATGTAAGATTTCGGGGCATGTCGCGCAGGCCGCCATGATGAAAGAAATCTTCAACCGTGGCCCCATCTCCTGTGGCATTGATGCGGGACCGCTGCTGAAATACACCTCGGGCATTGCGAGGTGAGGCAACGTCATTGATAATTGTGCAGATAAGGTAATTATATATCAGCATAGTTACATATTATATGCACACATTGTATATTTATTTGTTTAAACATTTTTTTACATATATATATATATAATTAATTAATTATTTACATATTTATATATATTTATTTATTTACATATTTATATATTCATTTAAAAACATATACACATATACATATATAGATATAGATATACACATATACATATTCACATTATATATATATACATATATATATAAATGTATATATATATATATATATATATATTCATTTATTGATATATATATATTATTTATTTATTTATATACAAATATACATATATATACTATTTATATTCAAATATATACATATAGATTTTTATTTACATATATATATATATAACTTTGTTTTACCTATATAAATACCTTTAAATATATATATAATGTATACATATATATATATAATGTATACATATATATATATTCTTTTTGTGTGTACATGCGTATATGCATATATATATATATATATACATATTTATGTATATATATATATATGTGTGTGCATTATGTACGCATGCTGATATTTGTGTGTATGGTTTAAATAAATATATATATATATATATTCATACAGGTGTGCACATATTTATTTATTTAAACATACATATATATATGTACATATATATATATATGCACATATAAACGCCTATACGTGCATATACCACATGTATATTATGTGTGTGTGGGTGTTGATTCATGTTTACCTGCCTGACTGCTTTTGCATATTTACAAACAGAAAAGACATTGTTTGTACGCATGCAGGAGGAGATAATGTTCCTTACCCATCGACACAACCATGATGAGAAGATGATGCCGACAGTTACTTGCACTTAGACTGTTCCATGATGTTCCATTAGTTTGCACAATGATGGGTGTATAGTGAAATTATGTTGGTCAACGAGTCAACGATGAAAAAATATCCTTGTGTCTTAGTCTTGGTATGGTCCCAGCACCCGTTCCTAGCCATCTATGGGCCCTTTTGTAATAACTACCCAAACAACAATTTGCTATTTGATTCACTGACCATTTGCAAACTGTTTGCTTACCTGGTCAATGTTCATGATTGGTTGCAGTAGCTCGGCGTCGTGGCGACTCCGCAGGGGCTGGCGCTTCCTCCCGGACCATGTGGTTTCAGTGGTGGGCTGGGGCACTGACGCCGATGAAGGTGAGTGCTCCAGCTGATGGGCCTTTGGATTCCCTTTGGGCATATGGGGTTTTCTTAAGTCATGAGGGATCCCTAAGTCACCATAGGTTTCAATACTAAGTCATGGTCATCCATGACTTAGATGAGTTGGGGGTACCCCCATTTTAGGAAACCTCCAGTTTTGTACATGTTTAGATACCCCAATACATTCCAATGCATACATGTAATGTGAAGACTTGCAAGAAAGCACCGCAATGCGATGGCAATGTGGTCTCATTCTGTGGTGATAAGATTGCACAGCCGCACAGCACCAGATTCCCACTGGGGCGAAGCACTGCTCAAATTGCAATTGACATTTAAACATCACCTTTTACTGTGCTTACCAATATGTCACAGATGTTTGTCCCGCCATCCTGTTTCCCACCTCAACATGAAGAAATAAAGTATGCAGCGATCCATTTTCTTTTTGGGCGAACCCCGCATCTTCGGTCGTAAAATCACCAAAATTTCAAGTTCTATGCCCCCAACCTGTGGCTGCTGAAATCACCCAATTCCATCCCATTCCCAGAAGTGAAAACAAATGAAATTGCCGGAAAACCCAATAGTGGTGAAACAAATCATGGTTTATCCCACATGTTCCAAACCAGAATCCGGGATTGCCATACCTATCCAGCAGTTAGGAGGGTTCGGAGCTATAGGCCTCTATATTCCCCAGAAAAAATCGGGAGCCAGTTGGAGCTGCTGAGCTGCTTAAGTATAGAGTTTCCCATCCATATGGCCATATCTGAAAATAGAGTATATCCTCCAAATTGGACGTTTCCATAAGGAAAATGATGAATCCATGATAATCAATGATTCAATAGTTGATTCATATTTTCAGACCAAGCCATTTGATAGTCTAACCATCAACCGTACGATTTTTTTTCGGATATAGAATGCGGGATACGTACATACGTACGTACATGCATGCATGCATCCATCCATCCATGCATGCATGCATGCATGCATACATAAATACAGACAGACATACATACATACATACAGACAGACAGACAGACATACAGACATACATACATACATACAGACACATATACATACATACAGACACATATACATACATACCATTACATTACATTACATTACATGACATGACATTACATTACATTACATACATACACACACACATATATATATATATATATAGACATATGTATTTATAATTTGCATATGTGTGTATATATATATACAAATTTAAGTGGCAAGGATATGGACCCAAACACCTCCTGAGAAGGTACTTAACCCCCAAATCATACCCCAGACACTTTCTAAGAAGGTACAGTGGACCTTGGATCCATATAGGGATCGATAGAATTTTCTCACTCCCGGCAGGTTTCTATTGGATCGTGCGCAACTCCTGGGGCGAGTATTGGGGCGAGCAGGGCTACGTCCGGGTGAAGGGCGGCGCGTTGGCACTGGAGCAGCAGTGCACTTGGGCTGTGCCTGGAGAGTTGCTTGGCTGGGTAGGGGGATGTAACCAACAAGTTTCGTCATATATGGATATATATATATATGGGAAATATTTTGGAATATAGGCGGATTTTATTTGGGACGGTTCTCATTATAGAACATATTAAATATAAGTATGTGGGAAATTATATGGAACGTTATGTGGCTTATTATATTTGGGGATGTGATATATGGGATATAGTACACCCGCGCAAACGTGTTTCCTTTCCACAGTTGCAACCCTTTCCCCTTAGACTCCTACAACCGTCCTGCTTCTTCCAGATCCGCCGCACAGGCCACACAAAATGACCCATGAAATCTGATCCGCATCATCATGATATCGTATTTTTTTATGGCCTCTTTGATGGGAAGGAACTTTAGTCCTCTTGATGTATTGGGAATAAAACTACCCATATAACAATAGCAATAGTTGTGGGTTGGATTTGAGCATCTACGCGATTGATAATGTGTGGGAAAATTCCATTTTGGGGATAGATCATCAAACTTGTTGTTGCTTGTATGTAGGGGAGTATATATATATATATACACGGGATATATTGCGGATAATCAACCAACAACAACAATATCTATGGGGATTACATATGGCATTCAGTTAATGATAGTATTGTATAATGGGATATATAACCAACTAACAATATCTACATTGTGTTTTAACCAACAAGTTTGATAAACTGGTGCTATTTGCATCTCTTTGCAACCTTGTAAGGAGCCAAAAATTAAAGCCTTTAAATAGGACCTGAGGGCTGAATAGACATAATTTAGATTATCCAATATGGATTCAAGTCATGTACCCGCTGAAAATTGAATATAATTAGAATTAAGAAGCAACGTGCGGGTGGAAACATAATGGGTTTTTGACAGTTATTGTGGTAAGCAGCTGAAACCATACTCAAATTATCTCAAGTGTACCATTTGTTTTTTGTTCTCTACCTGTTACAAACGTAAAGGTTTCAGAGTGTGTGCAACCGCTGAACGCTTGTGTTGGCCGAGTTACACAGCTCCGGAGAAAGACAACGAGGTGCATTGCTATGAAGGTGGCGAGAACTGCCAGAGCAAGTCAGGCGGTAGGGTGCGACTTCATGACACATGGTGTTCGTCTGGAAATGGGATAAGATACCTTAAAAGCGCACAGTTTATTAGACAAAAATGTGGTTCACCAGTGGATGGTTTTGTGTTTTCCTTCAGTTCTCAAATCTCCAACGCTGATAGTGAATGATTGTGGGAGTGGGAAGTCAAATTGCTTGGCATGTGTTCTTGGGATGCATAGGATGCAGGCACCTGCCACTTGGAGCGAAACATGCTGGCTGTAGTTCTCCAAATCTGTGCCATATTTGGGGGGTCCAACATCCATTTAGTAGCTGTTTCGGGGTTGACCAGGGATACATTTAATACATAGGAGGTGCCCCTTGTTGCCAACAACGCTGTTTGCCGCCTTGTACAAAATGACCTTTCGGCGAGAACGTTCATTTGCACACTTGCATATTGAGATGATGCGGTGGCGCACGTCCTTGAGACCTTGATGCTACGCTGTAAAATCGTCACAGTTTGAATTCAATTGCGAGAAAAAACAGTTTTCGTGTATGTTTTCAGCCATGTTTCAGGTGATGTCACTCCAATACTTTTTACAGAGCCAAAATACACTAGACGACCTCAATGGCATACAGTAGTTCCCTAAGCCGGTCGCATACCTTGGAGATCCTTGGAGGTTCCTCTGCGCTGCGCGGCAACCGCCCAGCACCAGTGCCGCAGCGCCGCAGCAAACTCTGGAAGCGCGAGGAGGTTGAGCGCCGTGGCTTCGTGTGGAACGGCAACTCTTCAAACCCTTCGTCGCATGAGTGGCGTGGCGCGGGTGTCAAAACTGTATGGTGCTGTGGATGATTATAGGGTTGGCCTTAGAGTGTCATAGTTATACTATATGTTGTGCTAGTAGTATCCAATAGCCTATTATGGCATTATGGGAAAGATTGTGTAAATCAGCCAGTCGAATGGTTTTTACATGGTTTCACCAACATTCAGGGTGTGCTATTGTATGTTCCATTCATGTCATATCTACGGCATTGGGTCACGTTTGTTGGAACATCTGTTTGAACAGTTCGGGACATGGAGCATTGGAAGGTGGTTAGATTAGTCCCTTGATGGGGGATGGTCATACCTTCGCCATCCACCACTGGCAATATACCCATCGAACGGCCGATTAGAATTCCTAGACATGGTTGGATGACCATGATCCATCTACCATGTTGGAAATGGATGGAACATGGAAATGGGTTGTGTATAAGTGTCTTGGAATTACGGGGTAGCCCGCACGCTGCAGTGGCAAAGTGTGGGGTAAGATGGACTTGCATTGCTCTGCTAAACGGCAGCAATTCACAACTAATCAGAATTCATCACAAATCATGCCCCCCAAAACAACATGCAATGCAAAGAAAAACAACTGGAGGGTCATCTTCCATCCATGTTAGATGAGTTTTTCACGACGGCGGCCCTTCGATCATGAAAGGCTCTTGGATCTGCCTTCAAATGGCTATCCCGCAGAATTCTCATGGTGCAACAAGGCGGAGCCGAAATGGGCCCAAAAACATGGCTGGTTCCAACTCTATACCCAATGTAAATCAACCACACCCACCATGGTTTCTGTAGGGTGTTTGAAGGGGGGGGACTCCGAAAGGACGCGGGTCCCTACTAAAACAATCAATTCTGGTTGATTGTTCAGGGTTCCCTGCGTTATGAACACATTCGCACTGCTTTTTAAATAAATATATCTGCATAAATATACATACAGATATAGATATTCATGGCAGTTGTCCTACCATGGTTGGTTCCATTATATTCCAAGTCCAAAAAAACATAACAAAATTCCATTGATTTCGCGACCCCACGTTGGCATCATGTCGGAGGGATCTCGGCATCGCAGGACGGCAAGAGCTATTGCACCATCTCGGTGAATCAGCACATCCCACAGCACCTTAGCTAAGGTATACCCACAAACGTCCATGTTCAGAGGGAAAATTTTGATAATCCATGGGAATTTGGGGGTACCTTATTTCCAGACAAACCCGTGTTGAGTCGTTGAGTCCCTTCCAAAGTACTCATTGATGTATGGTAACCGACAGAATTATGGAAAAAAAAACGTTCAACTTAGACAGGCGGCGCCTGCGTCCGATTTTTCCATAATTAGGTTTTTCCCCATAAGGGTTCAAAATATCCCGGAAGTGATCCGAACATTTTTGTTTTCCATAATTCTTGGAGGTGGCCATTATTTCCATAATTGATTTTTCCTGTAAAATCAGGGGGCTAGGGCAGATTGACCGGTTTTTCCATAGTTATTTTTTCCATAATTATTGTTTCCATAATTAATGTTTGGGGCTCCACCTGTTGGACATGTCATGGATCCACAATTCAAACCCCTTTTTTTTTGGGTTATGGAAATATGTATGCAAATGCAAGTATGTAGTATCAACCCAATTGGTGGCTTGGCAAAAGGATACATCCCGCATATGTATGTACGTACAACAATGAGTTTTGGTGGTGCAATTGTATATCAATGGAAGACTTAGGGGCATATACCAGATCTTTAGACACATATTTTCTATAATTCAATATTCCCCCTTAAAATGCATTCAAATTGCGAATCGATGGACATACAGTCACCGACAGAATTATGGAAAAAAATAATTATGGAACAATAATTATGGAAAAAAAATGTTCGTAACTTTTCTATCATAGACAAGCGGCGCCTGTAAATTGAAACGTTTTTTTTTCCATAATTCTGTCGGGTGCTGTATGTCCATGTCCATATGGGGGGTTCTTGCAATGGAGGATCCCCAAGTCACCATGGGTTTCAATATTAAATTTGTTTAAAGACTTGGATGATTTCGGGGTACCCCGATTTTAGGAAACCTCCACTTAAGTAGAGTTCTAAGTTCTAAGTTCTACATTCTACATGATGCATTTCTAACGATTCATCTATGGATCTGTTGCAGGCACCGCCAGTATCCGGCAGTTATGAATTCCTCAATCATTTGAAACCTATTGCAAGGAGGGGTCGTGTCCTCGGGGTATACCAAAAATACATGACAAATACATCTATATTTGGCACTGTAAAACGGATTAAAACGGCACTGCATTGGGAAGTGACTGAATTTACATGGTCACATGTTTCTTTGTTTTTAAAGCTGTTCTTCAGTCCCCACTTCTCGAGTCATCCAACTTAGTAACTGGATGAAACTGTTTAAACCACCTGGGAACTCATGTTTGTGATATATATATATATATATGTTGCCAGAGAGAGAGAGAGAGAGATAGAGAGTTCAAAGCTCGTGGGCTGGAACCTTTGAGGCCCACTGGGTTGGCTTTCAGACCCAGGAAAAAACATGGCGATGTTCGTTTGCCGCTATCGGGCGTGACATCTTGGAAATCCTTCGAATATAATATTACCATACCATTCAACCCTATTAAGTCCTTTTAAATCCGATTAAACCCGATTAAACTCTATTAAGCCTTTTTAAATCCGATTAAACCAAACCCTATTATTAAAGCTATTAAATCCTAACAAACCCTATTAAATCCTGTGTTTACTGGAGGTAATATAACTAGTTACAACTCATAGGGGCTGATCCTCCACGACCCGAAGCGCGCCCGACCAGGTACTGTGGCTCTTGCTGGGCGCAGGGCAGTATGTCATCTCTCGCCGACCGCATCAAGATCGCACGCAAAGCTGAAGGCCTGTCCAGCTGTGTCTGCCCGCTGGTAAGCGTTCACACAACTATGGAAAATCACCATTTTTAATGGGTCAATCAACTATTTCCATGGCAACTTTCAATAGCTATGGAACAAATTACCAGAGCGTAATGATATTTGACCACCTAATAATATTTGATGATATTTTACCATGTAATTCGACCATGTATGATGTACTGTGTATATATATGTATAATGATATGTGTCCATGTAACAAGTACTACTATCTATTGGTAGATGTAATAACTGCATATATGTTTGATATTAATGTTGTCTCATTTAGCAGTGATATATACACTTATTTACACTATTGGCATGTATGTTGGTATAATAGGTACCATTGGTACATACGGAGGGTCATTAAATACGATGTTAGTGACATTTGGTCTGTGTTATGTTCACACACACACATATATATAAAGGATTTTTAAGGATTTTAAAAGAATTTAAACGAATTTCAAGGAATGCAAAAGAATTTAAAGGATTTTAAAGGAATTCAAAGCAATTTTCAAGAATTTTAAGGAATTTAAAAGAATTTAAATGAATTTAAAGGAATTTAAAGGACTTAAATTTACCTGCCATTTCCCATCTTGGTCGTCTGTGTCTTCTTGGAAGCCCCATGTCATGTGTAATTTTGATCACTTATTCCCATGTCATCTGTCAATAAAATTGAAAAATACCTGCCCGTTAGGTCGGCGCATAACTCCCATGTCATGTGTGAAAAAAAACATAGCAAAATCGATACATAAATCCCATGTCATGTATAGTAGGTAGTATAATGATATGTACATATATATATATATATTTGATATCCTTGGTCATTAGACCTCTATAAAATGCCCAACATTTAAGGGGTATAAAATGCACATTCTATGTCAAAAACTAGGCACTTTATACGCCTGGGACCCCCCTAGGACCAACACTAAAAGTAGTATAAAATGCAATAACCATCCTTAACCTTGATGAAACATTTTATACAATCTTATGGGTCTTGTTGTGTCTAGTGAACTAGCTATCCCTGATAACCTGCACGGAGCAATTTATACTTGGCAATTGTCTAAAGTTGCTGCACTACACTGTGGACATATGTGGACATGCTTCACCTGGTAGGAGCATTTTATACAGATAGTTGGTTGCTTATGTTTTTTTGTTGTTTTTAATGTTGTCCTTGGGTGGAATCATTAACCTGGATGGGGCATTTTATACTATTTTTTGGCTATCATTTTATACACTGGATGTAGTTGTTTTTAAGCTGTTTTTGCTAAAAATATGTTGGATGGAGCACTTTATACGGGCCCAAGGGCTACCCACCGTATAAATTGAACCCTTAAAGCATCCTATGGGCTAATCACCAGGGATTATTTGATATATTATGCTTGCTGTATACTCTCCGGCAATTTGTTACGTAGCTATTGAAAATGACCCGATTACAGATGATTACCTATTTAACAATGATGTTCCATAGCTATGTTGAATTGCCAGAGGGTAATGAGGATATATAATTAATCGGTTTATAAACTGGGTACTCTCCGGTTGCTGGAAAATCCTCATTGAGTTTCATGAATTTCCCAGCTAGAAACCTCCATTTACAGGGGGACTTTCCAGCCAGCCACGATTGATTGCCGGATGGTATATAATGGGTATATAATGAGAATGTACAGCAGCGGTTTTCACTTTGTCACTATCGCCTGGGTATTCGTTGCAACCTTGAAGAGATGTCATGTTTGGCTGGAAGCGGTTATGTATACTAACTAGCTGGAATGTTTGTCGGCTATGTATCTAAAATGTGCCATGATATGTTTTTTTGGTGTTTGTCATATTCAATACTGATAATGTGTGATGACCTGGGTAGAAAAATAACAATCTATGCTCACTGCGGCCTCGTGCAACCTTGGTACTGTATATCGTGGTGAATACGGTTGATAAATATGAGGCAAACCTTGCAAAAATATGTTTTGATATCCTTAAGTGAGGCTTGATTGAGGCTTGAGATTGGCCAAAAATTGCCTATGTCCCTGCAGAAAGGATAGGGCCTATGACCACTGGAGTACCAGTGTACACCACCCATTGAGAACTGGGTGTAGGCGCAATTGCACCATGTGTCATACAAAATCATATTATATCCATGAAAATTGTTGTAAAATCATATTCATGTGCATTAATTGTCATTAGCTAATTGCCAAGGAGGAGCAGGAGGAGCTGGAGGAGCAAACTATTTAGCGAAGTTACGGAAAGCTGAGTTGTTTGTGATGCTCCATCCCCATGCGCTAGGTATCGACATCCAACTGTCCGTGCAGCATTTGATGAACTGCGGAACGGCAGGTACTTGCAATGGCGTCTTGGTTTGCAGTGTTCCAGCGACCTTCTTGGTGCAGAGAAGGATCAGAATTTCTCACTCCAAGGGTTTTTTTCATCCAAATTCTGCAAATACTTCCGTTTGATCACAGATGAGACTTGCCGCGGAAAGGGGACAGTTAGGGTAAGTTTGGCTCAGAAAGTTTCCCTGGACAAGCCTGTAGAGCCCGTAGATTTCTGTAATGTTTGGTATTGACAATTTAAGTTTGGGTTGGATTTGTTGCTATCCCGTTTTTTTCCTCTCCCGGTGCTACCCATCATGCTTATTCAATTTTACCCTCCCCAAAATTAAGATACATCCTGACATACGTCGGGGGTTGGAAGATTGGTCTCCAGTCCAAAATGATGATGTTCAGGGTCAAAACTGTGGATTTACTGGAGGGGAACACCCATTTAACACACATGCTCTATATGGGAAAGCAGCCATTCTTTGCAACGTGTCATGTTTTGTCCCTGGTTTCTTCCCAGGCGGAGAACCCAACTCGGCCTACCAATGGTTGAAGGAGATCAGCGACAAGACCGGCACCGGCAGCTGGGATCAGCGCAGAAGGTCAGCTATGGCTTAAGATTTGAGACCTGGGGGGGACCACAGATTTCAGTTGATTTTTAGTGATGAGGTAAAACCACTACCATTTTTGTTTATAAACCATCCCCCAAAACCACCATATTTATATATTGGTAAACCATTGGTAAACCATCCCCAAATGGTAGGTTTATTATTTTCCACAGTATTAACCATCCAATTCTTGGGGTACCCAAATTTTGACCATAGGCAAAGCCAATAGATCCGAGCGGCCAGACTATTGGTTCAATGATAAACTTGTAGCTGTTGCCTCCCTCAAAAAAGTGATGAAATCGGGTATACAGTGAGTATGGTGCGTTGTTGCTTTCTAATCGTGCCGTTTGTTTTCTGGATGTGGAGGCTTGTTCGGGTTTGCTCAGAAACGATAGGGTATACCGGTATATCGGTATACCCAAAATGATCCAACGAAAAAAATGTGTGTCGTTTGACATTGTCATGAGGAAAAAAATATAATGAAAAACTATTCGATTTTGGGGTGCCTTAGTCCACGGAAATAGACGCCTTCATGACCACATTTGGTCAGACCGGACCCTACGACGGGCATTGCTTTGTGTTTTTGATATGTGTCTAAATACTCCATTCCTGTTCCATTCCTACTGTTGGAGCTGCTGTCGTGTTTACGTGATTGTTTGTGTCATGCGTGTGCCTGTTTTCACGAATCCTATGAGATTCTCCAAGTATATTTAGTTAGCAAATGTATGCAAATTCTGCTAGCCCTGAAAGGACATGAAAAGACTGCAATTTTCAACTTTTGTAGTTTGTTCATGTTTGTTCTGATTTGTTTCGTACTCTGTTCTAGAACTTGGAAGGAAAACGGATCTCACCATGGATCGTCCCTCCCCGGAGGGCCTCAGCTTCCCAGCTTTGCCAAGGCATCAGCTACACCACAGGTCTCTCGGTTATCCCAAGAACTGGGCCAGCAGCTACTCTATAGAGATACATCTACTCTATTCAAATATATTTAGACATGTGCATGGTTGAACAAGTTTTTTTTGAAAAAATGTGTGTACATAGTACATATATATATATATATAATTTCAACATGCTCTCTTACTAACACACAGCAGGCACCAGCAAACTCCAAAACAAAACACGTATGCAGATCATTTTTCCAGCCCAGTAGCACCACGACCATCTCTCCACTGGGCCGAGGTCAACCTTACTTGGCCTGTTCCCATGATCTCAGCAGCGGTTTCTGCAAGGCCACTGGACTCGACTCACCGGGAGTCGCTGACTCTTTTTCAGCGAAACAATTTTAGAACCCAAATTTGATCTGATGAGTTAACCATCATTGAACCCAAATTTGATTGTTGAACGTTGTTGAACCCAAATTTCAGTGGCAAAAGATGACGGTAATCTTTCTGGCTGGGGCATTCATGCATGTTCCATTTTGGTCGGCACATTCTGCGATCCAAGTTGAGTTCAGCAGCCGGAAGATGGTGGAGTTAATAGGTCTTACCCCAACCAACCAGATCCGACCAGTCACTGGATTGGGTTTAGAAAACCTACAGGAAAGGAAACCATGTTTTTTCCCACCAAATATTGGGTTGTCCTGTAGATTTTCCCTTAAACCAATCCAGCCAACCAGATTTCACCTGACCCCATGGTCCGAGGACGCGGATTTCACCTGCAGTGCGGCCAACGTGCAGCGCACCTGCGCAACCTTCGGGAAGCAATGCGTGGGGCTGGCGAAGTATCCCAACGCCACGGTGGCAGAATACGGCGACTGGGTGAGGTGATGGGTTGGTGGCGTCAGGGGGATCCATGGGCAAAGGATGTTGCGACGCTGGCCATGATGTTTATTTGTTTTATGGTTTGCATGTAAATTATATGTTACGCGCACACACATGTCTATACAGATAGTTATATACATATACGGTAATTAACCACATTTAAATATGTGGAGGGCTGGCCAGACCGCGAGGCCCCGGAGGTAGTATGAAATACCAGTTCGTATATTTAGATGTAGTTACCGTAACGTTTAAATGAATTGGATTCTGTATGTTTAAATGACCCGGCGGGCCACGAAAAACCTTCCCGGAGATAGTCGTCTATAATACATGCTCGTATATTTAAAAGTCCGTATATTTAAATGTATATGGTTACCGTATATATGCACTATAGTATAAATCCCTCCAAAGTGGTGAAGATTAAACTTATGTTTGAAGGAGAAGCGGGGCCGAGGACCCAAGTGGAGTTGCTGATATAGCGTATTTGTCATTGGAGCCATTTTTAAAGGTGATCCAAAAATCCGGAAGTGATCAAGCTGCATTGCCGAGGCTCCATTAAGGGCAAGGATGCCATGATGAAGGAGATTTTCAATCGGGGGCCCATTGCCTGCAATGTGGATGCCAACTACATCCTGAACTACACCACTGGCATCGTCACTGCCAAGCTTCTTGGATTTCCGAGATACTGGTTCATGGGGAAGAGGATGGTTGAGTTGAGTTGGAAAGGTGCTGAGACACGGTAAACTGCCATGCCAGGTGATTTTATATTTAGGAGAGATGGATGATATGTGAATCACTCTGAGTGCTTCAAATATCTCAAGGAACTGTCCGGCATAAGGCTTTTGGAGGTCTATGTGAACCACTTGCGGGTGAAAGAGAATGGTTAAGGTTCCAAAATGTTGGGAAGAGCACACAAAAGCTTCACAGTTCTTTTTGCTTTTCCTGTGCCATCCTAGATTTTGGGTGAGTCTTTTTCGGGTGGTGAGTGGTGAAGCCACAACACCTCTGGGCCCCAGCGGCCTTGGTCTGCCCAGGGCAACCGAGACAGACCATACCATCTCAGTCGTTGGCTGGGGCACTGATGCCAAGTTGGGCTTGTATTGGATTGTGCGCAATTCCTGGGGTAGCTTGGCATGCCGACCCCTGGGACCGGGCACGGGAGATCCATGATGGCGTTTTTGCATGCTGACTAAGTTGTAGGCGGGTTCTGTTGTAGTGAGAATCACATCAGGGAGAGGGATGCATTGCCTTAAATGTGTAAATAGAAAGGGATGCATTGCCTTAAATGTGTAAATAGAAAGGGCACCCCTGCATCCCGAGCAAGAGAGAGGTCATGATCATTCTCCGGTTTGTGCAGAGATTGGGCCCCTTCCAGATATATATCCTCAGTAATCAGATCATGTTGTAGATTTGCACCGCCCATAAATGCAGTTTGCCTAGGTTTGAATTGGAGTTGTAACCCCAATTTCAGTTTGTCCAAGAATTGGCTGAGCCCCCAAGTATCTCCAAGCGACCAGTAGCTCTAAAAATTCGTATTTTACAAGTTTTACCACATAATTCCGTAAGATTTCTCATTCTTTCAGGGTACTTGGAGAGTCGCGGTGCCCCAAAATTGTACAGCCAAGTACTGGAAAGATGTAACATGACCATTCATTGGGAATTGATGATTTCATTCCAGGTACTTCATGATTGTACTTGAGCAATGGGCAAAGCACATCCCTGGGAGGATTTGTGGCTCAGCAGGTGAGTATTGGGGCGAACAGGGCTACTTCCGAGTGCAGAGTGGCGCTTTGGCCATTGAGCAGGCCCTTTTTTGGGAAGGTTGGTCCATCTTAGGGTGTCTAGCCAGTAAGAGAATTGATAAGCATTAGGATATAAGTGAAAATATCGAATCATTACAAAATATCATAGATGTATTTTTGTATATGCTTAGATGATCTTACATGCTTAGAGATTCTTAACGGTATTTGAAAGGGAAATTGAACTCAAGTAGGTCAAAAATGCAATCATTGAACAGTTGAGGTTTCCCTGATGGGTCTGAGTTGAGGCCTGGTTCCGCTGGATTCAGTTCGAGGCTTCCAAAAGTCAGATGCTTCGTGGTAGACTGTGATCTTTTCTGCGCATCTACTTGTATAATGTGGTAAACCCAATGCCAAAAACATCCTAAAACATCCAAAAACCTTAAATCGCAATGTTTATGAATGGTGTGTTAACCATCCCAAAATGTTAGGTTTAGTGCGTTTTGCTGCCCACATGAACTGGCATTATCATTATTGTTAATCACTATCAATTAAACACTATCAAGCATTAGTAACCGTAATTGATTAGTTACCAACCATACTGAACCATAGTTAACCATTATTAACCATTATTAACCATTATTAGCCATTATTAGCCAGTATTATTATGAGTCATTGTTATTCGTCACTTTAACCATTCATAATTATTAACTATAATTATTAGTCATTATTGGCCAGAATTAGTCACGATTGTCCATTATGAACACTTTTTAATCATGTTTATTAATAAAGTTAACCATGACCAACAATTATTGACCATAATTAACCATAATTAACCATCATTATATAACATTATAGAACCATAATTTTCCATTATCAACAATTATTAGCCATTATTATTATTATTAGTCATTGTTATTCGTCACTGTTAACATTTTTTTAGCCATCATGTTCAACTATAATTATTAGGCTCTATGAGTTGATGGCTATGGATGCCATAACATCCATCACTTCGCAGGACAGCTGCGCTTGGGCGACGCCCAAAGACTTCACCGCTCCGGAGAGAAAGAACCAGTGGCGATGGCAAAATCCGATGGGAAGAACTGAGCAGTGTTCAAAACCATGAATTAGGTTAATTATCATGGTTTTAACCATCCAATATAGCCTGATTGGTGGTTTGGAACATGAATTTTGTGATTTTCCATATCTGGGAATAATACTCCCAACTGGATAATATTTTTCAGAGGGGTATATAGGTATACCACCAACCAGTTATGGTTTTAACCATCCAATATAACTATTATGGTTGAATACTGGTTTTAATGATGGTACAACTGAGTTGCGAAGATGGTTGGTGATTATACTTGCGAAGGGGAACGAGGTAACAGTGTAACTGCACATGATGAACATGTGTACAGTCATGCATGGACCGCCAATGATATTGGCTCAAGTCCTGCGCGAGGAAAATAAGACCGCTCTCCGCTTGCCATGCACTGAGGTTGCCCAGCGCTATCAGCATTACTGGTACCACGGATAAAAGGGATAATCCAGAACAAGGATCGAATTGTTCACAGGTTATCAGCCGTAAGGCTCACTTCTCCCGTCGGGAGAGTGGTACCTGCGTGCTGGTAGCCGGGCCTTCTGAGCAATTGATTGAGGACGCAAAGGACCAATCAGCTCATCACTGCAAAGATGCAAGGCGGTAGCGGAGATTCGCGCACCACGCAGTTTACCTTCAACGAGAACACTGCCATGCCGGTCGAGGAGGTCAATCAGTCTTCCCCTGGTGACACGGCAGACAGTGGTGGGATACGCTCTACCCGAACTACACAGTCCGGATGGCAAGTAACGACGAACAGACGAAGGATATCCACCCAAAGTACACCAAGATCTTCTCGAAACAGTCCTCGGAGTGATGTTGTCCGCCAAGGGCATCGACCATCTCGAGGACGAACTACTCCTAGGGACAGATCCACCAGGGCCGTGACTGACCGAATTGGTGAGAGGACCGGGGATAGTCGTGTTAAGAGGAGATCAACGGATACTTCTGTGGCTAGTGAACCTATTGCCATGATAGAAGAACTACGGGCACAATGTCAATCCCTACGTAGTCCGTTGAACCAAATGGAAGCATACGCCGCATCTAGAGATCAACTGATTCATGACATTGAGATTAGATTCACCGAGTATCTTCAGGAACACAACCAGAATGTATTTGATGAAGTCAGTGCACTCAATCACAGATTGTCACGTTCCGCGAATGAGGTTGCAGAATATCAAGCAGAACTAATGGTAGCATCTCAGGAAGATGAAGGTGCAACAATACGCATCCAAGACCTTGAGCGCCGAGGTGCCCTAATGGAACATGGTGCACGACGGATCCATCAACGTGGTATGGAGATCCAGGAGGAGTACAAGGATGAAGTACATCACCTTCAAGGACTATTGGGTAATACGGAGGCAAGACTTCAACAACTTCATCAAACTAATGTCTTAACCACCGATATTGCCAATCGACTGTACAATGAAGGTCAGGAAATGCAAACTGATTTCCAGAACTCAATCATGGAATATCGTAATCGATCCGAAATTGCATCCTTCTCTAGCAATCAACTTGAAGTGATTAGCCAACAACAGTCAATTGCAGTTCATGAACTATCTGAACGGAATCAACTATTGAGTGAAGCTTTGGTTCAGTCTCGTAAACAGGCCGAGCTGTATGAAAGCAGTATTGACGAGATCACTAGAGAATCTAGGAAAAAGGTTTTCGAGGCAAATCAGGCCAAACTGGAAAGCGATCTGAAGCATTGAAATACCGAACATGATACCGTCAAAAGAATTGCATCATACAGGAACCAAGAGGCCGAAGCGATATCACACCTGAGGCTTGAATCACAGGCCAGCGTGAATTCGATCGCGAGGGCCGAGCATTATGAAGAGCTCTACACCAATGAGCAGGAGATGAACTGCGAGTTAAAGGATGAGATCAAGTTGCAGAACACGAAGTTGCGGAGATCGTTGACTCAGGGTACTACGACCGACGGTCGTGGCCCCGATGAGATGCTTGTTGAAGATCTACGTAATCAAGCCAAAATTGCTCAAATTAGGGTTCAGGATCTAGATCATGAAGTTCATGAATGTTTACAAGAAAACATGTTATTGAAAGAAAGATTGGCTGAAGTTACGGATGTAGGGACGTCGTCCCTCACCAATGCTGAGGTCCGAACTCTAAGATCTGAACTAGAGAGTGAGCGAAAATTGAAATTGGCTAGTGGTGTTCAACAATATGAGAGATCATGCATGTTCATGGGGGAAATCCAGGATAGGGATGAAAAGATTGGCATCAAGAATTCTGAGATTGTTGACATGAAACGTCACTTAGATGAACTGAGAAAAAGTCTCAAGGATTCTGAAACATCTATGGCTAGGATCAGTCCTGACACACTTCCCTATTCGGCAGGCATTCCCAACTCCGATCTCGCATCGAGACTAGTCATCGACAAACTGGAGAATGATGTGAGTGAGGCTAACTGTGAAAACGCTATTCTGAAATCTTGGGTTTCGCAGATCGACAAGGAGTTGACTTATGAGACAAATATGGCTCATTCCTATCGTGGGCATGCTGTACCTCCTCAACAACAACAGCATTCTCAATCAAGCAAAAGAATCGCTGATCTGCTGAAAGAGGTTGACAACAAGATCGCTGGCGGAACTGAGAGGGACTATTACAAGCCACCGAGTGGATGGGGCGGTCCGCCTGACCCTGATGGACCTCCGGACCCTTTCGGGCCTAACGGACCAGGACCACCTCCTGAACCTCCAGGTTTGCCTTCAGTTCGAGGATCACAACGCGATTCAGCAGATGATGTCTCCACAGCGGCTTACACTGCAGAAGAAGTACCGAGAATGTCAAGACGAGAGGCTGACAAAGTCTATGTTAGCCCATGGCCAAAGCAACAGAATCTTGGGGTTTGGCAATCAGATCTCATCAAGAGTGTTGTTCTTTCGGCAAATGACGGGGATAAGGCCGCATGGGAAGCATGGCTACAGCCGGCTATTCGACCAAATCCTGACATCGAGCTATTGAATGACAGTGGAGGGCAACGGTATCAGTCCATCGACGCCAAGTTGTCAATTGCATTGTCAAACGTGATAGCCCAAGCCGGTGATGTTGCTCGTCATGTAGCGATCAAATTGAGATTGAGAACACAAAGTCATAGTCGAAGAGGAACCTATGTCATGGGACGGGAAATCTTGGCTATGATCCTGGAGCACTTCAGAACCCCAGGTCAACGAGAAACAGCCTTCACCATGGAGCACATCGTATCGATGAAGTATCTCGGTGACTCAAACCTAGAAGTGTTCTACGAGAAATGGATGGAGATGGTATCAAACATGATGCCGGATGATGTACCTCCTGACGATTGGCTTCGTGATGCTCTATACAAGAAGATTCGAAATTCGAGTCTTATGATGTTCGACATCAAGCAGTACGAGCCATGGATGGAAGGAGACCAAAGACGAAATTATCGCTACCTGTTGGACGTCATCGAAAGGCACATCTCCAGAATCAGAGAGGACAAGCATGTGGCCGCCAGAGAGAAGTATGCGAGAGACTTCGCGGGTGGCGGCAAACCTTCAGCTCCTGCTCCGAACCCAACTGCCGCTGCACCGGATGCAAATCCAAAAGCGAAGCCTAAAGCTACTCCCAAGGAGAAGGCAGCGCCCAAGGCGAAGGCCAAGGCCGATGCAGCTCCAGTTCTACCATCACCTCAGCCTAAACAGCATGCAAAAGGAAAAGGAAAAGGTCAAGGGAAAGGGAAGGATCGAGCAAACAGCCGAAGTACCAGCCCCAGATCCAAGAAGAAGATCCCATGCCATTTCCATTTCATCAAGAAATCATGCAGAAAAGGCAAAGATTGTGAATACAGTCATGATCAAAAGGTGTTCGAGGCGAATAAGAACGCAAAAGGGAATGGTCGGAAGCCAGGAACTCCAAGAAGTCAATCTCCGGCAAACAAGACCAAGAAGATTGATGAACCATGCTGGCATTGGGCCAAGGGCAAGTGTCGGTATGGAGACAAATGCAACAAACGCCACGATCCTCATCTATTTAACACTGCTCCCAACACCGAAGCACCAAGCTCAAAGGCTACTCCTGCACTTGTCCATGATTGGAGCGATGATGAAGAGACGTTCCATAAGATTGCATCGAACGTGGTCAAGAAGAAGGTCAGATTTGATGAGTCTAAGACTCACGTTCAAACTTACATAAAGAAGGACTTCGTGAAGTGCAATCGGAAATCTCAAACTGTCTCCAAAGGTCATGGTAAAGTTGGAAAGCCCACTGATCAGATAAGGAAAGATGAGCAATGGTCTTATTCATGTAGGTTAGCTTCGAGCCGAGGGAAAGCAATGGCTATTCTGATCGATGAGAAGGGTGAACACAGTGACATTGATGAAGTCCTGGTCATAGTCGGCCCTAGCATGGACATCCTGATCAGACTCGACGTCGAGGACGGTGAGGTGTCCAGGGAAGTTTTTGTGGAGAACTATGTTCAGCATATTGAAGGTCGATATGGTAAAAGGGGCAACACAATGTGTATCACTGTTCCTGTTGAAGAGAGAGATAAGAGATTCATATTGGATTCTGGAAGTGGCCATGATCTCATTTCATCCACGCGAATAAGTAGAATGGATCTCCCAACATACGATGACAAGGTCGTCAACTTCCATACAGCAAATGGGGTAACGTGTTCGACCAAACGTTCAAGCATCAAGTTCGAGGCATTTAGCGAACCAGCAGAAGCTCACATCTTGGAGGACACACCCTCCGTGCTCTCCATGGGAAAGCGATGCGTTGATCTTGGTTACTCTTTTGTATGGCCGACCGGAAGAACTCCATTCATGTTGGATCCAAATGGCAACATCATCGAAATGACTGTTAAAGACTATATTCCCTATGTGAGCGTCGATCAAGAAAAGATCAAGTTGAAATCATCTTGTGTGGAGAAGATCATGGCAGTTCTCGATGATGGATGCTCAACATCGGAAGGTGAAGGTCTTTTGGTCATTGATGGAGAAAGTGGGGATGAACTCGAAGATCT